TTCCTCTCCCCTCCCCCATTACGCGCGAAGCGCAGAAGCTTTAATGTTTCATGAAATTATTAGAGAAAGAAGAGGATTCGTGGAAGTTTTGACGTTTCATTAAATCATTAGAGAAAGAGTACCGTTCTCGACTCTTAATCCTTGTCTGAATTGAATTCCCCCCCCCCCCCTCTCCCGCGCGAAGCGCGGAAGCTTTGACGTTTCATTAAATTATTAGAGAAAGAAGACGATTCGTTGTACCGTTCTCGATTCTTAATCATTGTCTGAATTCAGTTTCCATTCCCTCTCCCGCGCGAAGCGCGGAAGCTTTGACGTTTCATCAAATCATTAGAGAAAGAGTACCGTTCTCGACTCTTAATCCTTGTCTGAATTGAGTTCCCCCTCTCTCGCGCGAAGTGCGGAAGCTTTGACGTTTCATCAAATTATTAGAGAAAGAAGACGATTTGTTGTTCCGTTCTCAGTTCTTAATCATTGTCTGAATTCAGTTTCCCCCCTCCGCGCGAAGCGCAGAAGCTTAACGTTTCATTAAATTATTAGAGAAAGAAGACGATTCGTTGTACCGTTCTCGATTCTTAATCATTGTCTGAATTCAGTTTCCATACCCCCTCCCGCGCGAAGCGAGGAAGCTTTGACGTTTCATTAAATCATTAGAGACAGAGTACCATTCTCGACTCTTAATCCTTGTCTGAATTGAATCCCCCCTTTCCCTCTCCCGCGCGAAGCGCGGAAGCTTTGACGTTTCATTAAATTATTAGAGAAAGAAGACGATTCGTTGTTCCGTTCTCGGTTCTTAATCATTGTCTGAATTCAGTTCCCCCTCCGCGCGAAGCGCAGAAGCTTAACGTTTCATTAAATTATTAGAGAAAGAAGACGATTCGTTGTACCGTTCTCGATTCTTAATCATTGTCTGAATTCAGTTTCTATACCCCCTCCCGCGCGAAGCGCGGAAGCTTTGACGTTTCATTGAATCATTAGAGAAAGACGATGATTCGTTGTTCCATTCTCGACTCTAAATCCTTGTCTGAATTCAGTTTTCCTCCTCCCGCGCGTAGCGCGTAAGCTTCTGACGCTTCATTAAATTATGAGAGAAAGAAGATGATTCGTTGTCCCATTCTCGATTCTTAATCCTTGTTTGAATTCATTTTCCCCCTTCCGCGCGAGGCGCAGAAGCTTTGACCTTTCATAGTTTAATGACATTATTAGAGAAAGAATATAATTCGTTGTTCTATTCCCGACTCTTAATCCTTCTCTGAATTCAGTTTCCCCCTCCAGCGCAAAGCGCAGAAGCTTAACGTTTCATTAAGTTAATAGAGAAAGAAGATGATTTGTTGTACCGTTTTAGACTTGTCAAAAATGTTTCTTTGTCTGCTCCTTTTTTCGTCCTATGTCCCCTTACTGCCCCTACCGCCCCTAGCTACGCATGCTTTAAAGGGAAAATGAAACAATCATGATTGCGATAGCATACAATTAGGTCAGTAGAAATGAAAGGGGAAAAAAAATCTTTTTATATACCAACCATGAAATAATCGCGACCGGGAGCGTCATAATCTTAGTTTTGTGTTATCGGGCGAGGGCCGGGGCGTAGCGACCATGCAAGCGAGATTTTTCCAAGTAGAATGCTGAAATTATGCATTCTAGAGAATCCTTTAGTCCAATATGTACGTTCTTTCCGCTACATGTATATTTCTTTCTAGCTTTATATCTAAATTTCCGGGGGACGTGTCCCTCTATCGGGCCCAGGATCGCCGCCGCTGTCCATTATCACTACCAACATGAGTTCAAATATAAGCACAGGCGAGTTGGTATGAGCTGAATCCAAATGAAGGGCAAAATAAGAGTTGTGAAGCGGATTTGAGGATAATATGTATTTTGTGAAAGTGTTATTTATCACCAAAATATACGAGAAAAGATATAACAAATTCATATTCGGGCAGCTCGCTGTTCCTCTCCCCTCCCCCATTACGCGCGAAGCGCAGAAGCTTTAATGTTTCATGAAATTATTAGAGAAAGAAGAGGATTCGTGGAAGTTTTGACGTTTCATTAAATCATTAAAGAATGAGTACCGTTCTCGACTCTTAATCCTTGTCTGAATTCAGTTTTTCCCCTCCCGCGCGAAGCGCTGAAGCATTGACCTTTCATAGTTTAATGAAATTATTAGAGAAAGAAGATAATTCGTTGTTCCATTCTCGACCCTCAATCCTTCTCTGAATTCAGATTCCCCCCTCCAGCGCAAAGCGCAGAAGCTTAACGTTTCATTAAATTATTAGAGAAAGAAGACGATTCGTTGTACCGTTCACGATCCTTAATCATTGTCTGAATTCAGTTTCCATACCCCCTCCCGCGCGAAGCGAGGAAGCTTTGACGTTTCATTAAATCATTAGAGAAAGAGTACCGTTCTCGACTCTTAATCCTTGTCTGAATTGAATTCCCCCCCCCCCCCCTCTCCCGCGCGAAGCGCGGAAGCTTTGACGTTTCATTAAATTATTAGAGAAAGAAGACGATTCGTTGTACCGTTCTCGATTCTTAATCATTGTCTGAATTCAGTTTCCATTCCCTCTCCCGCGCGAAGCGCGGAAGCTTTGACGTTTCATCAAATCATTAGAGAAAGAGTACCGTTCTCGACTCTTAATCCTTGTCTGAATTGAGTTCCCCCTCTCTCGCGCGAAGTGCGGAAGCTTTGACGTTTCATCAAATTATTAGAGAAAGAAGACGATTTGTTGTTCCGTTCTCAGTTCTTAATCATTGTCTGAATTCAGTTTCCCCCCTCCGCGCGAAGCGCAGAAGCTTAACGTTTCATTAAATTATTAGAGAAAGAAGACGATTCGTTGTACCGTTCTCGATTCTTAATCATTGTCTGAATTCAGTTTCCATACCCCCTCCCGCGCGAAGCGAGGAAGCTTTGACGTTTCATTAAATCATTAGAGACAGAGTACCATTCTCGACTCTTAATCCTTGTCTGAATTGAATCCCCCCTTTCCCTCTCCCGCGCGAAGCGCGGAAGCTTTGACGTTTCATTAAATTATTAGAGAAAGAAGACGATTCGTTGTTCCGTTCTCGGTTCTTAATCATTGTCTGAATTCAGTTCCCCCCCCCTCCGCGCGAAGCGCAGAAGCTTAACGTTTCATTAAATTATTAGAGAAAGAAGACGATTCGTTGTACCGTTCTCGATTCTTAATCATTGTCTGAATTCAGTTTCTATACCCCCTCCCTCGCGAAGCGCGGAAGCTTTGACGTTTCATTGAATCATTAGAGAAAGACGATGATTCGTTGTTCCATTCTCGACTCTAAATCCTTGTCTGAATTCAGTTTTCCTCCTCCCGCGCGTAGCGCGTAAGCTTCTGACGCTTCATTAAATTATGAGAGAAAGAAGATGATTCGTTGTCCCATTCTCGATTCTTAATCCTTGTTTGAATTCATTTTCCCCCTTCCGCGCGAGGCGCAGAAGCTTTGACCTTTCATAGTTTAATGACATTATTAGAGAAAGAATATAATTCGTTGTTCTATTCCCGACTCTTAATCCTTCTCTGAATTCAGTTTCCCCCTCCAGCGCAAAGCGCAGAAGCTTAACGTTTCATTAAGTTAATAGAGAAAGAAGATGATTTGTTGTACCGTTTTAGACTTGTCAAAAATGTTTCTTTGTCTGCTCCTTTTTTCGTCCTATGTCCCCTTACTGCCCCTACCGCCCCTAGCTACGCATGCTTTAAAGGGAAAATGAAACAATCATGATTGCGATAGCATACAATTAGGTCAGTAGAAATGAAAGGGGAAAAAAAATCTTTTTATATACCAACCATGAAATAATCGCGACCGGGAGCGTCATAATCTTAGTTTTGTGTTATCGGGCGAGGGCCGGGGCGTAGCGACCATGCAAGCGAGATTTTTCCAAGTAGAATGCTGAAATTATGCATTCTAGAGAATCCTTTAGTCCAATATGTACGTTCTTTCCGCTACATGTATATTTCTTTCTAGCTTTATATCTAAATTTCCGGGGGACGTGTCCCTCTATCGGGCCCAGGATCGCCGCCGCTGTCCATTATCACTACCAACATGAGTTCAAATATAAGCACAGGCGAGTTGGTATGAGCTGAATCCAAATGAAGGGCAAAATAAGAGTTGTGAAGCGGCCCTACCGTTAATTTAAAATTTGGCTGCTTAGTATATAGCTTCTATTTGAAAGACATCCAAAATATTGTGCCCTTTTCAATTTTTTTCAAAAAGCAGGGGCTGTTTGTAACGTTTAACTTTGAATCCGTGGCTCGAGATTTTATGCGGCCGGCCCGGCCCCCTCTATTCAATAACGTTTCCCAAGCCTTCTGGAATGACCCCAAATCCCCCGATTACAGTTTTTCCCTTATTCGTCGTTACTGTCACTTAGCGCCATTTCCTTGTCTTTCCCCCTTTCTCACCCGACTTTTCTCTTCCCCCCCCCCCCCCCACCCACTCAGTGTTATCTAGGGTACGCGCATGTATGTTCCCTCTCTTAGTTTGAAAGCACCCCTTTATATTCGGTGTGTAAAGTCAGTGCGGGCCGGATTTGTGTGTATTACGGGCCGGACTTCGTTGCGTGAAAAGTAACCCTTTATCAGAAATTTTGGAAACACAAAATCGGTCCCTCCGACCCCGAAGTGGGAGTGAGGTGGGGCGGGGGGGGGGGGGGGGTTCTTCTCCTTTTTTTTTCTTTCTCTCTCTCTCTCTCTCTCTCTCTCTCTCTTCTTTCTTTTCTCTTCTCTTTTCTTTTCTCTTCTCCTTTCTTTTCTCTTCTCCTTTTTTTCTTCTCTTCTCCTTTCTTTTTTTTCCTCTTTTTTTGCGCCGCCAATAGGGGGGGGGGGGGGGCCGCGGCCGTTTCGGCCCCCCTGGATCCGCCACTGCATAATACATCTCTTAGCTAAATTGATTAATTCTTGATGTATATTGTACATATAGCCTACAGTATATATATATAATGTACATACTATATATTCTCAAAACACAAATCCATGACAAATTCACAATGATGGCACTTTTATTCATCACAATCTGTTTTAATCAGGATTTTATTCAAGGTGATGAAATGTACATTTCAAGTACATGTATTTCCTATGAAATTTTATTAAAACGAATACAAGATCATGGGAAGACAACCAAGTTTGTATAATTTCAATGAGAGAACTCTAATTTCAGTACTGCTATGGAAAACTTACATTTTGAACATTCAATGAAAAAGATGTACATTTACAGTACACTTGTACAAAATGCAGCTATCAGTTTCTTAATGAAATAGATTATCAATAGGCTATAATAATATCAAGATCCATTTGAAATTACCCCCATTGTTGACATATAAAGTATCTAATATCTAAATTTCATAAAGCAAAATTGATTCAAGGTGATACTCTAGCATTAAACAGTACATATTGACATATAATAGGGGAGAAAATGATACCCATGTGGTATTGTGTGTGGTAACAACACGTACCACAGGAAATGCCAAACAACATTTTTGTAATGGAAAAGAAAAGAAAAGAAAATTTGTACATAATTATATCAGGTTTCATGCTGTCTCACTGTTCTTCCCAAACAGAAGAGACAAAAGTAACCAAATAAAAACAATTAAAAGCAAACCACTCAATAAAAAGGAAGCTGGAAATATTTTTCCCTTCAAATTCCCATATATATGCATAATTCATTAAAGAAGACAATTTAAAACTTGAATAGTTTATTTGGATGCAATTGAAAGACCCAATACTTTTTTTTAAATAGCTGAAAGAAACTAAGGGGAAATTACATTTTCCACGATCTCGCAAGGAGTACTGGTAAATGAAGTACTTTATATATCTCAGAGAAATTCATGTTGAAATATATGCTGGGATTATGCATTGAAAGAGTACATATTATTTTGATATGAAAATGCATTATGAATTAGCTTGGTAGCATCCACTTTTTGAAGACATCTTACAGACTTCTAGTAATATCTAAGAATGTCTTTTGTTAACTAGAAAGTAGAACACACTGATTCCAATATAAACAACTATTGTTCTTCATATGCATATCTACCAGTGGAAACTATTACGTATACTGCATAATTAAAACGATCCTTACAAATGAGGGTATACAATCATTTTTACTTATCGAATTAGAAAAGTCTGTGATGAAAAACATTTCTTTCATCACAATCTGATTACAAGGTAGTTAGCACCCATAACATTTTGTTTCTTCAATAATTCAGTTCATTATTATTGCAGTTGGCTTGTTTAATATTGTAGCTGCATGAACATCAGCAAAAAAGTAGTACAGTGATAAATAAGCATCCACAGGTACAGTATACAATACTTAATTATATCATACAACGCTATACAGTTAGGGACAAAAATACAATTTCTATAAAGCAGAAGTTTATGTATAATGACAATTTTCGGTTGCAGCATTAAATAGAAATACCTATCTATAAAATCTTTAGTACGGGAGTACTAATATCTAATTCAGCTTTTATACAGGTGAAAGACAAGTACACATTATGTACAAATACTGGAAATTTTTATCCAACAACTGCATTAAAAATAATGTCATTTACTTAATGAGAGAATTATCTTCAATTACTAATTGAAAGGATAAGATTCAAATGTTCATTTTTAGAAATGAGCTGAGAATACTCAAATTCTTATCATAGATTATGTGTCTTATCACTTACTGTACATCTGCTATCTGTTTCTGACATGTCTTTACATGTCTATACTAGAATATATTTATAAGTGTACATCATTTAAACACATTATACAGAACTGAAGCATATGAACACAGAACTGGCACAACGAGACACTCGCATACAATTATCAAAATCAGATAGTAATCATGATTAAAATTAAGATTCAAACATTAAATAATAATCAATTCAATGATTTTGTTACAATATCTGTCAAAGCTAAATTTGTTTGCATGCATGATACTGGCATGGAGCTCTTTGCAAAATAAAATTACATGAAGCAGAATTATATAGATATTTCGACTGGTAAAGTGTTTATATAACTTTTTTTTTTTGAACTGCTGAAGGGAGCTATAATTTTCACAAGGGGTTATATTTTCATGAAGTGACAATATAATTCCTTGATCTCAAGGGAAAGTATATCTCCTGTGTGGTCCAAAAATGTAATGTTTCACATCCTACCAGACAATATATGTGTCACGTTGTTAATATGAAATCAAGAATAATTGCCATCTCATGTCTTTTTTGTTTCTGGAGCCGGTCAGCCTTCAGCATCAAATGCAAACGATACGTACGCGCTAGTGCCTGCAGGGTTGCTTGGATATGGTGTGATGCAAAACTTTACTCATTTGACCTGGGCCCCGTCTTACAAAGTGTTGATAGCAATTGCAACTATGTACATAAGAGATAGGAGACTGCAAACTTGCGATTGATCGTAACTCTTTGTAGGACAGGGCCCAGGTGATAACATCGAAAATTGACCGGGAGTGAAAAGCTAATCATGATCCTCATAATTATCATGTGACAAGCTTTCGACCAATCATAACTTTTCATCTGTAAGAGCTATCTAATATTATATATTCTACATTAAAATGATTCCTGACCAAACATGGAAATATACCATAAGTAAAGCAGGCAAGAAACCTTTGGAAATTCATGACAAGACTTGTTATTGCTTCTATATTAATTAATTATTTCATAGAATTATAATCTCACAATTTCAAAACATTATGACAGCAAACAATTATTCAACACATTATAATTTGTTGATGGAAATAAAATAATATGTCCATGATTGACCAGTACATGCTCAATTACGCATTAGGCAAACTCTAAGACTTTCAGGTATATTCTTCACACACACTACAAGTATAACACTGAGTGAAATATATAATGTACACACACAACCAATTTAAGCAAAAACAATTTGTAAATAACAATAAATACACATTAAAAAAAGTTTGATATTTTGCTTGCTTAAAATATGTATTAACTTTTCATCTCAACAGTGCAAACAATCTACTTCACAGCAGGAAATAAAGCATAAATATATGTGCATTACAAATATGTTAATGACTGGATACACCATAAAACAAATCAAGACATTTTTCTTCTTCAAATGTACGCAATATTCAAGTTGAAACTTATCCTCATTAAAGTACATAGAAAGCAAATAGTGTATATCACAGTACTTTAAAGCTCCAAATCTATAAATTTACTAACCTGAATATACACTTAAAATTGTTTTCCTAATTAAAAAAAAAAAGACTATTGGACAACCAATCATAATATTGGTGTATACATGTACACATGGCATGTACATCCATGTATGTTCAAAGACTGCAAGAAAGATGGCATCAAAATACAATGTTTAAGTTTACAATAAATGTACACAGCACTTCGAAATTGGGAATCAGTTCCACCACAAAATAATCTTCTGCTTTCAAATTTTCATTTTCAATAACATGTATACAAAATTTAATAACACTACTGAAACCAGGAAATAAGATTAATTCTTTTCATGATATGAGATTCATACAATATCAAAAATACTTCCCGGATTTAAATTTGATCACAGGGCTACCAAGAAGAAAAGGTTTGATAATCATGCATTCAAGATCAATACTGAAATTGGTATTACATGTAGGTCTCATTAAAAAAAAAATTGTAGCAAACTTTGATTTAAATATATTTCCAACTGACGCAAATTAGCACATTACATAGCTGTAAACTTATAATAAGATATATTTCTTTCATGAAGTTTGAATAAGTCTTTATTGTAAAATCGATATGTAAAACAGATTGTTGAAACAAATTTAAGTATTTCTGAATGACAAAGGAGAATGCATGGTAATACAAATGTACATAACCCTAGTGGTGACACCAAATTTTAATGAGACAGACGTTATTCATGGCTAGTTTAAAAAAAAAAAGCTAATTAACATAATACAGTGTTCTATGATGTCTAACAACAAATCTAAAGTAAATTTTCTGAGATAAAAAGTGTACTATAATTTTGGTTAGATGAATCAACTATGGTATTGAACGTGTTGAATACAAACAAACAAAATGAGCCCTGCAGATATTCTAAAATAATCCTGGATGAAAGAAGCACACAAACCAATAGACTTACCAGGAGATAACATAAAGGGAATATAGGCAGCAGTAAGTCTTTACATTTGAATAACCATGGCAGTGGGGTGGAGGGGGGGGGGGGGGGGGGGGGGGTGGAAAGGACGATGACCCTATGGATTTACATTGAAGCTCTCCAAGGCATCGATTTGTCCTTGCAGCTCTGAAATACCAGTTCTCGTTTCCTCCAGCCAAGTTTCCTGCTCGGCCAATCCCTGCTGAAGTGCTCCGATTATCACAGCGTACTCTCGCGTGGAGAAGAGCGCCCTCGACGTCTGAAGCCTCGCTTGGAGATCCGGTAACTGGCTGGTATCCACCTGTTGAATATTCATGAGCTCCTGCAGGAGAGCGTCAAGTCTTTCCTGATTGGCCGATGTGGATGAGGCCGATTCTTCTGCTTTGGCTGATGAGGAGAAAATGAAATAACAAGGTGGTAGAATATTCATACAATATGATCTCTACAACAAATTATAATAATAATAATAGACTAATAGTCCACTCCAAATTTTATTAAACCGAAACAGAAATTCTTTTTGCCCAATTGATCGTGAGCCCTGCAGCCACTGAGCAGCGCCAGATCGACGTTGCTCTATCCCTTATTGTTGAACGCCAAACAAGGTAGCAACAACTCCCATCTTTTAACAGCTTTTGGTATGACGCGGCCAGGGTTCGAACCCACGACCTCCCGGTTGTGAGGCGGACGTTCTACTGAGTGACTGAGCCAACACTCCGGTACAAATTCTGTAAGTGTTTCTTAATTTACATAGATGTCTATCAATTTGCCTACCTTGTATAACATGTATGTATATATCTTCTGTTTGGAGCCAAAAGGCTGTTAACCCATAGTTAATGCCCTTCTGGCTCCATGTGGGACTAATTATCAATCATCTTTATCCTTTTTGTCTGTAATTTTTTCATTATCATTATAAAACTCAATAAAATAACAGGGAAAATTATTACATTTTTATCATAATGAGTAATATCATATCAAAATTATTATTATTACTAACAATATCATCATTATAATTACTGTCATCATTGTCATCACTATCATGGTCATCATCATCATTGTCAGCAGGCAGCATCATCATCAATATCACCAGGACAATTACCAATAAAATACAAATTCCTACCCATGCATTCACTTACCTGTAGCTAGTGTGTACGATGCCTCCAGATCATCTATGTCTGGTTGGAACGCATCACAGGCCTTTAGCGAAGGCTGGATCCGGTCCTGGTCTAGCTGGTTCACAGACTCGGTTATCAGGTCTGTGTCTGTGAGCTGGTTAGCCGCTTCTGTGTATAGTTGTTCTGCTCTCTCATGGATTGGCCTCACAGACTGTGAAAAACAACATGGAAGTATAAAAAGTGCAATAAGACAGTATTTTACAATAACAGTGGTAACGGTAAGTTCAATTCCCTGCCCTTTTCATATGACACCTCAATCATGAAAAATGAGCCAGGAATAACAAAGTTCTGTTTGTTTAAAGTAATGCTTGCATTTCCATAATTTGATAAAACGAGTTTGTTTTCACTGGCTGCCTGCCGTAGCAACAAACACAGTTTAAAAAGACTTAACTCTGTTTCGTTGAAGATCAGCCATGCATCAGGTCTTTCTAGAAATGTGATTTTCTCTTTAAAATTCAGATACTGCCTGCCAAATTATTTTTTGGTTTCCTCTCTTCAAATTGCATTTAATCACTCATGCGTGAGATATGAATCATATGAGTTGCATCAAATGAAAGAAGAGGATCTAAGCTTTCCAAATATGTGTCATTTATTAATTATAATTGTGATTAAGTTATGAAAAAAACATCGATATTTCTCGGTTTCTTTTTTATCTGGGACGCACTGTATATCAACTTATAGGAAATTAATACTCTTCCAACATCTAATAATAATTTGCTCTGAATTTTGTTAGAGTTGTTGTCCTTGGACTAGTAGAGATCTTAGTTTTGACTTATTTAGAGACATTTTTCTTACAACTGAGAAATTCCAATCGTTGATTTACAGATCTTGGCCTTTTGCATGTATAGATCTTATTCTTACCAGCATATTATCTCTGTTTTATGCATCCATTTCATAATAACTATCATGATATACTTGTTCCATTTCTAACAAACATTGTGCAATGCACATGTGATATTACATTGAAATGACAATATCTTCTCTATTTACAAGACAATACAGTTAATATTTCTATAGAACCATATCCACACCTGTCCTTCGTTGTTCGTAATAGTTAATGCATCAGTGGCTACTGTTGACCCTTCGCTTGCTGTGCTCGCCACTCCACCGACTTGAGCCCTCAACTGTCCAGACTGTGCCAAGTTCTCGTCTGCTAGCTGGTTTATTCCTGGAACCAGTTCTATTGAAGTAAAAGCCGCGGATTGTGCACCTATATCAAAGACGAGCAAGAAACAAATTAGTCAAATCTAATAAAAGATGACTTTTGAGCCACCCACATAAAGGACCAATATTTCACTAGGGTATAAACTAAATTGTTTTTAACCCCTCCCATGCCATGGATACCGAATCCTGTCAAGGATTCTAAATGTGTATGATAAATGTGAAATAATAAAGCCTAAATCATCCTTGATAAAAAAAAAATGTACATGTACATGTATCGTGACATCATATTATCAAGAAACAGCATCTACAAGGAAGTGCCGTGAATCCATGCATTAAAAGAAAATACTTTTACTTCTAATAGCATTAATTTTGGCCCTTCTGGTACTTTTTGGTGCCAAATTTTGTAGAACAAGAATTGGAATTTTTTTTTTTTTTTTTTTTTGGGGGGGGGGGGGGGGGGGTTAACTCCCTTGATTCAAATGTACCAGAATGTAACTAACTTTGTACTTGCAAGGTAATTCAAAAACTTCACTCACCAGATGCCTGGGCATCAAAGTTTAAAGTGACTGCCAGCATTTCTCCAGCAGCATCAAATGTATCTTGAGAAAGCCTGACGGAGCTAGCGGAACCCTGGTTGGCTTCTGCTGCTCTATCTCTCCGTCCCATGACCTCGGTTACCGTGGCATCAACATCTATCTGAGTGTTCTCCGTCGTGATGCGGGCGTTCTCGATTGTGTTGATGGTGTTCTGGGCACCGGATAACTTTGAGTTTGCCTGTCATTAGTGAAAAATATAGACAACAAATATGTTAATGTTCTTCCTTTTTTAAAATTCATAATCCTTTTTATGCTGTTTCTGATGTTTAAACACGATATATCTGTAACTTAATCACAGAGTTAGTCTTCGTTGGCTTCATCTACTCCCTTTCAATTTCCTTTTCATTCACTTTTGTACATGTACACATTAACATGCATGTGCATGTGTTTTAACTTAAACTTCCATGTTTTTGTCATTGCTATTTTTATGAGTGGAATAAAAATGAAATTTAAACTTACAGGACATCTGCAAACAAATCGGCCAGAGAAAATTTGTCACTAGTTTAACAAACCAACCTCTATGTGTACATGCTAATATAAGTACAGAGAATATGATAACAATTCACATCCATGTGGGTTATATATCTTGCTAGGTCAGAGAAAACACTGACAAAATTTTGAGCTCCTAAGAGCAAGTGCCGTTGAAAATCCAAGCGGAAGATTAAGTACACTACCAAGATGGCTTATTCATATGAACTGCATGTTCTCGAATTTTTGATGGTGCAGTACTTTTAAAAATCATGTATAGTGTTCCTTTTACTTTGCATTTTGCAAATCAGTTATTATGATACTTTGCTTTGCATAAGTTCGCAAATCATTTTCAATCATAATGTTAACATTTTCATTATCAAATTGTTTCCCTATGGTTATCCCCTGCTGCTTCTGTTCAACTCAACCCAACCCAACCCTACCAGAAACTTCCTGAAAAAATAGGATCCTCGGTTGATTCAACTAACCTGTGCGGCCACAGACTCTGCTTGACTAGTCTTCTGGGCAGCATCTGTCATCACAAGATTGATCCTGTTATCATCCACAGACGTGCGCGCCGCTTCAACATCTGCCACTTTTTGCCTGGAGGAGGAGTCTAGCTCCTGAGCTCTTTCAAGTAATGCTTCTACGTCGTCCAAGGTCTGCTGGGCTAGGGTCGCAACATTGTTGGCATGAGTGACCTCTGTGGCTGTTCTTGAAGTTGTGTTGTCGTGGACAACCTGAACCATTTGAGCGGTCTGCATGGTGGAAGACATAAAGGAATTAATGCTTCCCTGGATCACCCAAAATAACTTTTATTCTGCTAAGAGGTGTTGACTCTGTAAATGATTAAACTTAAATGCCTTCCGCTTCTCAGCAGATGATCGAAGGGACTCATAATCTGGATAGCACATACGGCCGTACGATGGTAGCTGCGACCATGACAATCTCAGAATATGCAGTTGTGATATATATATTCCAAAAGGTAATAGCAAATCAGTCGATTTTAGTCAAATAACATGGTTTTATAGCTTAATTAATATCTTGACCTTGAGAGGGCGCTATACAACATAAATAGTTTATTATTTCCAATTTCATCACTTTAGACTCGATTTTAACCGCGACAACAATCACTGAATATTGTAGGACCCCGTACCAAAACTTTGTATTACCTTTAACTTCATATATTTTACTGTGGGATGCCTGGCAGGCCAACTCATTTCATCACTACTTGATTACTTTTTCACCAATGTGGGGTGTGCTCCAATGGATCCACAATTTTCATACATCCATCAGTTTGTTCACTAATCACGCACAATAGGGATTTTATCTTTGATAACGTTGACAATAAAAGCAGATGATAAGGTATTAAACAGAGATTTGAATTGATCTAATAATCAGTATAATTATCTGATTGAAGAAAAAAAACTTCTTTAAAAACAGTTACACAACCCCTTACCTGCAAAACATTATCTGCGGCTAGTAATGTGTCTTGGGTCCGTTCCCTGATGTGTTGGACATCCTGCTCCAACGCGGCCGTCTGATTGGCTGTCTGTTGCCTCACTTCCTCCAATCGGACAGCTTGTCTCATGAGGTCATCTCTCAGCCCTTCAAGCACGCTCTGGGCTGCTTGGAAATCACCTACATGTAATAGTACCAACAAGGCAAAACCAAATTACACAAATCAACCTGAAGCTGTTTATGGAAACATTTTATGGTGAAGAAAGAAAGCAGTAAGGTTGGTCTAAATGAGGAGGATGCTAAGAAGACATGAAGAAGTGGAGGGAGGGAGTGTCATCATGCGCAAAATGCAGTAATTCCCCCGTAAGAGGGAACATGCTGACTTGAATAAGTGATGATGACAAGTCCCTTTTCATAAAAGGGTCAGTATCAAATTCGCAATCAAATCAAAACCCAAGAACACCAATTTCATCTTCCACATAACAGTGGGGTCAGTTGACCAAAGCACGTTTCTTAACCCCTCAGGGGCACTGTTAATAATTTTGTATTGTGCATAACCCACATAAATCTAAATTTTTATTCAACCGATTGAAACTACAGAGAAATCTTGATTTGTGTACAGCGCTTTGAAACTTTTATGTCATGAATCACTGTATAAACCTTTTGTATTATTATTTTTATTATTACTGTAACTCTACTCTTGTATATTTCCATATAAATAAATAAATCCATTATGTTAACAATACAATCCATATATACTGTACGCACCACTAGTAAGGGTTTCATAAGCCAGGGTAATGTCAGCGTTAACCACATCAATGGCCTCTATGGCAAGACGAGCATTCTCCTCTGTAAGGGTGGCATTTCCTTGGGCGAACATGATGTCGTTTTGAACAGTGCCCTCTAGTGTTGCCAATAATGCTTCCATGGCACTGTTGAGTGCAGCGATGGTGCTCTCTAGATTGGACCCTTCCTGGACAGTTGAGCTTGTCTAATGAAAGGTGAAAACAAAAGAATAGGAAAGGTCTTAAACATGTATATATACCGGACGTATAATAAAAAGATGGATGTTTTGTCCTTTAGGAGGGATATTTTTGTAAATGAAATCTGCCCAAACCTTCAGTAGAGTAATCCAAAACATTCAAATTAAAAATTGAATTATAAGTTACATAATTTTTTTGTGAATAAAACCTATCCAAGCCTTTATAAGGGTTTTACCAAACATTTAAATGAAAAATTCATTCAAAAATTGCATTACTCTACAATCAAATGAAACTGATCTATACTCAGATAAAAAGTGGTCTGAGACAGATTACGTAAAATTTCAATATTGGAATGAAAAAGAATCGATTAGAGTATGTGGTTAGAATTATTCAAATTATTATTCTGCTGTCAAATCCAACGGAACCACAGAAGGCTTGAGTCCCCGTCTTTTAAGGCAACTACTATGAAATGCAGGTTTGAAGATTTGCCTGCTAAAGGCATGCATTCCCTATTTTCAGCTAAACTCCAACAAGCATCCCCTAATAAAATTCTACATCCAACAGGTACGTGTACGTACAAATGTATGTATAAAAATGTAGAGGTGTCATGATCTAGTGGATACGTCACCGGACTATGAAATACATGCTTCACGGTTCGAGTCCGGAGCAGCACTAATGTCCATTGGTAATCCATTAAACTACATTTGCCACTCTCCACCCAGTTCCGCCAGGTGAAGTACATAGAAAGAAGTTCCTTGTATGCTTTAGCGCCTTATTATGGTGGCCAAGTTACAGCCATAGTAATAATATGGTACTTTGTATTAAGCGCAGTATAGTATATTCATATAGTAGCTGCGCTAAATAAATGGACATACAGTCAAACCTGTCTTTAGCAACCGCCCAAGAAATACAAAAAGAAGTCTTTGAAGACAGGTTCCTTAAATGCATGTTTCAATGAGAAACCATTTTTAAAGGCAACAAGAAATGTGGTCTTTGTAGACAGGTGGTATTTGCAGACATGTGGTCAGTAAAGCAAGTTTGACTGTATGATTATACTATTTGCCTCAAGTCAGAGCCAGTAAGTTGCCAATCTTGACTTACCACATCCACAAGTTCTGCAAGGAGATCGTTGGTCTCCTGTAGACGCTGATAGAAGGGGGCTGGTAGGGAGGAGTTATCCCTCTCCTCCAGGTCCAAAACAAACGTGGACAGGTTACGCTGCAGCGTCAGTAGTTGGAGATGAGTGGTCTCGATGCCGTCGTAGCACACATCACATTCTGAATAAATATTTCATGAAATCAAAGTAAATTTGTCGGCTGAGAATATCATTAATGAAAGTTAATGCCCTTCTGGCACTCATTATCAATATCAGAAACACAGGACTTATCATTTCTAGGTAAAAGATGAAGATTTTTTTTGTTTACATTGACAAGTCTCGATTATAAATATCATATGAAATGCCAATATTTAGAACTGTCTTGAAAAGGAAAACTAAAAGACTATTTTAGCCTGGGTTAGATTTGTTGATGTTGTTGCAGGGCCTAGAAAAAAAAGTACTCCAGAAAATACCAAGTAGAACAAACACTTACTCAAACAACCAGATTCATAGTTGTAGTAGTTGTAAGCACATCCATCGCATCCTTGTTCACCAAAGTTGCCAACACAAGGGCACTGGCCACTTTGGTTGTCACACTGTGTGGCATCTCCAGTGCCTGTGGTGTTGCAGTTGCAGGCTGTGGTAGAAAAAAACATGAATAAGAATACATTTGGGATGGACAGTTCTTTCTTTTTTCAGGAAGCAATTTGTACAGAACATGTACAAATCACCTAAAGCAACCCTCTATCCCATTCAGCACCCTGTTTATAAAGACTAACTGTCAGTAACATTGCTATTTTGTATCCCAATATTGTAATTTCATGGGGGTCTGTATATTATAAAGACTTCTGTACAATAAAGAATTTGTTGTGTATCCTTGAGAGCAATGTTTTTTTAACAGAAGCCCTTCTATAAAGACCACCTCTCTGTAATGATGCAACATTATTTTACATCCCACCCAGCAATGTATCTTCACAGAGGTCTGTATTTAAAGACCTGTCCCTAAAGACCGAATATCTTGGTTTTTTCAAGCATTTATGTTTCTGTCACAAATTAGTAAAAAGCTTGGTATGCATCCAAAGTGATATGTCTCAAAATTTCAAAAATTTAATACACAAAACAATCAGACAGAGAAACAAACATTAGGCCTTCTTTAAGAGATGATCAGTGCTTCTAATTACCTGAACAGGCTCCATCAAACAGGTCAGTTCCAAAGCCGTAATAATCCGGGATGCACTGATTACAGCCTGGCTCCAAGACACTCGCCGCACAGCTCTCGCAGAACGCCCCCACTGTACCCGAACTGCAGCCAATGCAGACGCCCGAATCAGGGTCGCAGGCCGAGGAACGCCCATTACAAAAGCACGGCACGCAGATGTCCGTCCGGGGTCCAAAGGAAGTCAGACGCTTGGTACCTTTGGAACAACTGCTGCAGGAGAGACCTTAAACAGAATATTAACGACTATCATGAATGTTTGTCTAGTGATATGTGTTGCTCACTTCTTCAGACTATATTCTACCATGTTGCATACAATTGTTCCACATTTATGTATCTCCAAACTTAATTCTTTGTGAGAGAGCTGTAGAGGCATCAAATCTTTGTAAACCGATACCAATTAATTCCCCTCTGGATCTAGCAATATCAATTGCAAAAAAGGTTGCGATGTATCAAAAAATTGTATGATACAGGGCCCTGGACCGGTATTCAATTCAATTCTTAGAATAAGTACGAAATTTGCTTAGTAAATGGCTAAGCTAAGAAGTTCACCCTAACTCGTATTCAAATCGCATTTTAGACTTGTACTTACCTGAGACAAAATCTAAGTAAAATACTTAATGATAAGCATTGTGACATCACACGGTCAATCAAAAGTAATGCGCAATTAATGTGCCACAATAAATGCGCCCTAATATAATTGTGCGCAGTTTATAATACTGCGTAAGAAAACCATATGCTTGCCAATCAAGGCCTCAAAATAATTGGCTTAAGCCTGCTAGGTAGCTGTCTTAAACTTAGGGTAAAATACTTAGCCAGAAGCTTCAACTGAATACCAACGTTGGCTGTGTATTTTATCTATGCTGAAAACTGAGTAGATTATACTTAGAGACACTGATTTTCGTTTTAAAAAATGTCTCTTTCCATTTTAGAAAATCTGGAATTCCGTGAAATTCTGTTTTGCCACTGATAACCACTCAAAAACATACGGCCGGGACTGGATAAACTTGATGCAAAATACTAGTGAAAATATAACAAAAATTATCAAATGTTTAGATTTACCAACTTCAAATTCAAACCTAGACAAGCAGACTGAAGTTAGCGGAATGTGTCAGAACACGACATATTCCTGACGGAATGATACAGACACAGATACAGGCTGAGTAGTACCGACGTCGACGATAACATGTCAGTCTTGGCTGTCATGTCAGCGATCGATCAATTTTAGGCGCACATGCCAGCCCCTTTTTCAAACTGTACTACAGCGTGTATACAATCTCGCCGCACTTAGCACTGTAGCACTTAGCGCCTGCTGCTGGCGCGCGTTTGCCTAGTATTACGTCTACATATACTAGGCGCCTAGCTGGCATAATACGATCGATTCGCTGCTATTTGTACCGTGTTTTGTGTCACAATCTCTATTGGTCCAGGGAAACAAAATGGCAGCGCCCTGTCTCCTAAGAATCTGACGAATATCGCTAAATATTCGGATATATTAAATGTGATTTTAGGCCCGATATTTTTTCATTCCATAACAAATTACAAATATAGTGTTAAGTTTTACGATTTTCTTCTTCAAAAATGAAAAGTTTTGAGGTGAAAGGTGTTTTCCGCGACTTTCCGTTCGAAATTGCATTTTCCGTTTCAAATGGTAATTTCCGTGAATTCTGTCTGTTTTCTGTGATCGCGGAAAATCAGTGTCCCTATATACTCATATTTCCGACTTACTGAAACGAAGACTGGCTCAAGTGACCAGGGGACACTCCTAGACTTATTACTTACCCATTGTATTTGAGGAGGTATCACAGACACACTGTTCTACTACGGTCACATACTCATTGTTCACATCTTCAGAACTTGAAGCCAACGATGCTATCTCCATGGCAACACTAAAGAACGTGCTAACCGTTCCTGGACCAAATGACGCCCGAACTTGAATGCTGGTGATGTCGGCTAGAATTTCTACATTGACAGGAAAAATGAAGACAAGACACATGTAAATATATAAACATCACACTTTCTTAAAACTGCAACCACTTAATTTACTTTAAATTAAAAAATTAAAAAAAACAACTCATTATCAAAAGTTGAATGTAGTGTAAAGAGAATGTTTTTCCAAAATGCTAAATTCATTCAGGGTAAATATAATAATGTCTGTTGTCGGGCTTAAAGTAACATTGTGATATCAGTCAGATTGTAGGCAGTTAGTCATGTATGTAACTGTATTTCAAAACCATTTACCTCTTAAGAGAGAGAGAGAGAGAGAGAGAGAGAAAGAGAGAAAGAAAGTGAGAGGAAGAAAAGAAACAGAAGATAGAGAGAGTCAAACACAACTACAAAATACTCATAAATGCAGCTCAATGATGTCTATTTCATCCTATTATAAATTACCTTGAAACTGTTGCACGGTAAGCTCACTCTCCGTCTCTCCCGTTCTCCACAGTTCTTCAAAGAACATTGCAGTAAACTCTGTCGGCTGGTCCGTAGGGACAAACTCTTCTGCCGAATAAAAGATGCTGATGTTCTGCGGCCCGCCAGTCAACACCAGATACCTGTTGGAGAACACTTCCACGCTACCGACATCCAACTTAGAGGAGAAGGTGAAGGAGCCTCCGTAGGAGCTGAGCTTGAAACCAAGGTACTCCTCAGGCGCGATCAGATACACAGATGCCCCGTTGCCCAGGCCAGGTGGGTGGGATACACGGATGTTTGCAGAGTTGATGTTTAATGACGATGGGTCAGAAGAACGCCATCCACTAGTACTGTAAGGAAGATGATGATGTACATTTAGTTTTTGTTGTAATAAAGGTCATAATGATGATAGTGGGAGTTTGATAAGTGCTCATTTCCATCTATGAATCTCACAAAGTGTAGTGTTTGCTACATTTTTTGGAGTGCCAAAGGATAACCGTGCTGACTAGGATTCAAACAATAAACCACTTTACTCCTGACGAAGTCCTTTCTTCAGGAATTATGCCTACCTTCCCTGTGAAAAGTCAGACGTCACAAAATCCTGGACATAGTTTGGTGCTGCATTGCAGGTTGACCCGTGACCGTAACAAAAGCAGGGCTGGCAGCCGTTGGGATTTGAATTATCTAGGTTGAAGAATTCTGGACGACATCTGTCACACTTTGACCCCTCGACATTGGTCTTGCAAGAGCAGACCCCAGTTACGTTGTTACATTCTGAGGTGAGAGAGCCTCCCATGTCACACTCACAGGGGCTGGAGATGAGGAGGAAAGGAATAAATAAATTTGACGGGAATGTTTGGAGTTCCATGCCCATATACTCTATTAAAAATATAAGTTTAAGAACAATTTAGAAATTTGATAGAGATATTATACTTGAAATAGAAGTAAAAGCCAAAAATGAGTAGACTAGTTAACTAAATACATACTCTCAAAGAAGTCAACTCTAAGAATACTGTTGGGGACTTTGGGAATCACCAGCATGCATCTATGGTGCAGATGAGCAGATTGCAGACCATGTCATCTACAACTGCCCTGTTCTCCAACCTCCTGACGGGATGACTGATCTGTCAAGCCCAAATGATGCACAAGTCAACTGGCTTACCCAGCTTCAAGAAATAACTTGATATATAATACTACTACCTCATATGAAAGAAGAAGCTGGCTTTCCTTTTTTTTTTACTACAGTAAAGACAAAAGTGACAACATACCTGCATCCTTCGGAGGTAAGATTGAAGAAGCTCGGCAGACAGCTATCACACTTCACCCCGCCGACTGTATCCAGGCAACTACACACCCCATCTTCACTGCACTGGAGATCCACAGAGCCCAAGGGATGGCAACCACAAGCTCGGCAGCCGTCAGGGTTGCCAAAATTGAAGAAGTTCTCCTGACAGGCACTACATCGTAGGTCGCTGGTAAGGCCAAGGTGGTTGGTCTGGTCTTGCAAGGCCACGCCTGATTTGCAGGGGCATTGACCGGTGATGAAATCACAAGCTTGGGTGATAGATCCGTCTTGATCACAGCTGCAAGCTATGAAAAATGAAATCAAAACAGAAGGGCACAAAGGGATGAAAACAACAACAAATGTACATTTTGAAAAAAACGTGTTCCACAGTTTAAACAGTGTTTCCACTACATCTACACAAAATTTTTTACTCTACACATCATTACTAAATGCTTAAAGTGATATTATTACTATAGCAATCATAACTGCCTAATTTAGAAACAGACCACAAATTGTGGTTGCATCCTTCTGAAAAGAGCACTAAATTTATCAAAAATCAACAACATTGGCCATAATGTAAGCTAAAAACTGTCTCTGTATGCAGTCTTTTTATTCTATTGACATGATATATGATAGGACTGGTTACCTTGACAACCGTTGGAGGTAAAGTTGAAGAAGCCAGGCAGACACCTATCACAGTTTTGACCTCCGACCCCTGGCTTGCAGAGACAAGAACCTCCGTAGGTCGAGCAAACAGTCTGTGGAAGGGAGCCTACTTCCTCACAGCTGCATTCTGTTAAGAGAGAGAGAGAGAGAGAGAGAGAGAGAGAGAGAGAGAGAAAGAAAGAGAGAGAGAGAGAAGAATGAAGTTGCCTTTAAATACATTTGCCACTCTAAGCCCAGGTGTAGAAAATGGCTACATGGTTAGGAAATCGTTCCTTGAATAGCTGCAGAACCTTAGGACTTCCCAAGTCAGACTTGGGTCCCATGCGGGACCTATTTTTAAGCTACATGTAGTGCCTGTACAGGAGCATCGAGAAGTCCACCCACAAGTCACTTTTGAGAGTGTACTTTAACATGCAAAATCTTGATTCAGATGTAACATTTGTAGCAAATACTGTTTGTATAGTATTATGATGGACCTACTAACATTCGTGACAAATAATTATTTGGTGATTGGTACATTTTAAATATAAGCTGAACTATAGTGTCAATTCGAAACTGACTTACTGAGTGCTTCTCTAACATAATTTTGAAAGCATTATGACATGGAATTAGTAAGATACAAAACTAATCATTTGGGGGGAGTGATAGTTACATTTTAAAAACAGACTGAACTATAGTGCCAATTTGAAACTAACTTACTGAGTGCTTCTCCAACATATTTTTGAAAGCATTATGACATAGAATTAGTAAGATACAAAACAAATTATTTTTTGGGAGTGATAGTTACATTTTAAATATAAGCTGAACTATAGTGCCAGTTTGAAACTGACTTACTGAGTGATTCTCCAACATATTTTTGAAAGCATTATGACATAGAATTAGTAAGAAACAAAACTACTTATTATTTGGTGAATGGTACATTTTCAATACAAGCTGAACTATAGTGCCAAGTTTAAAACTGACTTACCGAGTGCTTCTCCAACAATCTCCATCATGAGTGAGAAGGTAAATGGTTGGCAGGCTTCCAGGGCAAGAGAACGAGTTGAGTAGGCTGCAACAATCTTGAGACAGTCATCATGAGAATCTCTTTGTGCTAGATCTATAATAAAAAATACATGCTCATTTATACTTTGAATAGATGCTCTACCAAGTTCTAACAAGTATTATAGATGTATCGACTGCTATGAGAGACCTGGCTGTTTTTATAGACTCAAGGGGATGCAACGTCCCTGAGAGCCAGTATGGAAAGAGCCAGGCCTCGAATATTAAAGCAGTCAATATATCTTTTATATACTGAATTGACACAAAAATCTACCAAGAATTCTTACCTTATCCATTTCTTGAGTAAAGATTGGTTTTAACACGTAAACCAAAGGAGATCTCATCACAATTTTACTATTTGCCTGGTACCCGGAATCTTTCAGGAATCTCACTCATGTACTATTCACCGTTACTGGCATCATTTGTTTTTTTACGGGAATGGCTAAAATTATGACTCCAATTTCAACCAATCATATGGCTAGATTTCTAAAGAGAGGTATATAACATTTGTTATACATCATTCAATGAAAGAGATACCAGTTATTAATTTGTTGATTTATTATGTAAATGTATATATTAAAATGTACATGTAGTCTCTCGGCCTACAAGATTTTTTACAATACTATTCCAACATTTACACACTTTGAAGTAAATATTGTAATTTGCCCATTGTGACCAGGCACTATGTGAACGCACTGCCCGACCAACTCACATCTCCATGGGAATCAACTATACTTGATTCGATTTGATTTGATTTGATTTATTGATTTCTATATCATATTTTAAACATACATATTTCAAACATACATATTTCAAACATACACAATGTCCACCAGTGTGATATAATTTACGTTTCAAAGTGCAATACATGATACTCATACTGTATAGAACATAGACAGTATATAGGAGTACATTAATCATTTTTACAATTAAGATGAAATATAGGAGGGATACAGCGTAAGCATGAAGCTTGAAATGTTTGCAGCCCTCGATTAAACTAAACTATTATTAATTAAACTAAACTAAACTTATCTGAACTAAACTAACAGCCTACATGTGTATTATATATGAAATATAATAAAGAGAGAGAGAGGAATGACTTGTAATAGAGAGAGAAAGAGGGAAGACTGTAGAATTCCAAAATACCAGACAACTGTTGACATTACAAGACATGTTTTTGACCCCAGGTCATGTACTTACCCGCAATCTGATACACAGTAAACGAACTTGGATCTGGGAAGAGAACAAGAGTGTCAATCACCATGGAGTCCGTCCCAAGACCAGCATTGTCCAGTTCCAAAACTCCTGAGTAAGAGCAACCTTGATGGAAATCAAGGGACACATCCGAAGACCATGTGACACCTTCGCCAGGCTCCAGAGAGAAGGCAAGGTCTGCAACGTCAGTGCCAGGAGGGAATGGGCAAGAGAGGGCGGTGTCCTCAGTAGCTTCTGTGGTGATGATAAGTGCTGCCATGAGCCAGGGGGATTGGGAGAGGTAGGTGTAACGAAGTACAACATAGTTTGACCTGTGACATTTAAGACACAAAAGAAGAAATGATTAACATTTGTTATTTATTGAATCATGCTTGCATCCCCAACCCCATCTTCACGTTCCTTTGCTGTGATATACTGTATATTCAATGGAGGAACTTTAATATTCAATTCTCCTATCCCTAAGATAATCAAAATGGATTAGATGCCATGCAGAGTAAGGCAAGTTAAAAGAATTTACTGAACATCATTTATGCTGTTTTAAGCATTTAAAAAGATATGGTACAACAGAAATGCTGAACAAATATTCTTGGAAGTGTCAAAGAATTATCTTCAATTACTTATGCACAACATATATATACAGGTATCAAAGAATTACTACATGGTGAAACCATAAACTTAAAGAATGTTAAGTGCCAATTCTAGGAAATTCTGTAAAGAGGCATAGGAAGATAGAAAGAAAATACTTAAAATTTATATTTAACATTCATGTCCCTCATGTTAGCTTTTGCTGGAGAGGTTAAAGATGACCCAACATTGCTCATGCCACCATTTTGTCAAAGCTTGTGTTAAGGCTTGGTTCAGTTGGAATTTTATGTTTGGTATGGGGTATAATGTGTTGTACTACTGCTTAAGAGCACATCTATCTATCTATTTATCAGGCTATAGTTCATCCAGACGTTGGACAAAGCCCTCCTCATAACATTTCCATTCTCTTCTGTCTCTAGCTGTTCTACTCCAAGCGGCCGTTCCCATGTATGATGTTACATTGTAGGTCATCTACTTACAACATTTCTGTAACGTTGGAATATGCCCTGATGCCATTGAAGACAATCCTATCTCCTGCATCACACTCCAGATACCCCTGGCCTGAGAAAGCATCAGATGGGAAGTCAGATCGATGAACACAGGTTGAATTGGCCTCCCAAGCATCATACCTGTGACAGAAACAAAAGGAAATGTGAAAGAGATGGCTCATCTTGTTATGAAAAGGCTTTGTCTATTTCAATGAGGAGGCGCGAATGGCTCAGTGGTAGAGCAGTGGTCTCATAACTGAGAGGTCCCGGATTCAAAACAAAGTCAATACGCTCATGCCCTTTAGGCATTAATCCTCATTACCAAGTCCCTCGGAGAGGCCTTAAAGCTGTCAGTCCCCTAGTTGTTTACTTACAAGCCAATACATGCTTTCTTAGCAGTCAGGTAAAAGGATCATTGATCATTAATGTGCAAAAATATATTATAACTTCTCAGGAAGATTATCATGAGTGATTCATAACTCTAAAATATGAAAAACAAACATCGGGGATATAAATCAACTGAAGGTCGTGGCCAATTGGAAATTACAATATAAACACAACAGTGGAGGATATAATTCATATAGAAATAAATTAATGGCTATAGGGCTTACATGTACATTTGTTGTTGTTGTTAACTACATGAACCACAAATTCAAGTTAACAATAAGAATAACCTTGAAGGCTGTATAAAATAAAACGCACTGTGTGACAATGTACTTTACAGAGCTGGAGCCAAGGTAATAATTGTTAGATCATAATGTGATATGTAATTCATAAAATAGAATATATTATACATCATAGGGTTTATGTTGGAGAGCATACACTGATTTAGATAGTTTGTTATATTGAGCATTTAATATTTACAATATTGATATCAATTTATTATACACTCATGCTTGAAAAATTAAGAAACTTTTTTTGGTCATGATCAATTACATAGAGGTACTCTTACCTATTAACATCTAGATATGGATAGTAGTAACCATTCTCCACACTTGTACATGTCCGCCCTTCGATGAACCCTCGGCAATCACAACGACCGGTGACCTTGTTACAGGTCAACGACATAGCACCTCCAGGGTCACAGCCACAAGGTGAACAGTCCTGTGGGTAGAACAAGAAAGAATAATTTTGAGCAAGTACTGTACACTACAGTCAGAACGCTGTTGCATAAATTTCATTGGAAGCACTTTCTTATCCAAACTAACAATATTAGGTCAGGTATAGAAACATATTTCAATAAATATATTTAGGGTGTGTGATCGAAAATTTAGGGAAAACACAAATTTCTGATTTTTTTTTTTTTAGTACAGAGCAAATAGGAGGGGAGCTGGCAGGATACGTCAGAGTTGCCAATTTAGGTTTAATTCATCACATTTTCAAAAACCACAAACTTTCTTATTTTAAATCTGTATTTGTTTAACTTCTGCTGAATATTCCTCTCATTCTCTTATAACTGGAAAGGCATTGTATCTAAAAACAATTATCATCATTAAAATTGAAAAATTGATCCAGAGTTTGGAGAAATCCTTTAGGACAGCATACAGGTGTACATGTACATGTATACTCACCATATCTGCATTGGTAGGATAGCCATAGAACTGATCCTTGCATTCTCCACATATCCTGGTGTCAATGTTAGGCTTGCAGAAGCACTGGCCGCTGGTCTGATCACACGACTCTGTGGCATTTACCGTTCCAAGCTCATTGCAGCCACATTCTGCATAAAGAAGTTGACTTTTTTTTTAAAGTGATTCAATTAGAGGGCCCTAAAGTGAGATCTATAAAAATGGATAATATTCTCCAAAGCCTGTTTAGTAAAAGAGCCTGCCATCACCAAATAATTGAAAATCATGACATAAAAATGTTTACTGGTGAAAGGATGCTTCTTTCAACAATAGAATTACAACATGTTTGGAATTATAATGATACCTTTGTACTTGCAATTCAAATGTTTAAAAATCATTTTGACAACAATCTACATGGATCTCACCTTTAAAGATATATGTAATGTTCCCAAATAAAATAATTTGTCAAAAAAAGCATTATACAAAAACAACTTAATGAAAATGAAATCACAAAATTTTGAAGTTTAAAAGAAAAGATAGTGTTAACACCAATTATACAGCATAATGATTATACACTTCTGGATGTTGTTCACTTTTCCTTTCGTCTACATGTGCTGTTGAGCACCTTTTTAAATGTTTTCTTAAACAGTTTAATTTCAAATACCTCTACATTTGCCTGGGTCAGGCTCCAGAAGAAGTCCATAGTAGCTGTCCACGCATTGGTCGCATGCTCTTCCAGTTACATTCTCCCTGCACTCACACTGACCAATAGGAGAGCCTGTTACATCATCGGCAAACTGAGCACACTCTGTACCGTTGCCAACAGTTCCCAGAGGCTCACAGTTGCACTCTGAAAGAAAATTGTAATAATTTTCATGTTTCTTAAATTGGAAGTAAATTTTGTGAAAGCAAACAGACTGTGCGTAGACCTGCTTGATAATATAATAGTCATGGAATTAATAAAATGAAAGTATTTAAGGTAATGAGGTACATACAGACAGCCTAAAAGGGCAGTCAAGAAGGCCACTATAAGTCTTGCTTTAAACATCAAGTTTACAACACAAGACTCATCTGAAAGAGAGAAAATATACACATCACATAAATATAGAAATGAGAAGTTAGAGAAAACAAAAAAGAAATACATGTGAAGGCATTAAAAGGTAGATTGATGAATGACTTAAGACTTTGATATTTGTACAATTTCTCAATCAAAGGGATAAAACTGAAATCTAAGAATGATTAGAGAGTTTGACAGACAAATTAGGGTACATGGGTAGATCTACATGTATGCATGACATCTTTCAGTGACACCCCCCCCCCCCCCTCCTCCCCACTCCCTCCAAAACCCTGATGATATTGCTTGTTAATTATAGGATACATCAAATAATAATAAAACACATTGAACTAAAAAAACACTTACAACATATATTCTTAATATCATAATGGTTTTCCTAGCTGTTTCAGTGACCCCCCTCCCCAAACAAAAAACCATTGATCTTGCTTGTTAATTATAGGATGTATATATCAAATACATAACAATTAAAACGAAATAAAAACTTTTTAATACAACATACATTTTTAATATTATAATGATTTTCCTAAAATTTAAAGATCAGAATTTCAGATCTTTATGAAAGGAGACCATCTTTCAACACAACTTTAATATAGCACTGTTTACACCCCTCATATAGCAGTTTTTACACCCCTCACCTATACAAACATCAGGATCACTTCTCTCACGAGACGCATTGCCGAAGAAGCCATCTATGCAGATGTGGCACAAGTCGCCCGCCGTGTTGTCGTAGCAGTCCTGGCAGACCCCGTACCCAAGCGTCTCATTGTAGGTGCAGCTGTCGGCATGTTCGTTACACATACACTCTGTGCAAATAAAAAGTTGTTTGAACTTGGGGTAGGGTTGCAATTGATTGTGGTGCACAGATTTCTCTGGCAGCCCATCCAGATAAATCAAACACCAGGCCCATTTACACCGCTAAAAAAAAAACACATTTTTGAAGAACCCCTGGTATTTTTTACTGCCATTTACACTATGGAAAACCCCATTAAAAAACGTAAATGTTTGCTCGTTCTGAATTTCTGGTGTTCTGCATGCGATTGTCAGAAACGATGAAAGTCACATGACAAAAAGCTAGTATCATCGCCAATGTTTTAAGAGCAGACATTGATACTACAAAGACCTGTGAAATTTCTGCCGGCGTTTAAAAAAAAACCACTCCAGATGTTGGGGTTTTGTTTATTTGAGTTTTGTTCATGTTTACCAGTAGTTGTCTAGCAACTTTAGACAAAACACAGGAATGTGAGAAAAATGAACACTTTGTACTTGCAGTGTAAATGCAGCTTGTAAAGTGGTTGGCATATATACATTTAGAAGTCTAATTTATTTCTGAACGCGAAAGTATAGACATTTAATCAATACTCAATTAAAACTTACATGAAATGCATACAGTACAGAGTGAAAAAGGGATAACATCATTTGAGTACAATGTTGTGCAATACTTTCCTTCATTGGAAGGAAATACATTATTGAGGTTCCAATATTTGTTTTCTTGGACAAACATATTCTGAATGATTTTGAAATGCAGTTTTTAATATTGGATAGTTCCTGTACAGCCTTCAAAACATAAAATCATAGCCAAACCAAGTCGATGCGCTAGTGCCCTTTGATAAGGCATTAATCCTCATTACAAGGTCCCTCGGAGAGGACCTAAAGCCGTTGGTCCTCTGGTCGCTTACTTACAAGCATTTCTTAGCAGTCAGGTAAAAATAATCACAACCACTTGCCCCTCTCTTCTTTCTCTATTTATATGGGGATGGGCATATAAATGTAAAAGAGAGGGAGGGGCATCTCAAGAAGGGGGAGAGGCATCTATGGGAGAGGGGCAGTTAAAGGAGGGGGAGGGGTAAAGAACATGACTCACTCTGACACTCATTGGCAGTCCCTGAGGGGTAAGGGGTAAACGACCCCGCCTTCCAGGGCACATTCTTGTAGAGCGGCAGACACTGCTCACAATTAGTTCCCATGGTGTTGTGGAAGCACTCGCAGACAACGTTCCCATTCAGAGGGGAGGGGGCACAATAGCGGCCATGTTGGTTGCAGTTGCATCTGTCAAGAATACAAGAACATATTATAATTTTATTATAATTCATTGTAGGTAAGAGTCCTTGTGACAATGAATGGAACTTCCAATCAATTTAAAATTCATTTCATACACATACTCACACCTTATGAAATGGTGATTTCTGATCTGTTCAGTAAGAGTAAATTTCATCAATAATTCTTTAATTTGTATCCTACAAGAATTTCTTCAAAGAAGTCTTTAGAAGCAGTTCGAAGCCTGATTTTCCAAGTACACTTTTTTTTAATAATGTAGGTATCAATTAAGATATTGAGAGTCAAGTTTTAGAGAAGTTAAGCCTACCTGTATAAATACATGGAAAGAGTAAATACAGTGCTGTTTTTAAAAATGAGTACAAACCCTTGATTAAGAAACATATTTTTGTTAGTACTAATATGTCAAAGATTGTGTTTGTAGAGAACACTTACGTGAGGTAAGATTCAATGTTGGATATGGCATAATAATACTTGATCAGACTGAAACTCTGCCCCGTAATCTCTAATCCATCCGTTGCAGGATACAACAACCGCAGTCTAAGATCTGTAAGGGTCAACAGGTCACGAAATGCGGTATCGTTCTGATATGCCTCAACCTGAAGTTCTGGTGTAAGACCATCAGAAAATAAAAGAGCTAAGCGTTCCTCCACGCTGTACACTACATGGCCGTCGCTGTAGGGTAACGTTCCGCTGTACTCTGATGTGCAGATGACTTTTGATGCGTTTCTAATGTCAGACTGGCTCGTATCATCCAATGAGAAATCCTCTAGACAGTCTGTAGAATAGTACTGCAGCGTTTCCCAGCTGGACCCTCTGTCGCTGGATTTCTCCAGAATCATTTGCTTTGGTCGCCCTGACTGAAAGGTCAAGTCGATACTGTCCACTAGGGTGTAGGCATGGTCAAGGGATAGGGTAACGGTCACTTCCAGAGGGAGAGGGTAGTCGTACCATGATATTGACTGCCACCACGTTGGTACATCTCCGTCATGACTGTCTATGATGTACTCCGGAGGATGGGCTAGGGAAAAGTTGGAGGCATCGCATACGAAGACATCGTAATCCTGATCAAAATATGGAAGGAAAACAAAACAAATCAATAATAGAGGACATATTTTCAACTGAAAGACAGCTTAAACCCTTGCCTAATGGAGACAGATGGATTCTTTTTTAGCCTATGGGAATGAGATAATTCAGTAGCCAAAAGTTTCTAAGCCAAAATATATGGAAGCTCTAAAATCAAATGGGTTATTTCATTTAATGGAACAATAATAATGACAATGATGATGATAATTAGTGCTGTAGTCAAACGTTTAACCGTCCGGTATCCGACCGCCCATGGCGGATTCCGTTTTCAATTGGGCGGTTTCGTTTTCCCGTTTTAAAAAAAAAAAAAAAATTATAATTTTTTTTTTTTTTTTTTTTTTTTAAAGTTTCGATTTATGCCCCTCCACCTGGCACTATGCCTGGCAATGTCTCCCAGCTCAGTAATTGGTGTGATGACTTACCACTTGGAAACTAGAACAACACTCCAATTTGTCTGTCATCTTGGTTTGAAAGTAATCTTTGTAATAGATCTCAATATATATTCATCCCAGTTTAACACATGGTGTACCACAAGGTTCTATCCTAGGTCCTCTACAGTTTTTAATTTACTTTAATGATCTTACACATTATTCTAAAACGACATTGTTACTATTATTTGTGACCAGTTCACAAGCACAAATCGGCGCCTTCAGTTAAATCACCTTCCTGCTTTTTCACACGGCCAAAAAAAAAAAAAAAAAAAAAATGATTTTTTTTAATTTTTTTTTTATTTATTTAAAAAAAAAAAAATCGTTTAACCGAAAACCGTCCGGTTTTGACAGGCGGTTAAACGGAATTGGAGATATCCGTGATGTTACAGCACTAATGATAATAATCATAATAATAATCATAATCATAATATTAATATTAATAATGATGCTGATGATACTAATAAGTATAATATAATTACAATAATAATAAGATTTGTAAAATATTCAAAACAATCATTCCAGAAATTTGATATATCATTTTAAATATTTAAATATTTAAGTTCCTCAATTTATATTGCGGGAATTAAGATCATGAATGTTTTTTTCATAAATTTCAAATCGTACCCACACCAAGCAACATTATTCCGGTACATTTAGTCATCCATTGTATTTTTGGATAATAGAATCTAGAACAAATATTAAACTGAAAACTGCATTATAAATAGAAGGATAATGCAATTAAGATTGAATGCTCTGTTGATTTTATACAAGTGATACAACCAAAGCAAACAGATACTGGATCTGTATGAATACAAAATTTGCTGAGGGTAATGTCATCAACTAATGAAATTCACCCCCCCCCCCCCGAGAATCAATATTAAAGAGTGTAACCATGGCAACCATTGTTGTTGATGTCACAGATGGTAGGTATGGCCATGGAACCACTTTGACTAATTAAATTGTATGCACCCAACATTATGCCTACAAATGTATGTATCTAGGCTTTGGTTATTGATAATTTTCATTTCTTACTCAAGGTAAGCATAATTAGTATAAAACTGCTTTGCAATTATTCTAATATCAAAATGAAACATAATCAGTGATCTGCTTAACTTGAAATTTTATAAGTTTCTTCATTTCTTGTCAAAATAAAATAATTTCCATACATTCCTACTTTCTATACTTTGAAAAATCATAAATTTGAGTCATATAAACCATAATACACAATGGTACTACTTCAATACTTTTACATGAATGCACTACTTATTGTACAATCTGTTGACTAGCAAAAGAAAATATGTGTTGGAACATATTTCAATATCGAGCCTCCAGCAATCACACTATATTTAATAGAAATCACACTTAATAAAAGTAGTAATGTTTTGTTTTGTAAAACAAAATTATGCATGTTAATCAATTAAAAAGTTTATTAAAATCATTATCAACTACATACATTGTACATGTACCGGTACTGCAAGATAATACATGAGATATTACAATTCCAGAACAAAGACTTAACCCTTACTGTACTGGGGGGGGGGGGGGCCTGGGAGCCCCCCCCCCCTCGACATTTTCGGAGATCGCGCCGCAACCGCTTGGAATTTTGAATTGTCGTTTCATGACTTTTTTCCCTTAAGTCTTGCGCACATTTTGATACCATTTTCGTCAAAATCGGATATACCTGTAAGGTGTTACATAACAATTAGTATGCGCATGTCAATCAAAAAAGTGCTATAATTGCATATATTCATGTACAAACAGAAATGTGAAGATATGAAATGATATGAAATTGCTTTTATATGTTTCTCAGAGTAACTTGATGTATTCCAGAACAAAAGAATACATTAGAAATAAAACAATAGATATAATAAGAAATAAAAAACAATAAAATACATAAGAAAATAAATAGTTGAAAATCGCTTCAAATTTGCATAAATTATCATTATTAATTACATCAAATAACTATTTCGTGTGAGAAAAGAAGTTTCATATGAATAATGAGTTTCAACATTCAAAAAGTGGAGTCTGACAATTTTTGTAATGATTCTAGTTCCCTAAATATAGTTCCTGATTTGATATTCATGAATGCGTAATTGGCATATTCATAATTTATGCAAATTAACCTATGCATTTTCAAATATAAAAATAATGAAACCTCATGAATTTGAGATGAAGGAAACATTTATTCAATACATTTTCAAGATTCTTCACAAGTCTACGGACAAATATGTAGCATTTTCTGTAAAATGCATAAAATTAGCATTTTGCATAATTAATTAGGCTATAACGACAAAAATTTGCATAATAGGAAAAAACTAATTATACCATCTTGTTCCTTACGTAAATATCTACAAATATGCAAATGTTCGTGTTCATCGGACATTCGACGGCCGAGATCATAGGGGGGGAGGGGGGGCCTCCCAGGCCCCCCCCCCCCCCCCCCAGTCAGAGGGTGCTCAAAATAGCCCAGTACAGTAAGGGTTAAAGGCACTTTACATCTAAAAATTAGCACATATTGAATTCAGAGTATTGATCAAGCTTTAACTCGGTATGATACAGCAAAAACACTAGAGTCAAAAGAATGTTCAGCTGCCAGGAATTAAATGAAGTACTTTTGTAGTTTACTATTATGACTCATTCTATTCTCATTGGGTGGAGTCACTTTTTAGCCTTTCAATCGACCCAATAATGACCAAGTTGATTATGTTTCCTTTTGCTTGATGCGCACGTAGCAGAATTTAGAAGAAAAAACAGTGGCAACTCACTGTACAGAATGTTATGAAAGAGAAGGTAATTTTGCTGCTTCCATTTCTTTGTATTCTCTTGGGTTTTTTAAAGCTCTGAACAAGGTTTCGATATCTAACGAGATATGTCATTGGTCCCATGGTAATCAAATAACATGTACATGTACATGTACATGTATGTAGGAAAGTAGGTTCAACTGTTTTACATTGTACATTGTTATTATAATGTGCAGGCCTAGAATATGACATCTAATGGTTCCAGTCCATTAAATCGATCATAAAATGACATTCAGACAAATTTACATCAATTCATCCTATTAATGACTGCACTTACAACTGTAAATAGATCTCCTCTTTTCAAGTTCAATTGATTGTGTGCTTCAGCATCAACAAATTTCTGTCAAGTTTCAAGTTTGCACTTGAATTCTCACCCTTCTGCTATCATGCTATATACTTCCCCCCCCCCTCTCTCTCTCTCTCTCTCCCTCTCTTACAAAATGTAACTACCGGTACATGTACGCGATACAGCTACATGTATGTGAGTACTATTCCTACATGTATTTAATTCTACTTTTTCTGGAGGTTAATAAGGGCTAAGGTAATTTTCCTAGATCATGCTAGTTTTCTTGCATACTGTACATCACTTCGAAACATACAGTAAAAGTTGAAAGACGCAATGACAAACATGCATTTTTATAAAAGTAATTAATGAGAAAATGAAATGACTTTGAAACATAAAGTTGTAAGACACAATGAGAAACATGCAAAGAGCAAAGTGATTAGCGAGTAATTAGAAATGAAATGACTTTGTAAACTTAAAATGTAAATAATTACCAGAGTGCTGTAGATCTTTCTGCTCACATCAGGACTGAGTCCACACGTTGAATTGACCGGATCCACAGTGACAGATAAATCCAGCTGTGAAAGGGCCTCGGAGCTCGCAGAACAGGCAAGATATTCTACGGTTCCATCTGAAAGCGTTCTTTCGCATTCCTGATTCAAACTTATTCCCCCGCTCTGAGTCCTCGCTAATGAAAACAGCGTCCATAAATAAGCCAGCACCAGCATCCCAGAACCTCTTCTCTGTGTTCTACGTGTCCTACTCATGAGTGAGAATTTGTACAAATCTTCCATCCTCGTCAAGTCTTTCATGCTGGCATTAATGCCTTTGAAGTTAAACTTAAATTAAATAATCCTAAATGCTATGAGACAAAATATATACCCTATTTGGTCTTCTTTGCATCATGTAGGCCTACTCAATTGGAGAACTTGAGATTGAACATACAGAAGTGTTAAGTGTAGACATTTTTCCCCCTTTCTCACATTAGTTGCACAGTACGGTCTTGATACTCCTGTGTAGTTTGTCCATCCTGTTGCTTTTTAGTTGGGTGATGAACTCTGACCTTTGACCTCCATCAAGCAGATCTCAAATGGGCCATCCTAGTCGTATAAAAGAAGTGTGAAGAGAGAGAGAGAGAATAATAATACGTCATAGGGTCATACATAAAATTCATCTGGTCAAAGATCACCTCGGGCTCTTCATAATCTGTTTTTTCTTTCTTTTTTCTGCTGCAGCTGCATGAACTAGTGCCAGTGTTGAAATATGATTTTTCTTTGTTCATTTATTTTGAAGAAAGAGCCTGTTTATTTTCAACAGTCTGACATGTATACGTAGATCATTCACATCGTCTTTACAAACATGTCGTTTGTCTGCAAAGGTTGCTTATTAATTCCAGACAGTCGATTTCATTATTTCTTCTTCTTTTTCTTCAGGTTAAATCTACCTCCTCCTGGTGTGGAGATTCTTCAAACAGTTTACAAGCAATTATATTTATGATTCATACATCTTGTAAGACTTATGTTTGCCAATATTCTAAATTATAGAAGTACTACAGGACAGATATTTATGATGGATTGAATTAGTGCTATTTGATGCTAATTTTCCATGAAAGTACAACGTGACTACATGTATGAAGGGGTGACCAAAGTTTGCAGACATTTTAGAACATATTACAACATGTGATATTTGTCTTATTTGATCTATGATTTCTCATATTCTACACAAATTAATTTATTTCAATTGTTCCCAAATGGACGGCAAAGTTTTGTACTACAGATTGGTTAAACTAGAAAATTTTTCGTCAAAGGATTTCAGAGATATTGTGATCTAAAAAAGTCATAAAAACAAAGAGACTTAAACTTCACGCACAGGGGTTTACAGTTGATTTATCAAAAAATGTGATCCATCAAAAATTATAATTTGCAAGGCAAGATATCATACAATCAGTTAGTGACACTTTTTACTTACAAGTTTGAGGAAATCTGCTCTCAAATTAAAGATTTCCAGACCCTTATCGGTATTAAAGTGAATAATTTTTCGGAACGGACGCAAAAGATTGCAAAATTTGCCAATCTTTTGACATTATTTTCACAATTTTGTACCCAATTCCAAAGAAAATTTCATCTCTGGCTAATTTTATGTTCCTCTTTCCATTGGTGATATACCAGATTTTTCAAATCTTACTGATTTTTTGAGATAGTGAACTTAGGTCAAGCGCAAACTTTGGTCACACCCCCAAACCTCCATACCACCCATCCTTTCCTGCACAATCAAAATAATAATTTATGGGCAGGGCCAGGGGAATTTGAGTTAAATTTGGACATATTAACAAAAATAAATTAAGCCATCACTTTTATCTTTGGATATTATAAATGTATGATCCAGTCCAGTTTGTGATTCAGAATCAGATTCAGATACGGGTATGGCGCGCCATATGCCCAATAACCCCGAAAAAAAGGTTTATCGACGAAAAACAAGGTTTATCGAGCGAAAAACAAGGTTTATCGAGCGATAAACCTTGTTTATCGTGAGAAACTCTGTATATCGACTGATAAACACAGTTTCCCTCGATAAACAAGGTTTATCGATGATAAACAAGGTTTATCGAAAAACAAGGTTTATCGAAAAACACGGTTATTCGTATTTCGTCAGGAGAGGGCGCTTTTTAAAGTTGCACCCAGCTCAGAGCACTGCTCCACACGTGCGCTTTACACCGTAGAATATACCAACACCGTAACATTATTTTGCTCGCGCTCATGACGTACACGATCGACATTTTCTGAGTGGAGGTATGGCGAAGTATTCTTAATTCCAGGCTTTTTCCCCAATTTTTGAAATGTTATGTTTATATATCTCTCTCTCTAGCCCTCTCTCTCTTTCAAACTTTCTAGGTTTCCCCTTCTCTTATCTCTCTCACTCTCCCCCTTTCTTTCTCTCACTCTCTCTTTCTCCTACCCTCTCAATATAACCCTTCTGTCTTTCCCTGTCTTTCTTCTAATTCTCTCTTTCCCTTTCTCTTTCCTTTTTCTTTCTCTGCACTCCCTCTCTGCCTCCTCCCCTTTTATCTATTTCCCCCGGTATGAGAAATAGGGTAGAGATAGATGGTTGGAGAGAGAGGAGAGATAAATGAGAGATAGAGGAGAGATAGAGCAGGGGAAAAGGAGAGATAGAGCGGGGATAGATGGATGGATATAGATGGAGAGAGAGAGAGAGAGAGAGAGAGAGAGAGAGAGGAGAGATGGAGAAGAGATATTTTAAAGATAGATGGATGAAGATAGAGGAGAGGTAGAGCGGGGATAGATGGATGGTTATTGAGGATAAATAGAGGAGAGATAGAGGAGAGATCGAGCGGGTGAAAGATGGATAGAGATAGATGGAGAGAGAGAGAGAGAGAGAGAGAGGAGAGATAGAGCAGGGATAGATGGATGGAGATTTGAGAGAGAGAGAGAGAGAGAGAGAGAGAGAGAGAGAGAGAGAGAGAGAGAGAACAGATAGAGCAGGGAAAGATGGATGGTGAATATTAGAGGAGAGATAAAGGAGAGAAAGGGTAGAGATAGATGGATGGAGAGAGAGGACAGATGAATGAGAGATAGCGGAGAGATAGAGGAGAGATAGAGCAGGGATAGATGGATGGAGAGAGAGAGATAGAGAAAGAGGAGATATAGGGTAGAGATAGATGGATGGAGAGAGAGGAGATATAAATGAGAGATGGAGGAGATAGAGGAGAGATAGAGCAGGGATAGATGGATGGATATAGATGGAGAGATAGAGAGATATAAAGGAGAGATAGAGGAGAGATAGAGCGGGGATAGATCGATATCTCTCCTCTATCTCTCCTCTATCTCTCCTTTATCTCTCCTCTCTCTCCACCCATCTACCCTGCTCTATCTCCTTTATCTCCATCTATCTATCCCTGCTCTATCTCTCCTTTATTTCTCATTCATCTCTCCTCTATCTCTCCATCCATCTATCTCTACCCTAACTCTCCTCTATCTCTCAATCTATCTCCATCCATCTATTCCTGATCTATCTCTCCTCTATCTTCCCTCTATCTGTCCTCTATCTCCATCTATCCATCTCTACCCTATCTGTCCTTTATCTGATTGTATCTCTCCTCTCTCTCCAACCATCTATCTCTACCCTATTTCTCATACCGGGGGAAATAGATAAAAGGGGAGTAGGCAGAGAGGGAGTGCAGAGAAAGAAAAAGGAAAGAGAAAGGGAAAGAGAGAATTAGAAGAAAGACAGGGAAAGACAGAAGGGTTATATTGAGAGGGTAGGAGAAAGAGAGAGTGAGAGAAAGAAAGGGGGAGAGAGAAAGAGATAGATAAGAGAAGGGGAAACCTAGAAAGTTTGAAAGAGAGAGAGGGTTAGAGAGAGATATATCAACATAACATTTCAAAAATTGGGGAAAAAGCCTGGAATTAAGAATACTTCGCCATACCTCCAACTAGGCGTTGTGGCGTGCGCCTGTAATCCAGCTAACAGTGGAAGTTACAAACTGATTTAGCCGAGGACGCAGGTTCGAAACTGAGTCACGTCTTTCGGATGGTGACGTTAAAGATGAAGTTGAGTTCTGGTCATGCGATTGCATTGTTTTAGAAAGGGTGTGGAATCGACCAGAAAAGGTTGATCATCTAGTATAAGAATTTGTGTGTATTGTAAGGTTCTGGAATCATCAAAATGATAAGAAATTTGGCAAAGTCTTGGTAAATTTACAAACACTGTACACAGAAAGATGTATATGGGACTACACGAACACGTGGCGTAAAAATCCTACCCCCGAGTTTTACGATGTAACATGACATATTTAGAATATGAAGGCATTTGAAGAGCCATGCTTTTCAGGGAACATGTCTTATCTGATGTTCTTCCACACTTGCATAATAAGAATGATAACGCTCACAAATTATTTTTCACCTCTTCCCAGAACTCAACCTTCTCTTTAAAGGTCGGTCCCCAGACGTAAATAATCATATCTGATTGATACACGTCTGTAAAAACCAAATACACACACACACACACAATTAGAAAATGTCGATCGTGGTCATGAGCGCGAGCAAAATAATGTTACGGTGTTGGTATATTCTACGGTGTAAAGCGCACGTGCGGAGCAGTGCTCTGAGCTGGGTGCAACTTTAAAAAGCGCCCTCTCCTGACGAAATACGAATAACCGTGTTTTTCGATAAACCTTGTTTTTCGATAAACCTTGTTTATCGATAAACCTTGTTTATTGAGGGAAACTGTGTTTATCAGTCGATATACAGAGTTTCTCACGATAAACAAGGTTTATCACTCGATAAACCTTGTTTTTCGCTCGATAAACCTTGTTTTTCGCCGATAAACCTTGTTTATCGGCGATAAACAATGTTTTTCGGGGTTATTGGGCATATGGCGCGCCATATACGGGTACACAATAAATCGTAAATTCAAATTGCTGGCATGAATTCCATGAAACACTAATTCACAATCAAAATCAAATGATAGGCTAGATCAGGCCTACCTCCTCTCATCCGTGAACCAAGTTCAACCAACAACTGCAAATCATCATCACATTAATAAATAAACACAGCCTCTCACATCTCATTCATTTCCTGCATGCTCCCTCTTACCAAATCAGTAGCACAACCAAGCATATCGTTCTCACTACCTGCGCCTACAGTACCGGCGTCATCGCATCCTACTGATCCGCTGAAAAGCAGCGAAACTTCGAGTCGATAGAGAGTGACTCATGGCCCTGTAGCTGGGTGGAATGTCATTACCAACGAGATAGCGTCTCGCCTCCTCGCAACGGACGCTACCCTTTTGACCTCTGCATGCATGCACATTCAAAACATCACTCTTCTCGGTATTCTCTTGAAATCTAAGTACCAGAGACATACAGTAGATTCTACGTTGACTTAATAAAAAGGAACATTATCTCACCAATTTCAAATTAAAGGCATTCCATGTTCGGGTAGGCGTCTTAACCGTAATTTTACCCAACCTTTCCCTTTCACAATTTTAATGATCGATGAAACCATCAAGTGTGACCGCGTTCAATATTATTGTGCTGTGATTGGCCCATATCCTAATTGGCAATTATGTATGCATTTTGTAGGTTAGGAGAATTTGTGTTTGATCAGGTTAATAGGAGTTCCAGCAAGGAGGTCTTGTATATTTATAATTCGTTCCTTGAAATCACCGAGGCAAAAGAACACATCTCAAGTAATCAAGAAACATAGATTATGGGCTATATTTTTTTGTTCGCTTTTCACTTATTTATACACTATAACAATCATGATTCAATTCTGTTTATTAAATTGAGACTCGATCATCACCGTTCTTTGTTACGCTCTTCTCTCTAGTCTCTCTCTCTCTCTCTCTCTCTCTCTCTAGTCTCTCTCTCTCTCTCTCTCTCTCTTTCTCTCTCGTCAGACCAAAGAGATACCTCTTTGGTCAGACGGGTTCCTAATTTGTATACAGAGGCGGTGGTCCCGGGGGCTGGGGAGGGGGAGGCACAGTACCCCAACTTTTGTACTTTGAACGCCGGAAATAAAATTGATCAAACAAACAAACAAACAAAAAAACTTATTCAAGTACCTCCAAATTGCCCCTATTTACATAGGAAAAGTGTCCCTACTTTGTAACGTGCCCCTTTAGTTATGTAAGAAGTGCCCCTTTTACTTTGAAAATTAATTACCCCTATTACTTTCTAAAAGTGCCCCTTCCTCTCTATTTTAGTCTTCGTTTGTTTGTAAGAAGTGCCCATTTTACATTGACAAGTGCCCCTATTACTTTGTAACGTGCCCCTTTAGGTTTGTAAGAAGTGTCCCGTTTACTTTGACTTGTGCCCCTATTACTTTCTTAATATTATTATTGGTATTATTTATTCCACCATTCATATAAAAAACACAAATACAATACAGCATGGCAAGAGACAAGTACATAATAAGAATGACAAACACATGCAAAGAGATAAGGGAGCAGCAAGTGGGTCAGGGTGCACACAAGTGCAGTTCAACACTGTTGCCCGGAGGAATGTGTCCCCACACATGCTACTCCCAGTACATAATTAACAATTCTATACATAGAATATTGCACATGATAAAAGGGGGAAGATAAACATTACTATATCCTTTGCAGTACTAGGTGTGTCCCGAGATGTGTCCATTTTCCATTTTCATAAGTGCCCTCTATAATCTCTAGTAAGTGCCCTTTTCTGGTACAAAAAGTGCCCCTTTTCCTCTGTAAGAATTGCCCCTTCCCCTTTTAATAACTAACCCTTTATAACTTGGATAAGCGTGCATTTTATTTGAATATAATTATGCCCCTTTTCCTTATTATAAGTGCCCTATTTAAAAATGATAGAGCCCCTTCCCCTTCACATAAATACTTTTTTTCACTTATGAAAAGTGACCCTTTACAGGTACGAGAAGTTACTCCTCTTCACCTCTGAAAATTGCTCCTACTCTGAGGGATGCTCGTTTTTACTTTGACAAGCCCCCTTTCCCATTCTGTTAAGTGCTATTTTCATCTATGATGAGTGCCCCTTTTCACTTCTAATAAATGCCCCTTTCTATTTTGAAACGTGCCTCTTTTCCTTTCTAATTAATGCTCTTTTTCTTTTTATAAGCGTCCCTTCTCTTTGCCCCATTTATTTTAGCATGTGCCTATTTTTCTTTTTAATAAGACCTACTTAGGCCTATCCCTTTTCCTGAAAGCCCCCTTTCACCTCCGATAAAGTCCCCTATTAAAATCTGATCGGTGCCCCTTTTCTTTTATTAAATGCACATTTCCTTTATTATAAGTGCCCCCTCTCATATCTGGTCATATATAAATGTACACCTTATAAAAAAAAAACCATGGTATTGATGGTATTATTGTCAAACTGGTAACCGTGGATACCATGAATGATATAAGACCCCCCAAAACATGGTTTACCATGATTCTTTATCATGAGCCCCCTTTTTGTGCGATAAGTGCCCCTTTTACTTTCTAATAAGGAACTATCCTTTTTCATAAATGCCCCTTTATACACCTAATAAATGCTAATTTCAAAATCTGCTCATGAGTGCCCCTTTTCTGTTAACGAATGCCCATCCCGTAAAAGTCTTTTTTCATCCCTGGTGAGTGGTGAGTGCCTCTTTTCAGGTGTAATCAAGTTGTGCACTAATATATTTTCACCTCTGATAATTACCCTTTGTAATTGGCACGTGCTCCTTTTCTTTTTTAATAAGTGTGTTATCCTAGCTTTCGATAAGTAGCTTAGCTTTTCCTCTCATCAATAAACGCGCGGTCCTCACATTTATAGATGATGAAATTAACTCATCCCAATTTTCAATATAATTTATAACGGTAACGGTACATATCTAAGTAGACTCCCTATTTTTAGCCAAATAATCTTAGCCTTTTATCAAATTAATGTGCTGTAATTATTTAAGACAGGTGTCCTTATTCGAATTATATTATGACACAACATTCGAATAAGGACACGACATTAAAATTGAGCATCGCGTCTTTTTGTTCTGATTCAAATACAAATTCTCCCAACATTTGCGCCTCCTCCCTCAATCCATAATCAGCGAAATTGTTGTGGTAGAAATATCAAATAGACTAACTGAAAGTCGAAGGATGGCTGGAAGAACGATGCCAATTTTAACAGGATGATATGGACATTAAGAGAAATAAGGTAATGTTTACGTTTTGTATTTCTTGTTTCATATCTTAAGTCAAGACTATTTTCATAGATAGAATTAGACTCTAGAGTCTACTTTCCCGTCGCATCCGAGGCGAAGCTAGCGCTAGGTACCGGCGCGGTGGGACGAGCAAGGGAGTATTCACTCGTGCCCGAAGTTACGGCGTCCAGTGTGGGCTAAATTCCCGAAACCATGGGCCTGGGTTAGATAGAGTTTGTTAGACTTATACTAGCTTAGACTTGTTGGAGAGCTAACGGTTGACTAAATTTTAAATATAGTTTTAATGGCACTAGATCTAGACTATTGTGTAGGCCTAGATCAAGACTATATCAGATTACATAGAAGGCAATCCAACTCTGCTTCATAATTTGCTTGCACTGTTTGTTGCATGATGTGACTTTCGATTTTAATTTTAATTTTTAATTTTTTTTTACTTAATAATAAGTTATAGGCCTAGGCCTATGCTTAGAGTCTATAGACTAATCTTGTTTATCGTAAGAAAGTTGAATGTTTGAAAGATTTTGATCACTCAACACTGTTTAATCTACCGGTAGGTCTTTTCTATTGTAGGGCCTAACAAGTTAGGGGCATGAGGGGTCAAACATTATTTGATTACAAGTCGCCAGCATAGATAATCTAGATTATAGACTATGTGAATCTTAACTTAACTTAAGTTTTGATATTTAGTCAGTTCATCACTTAGTTTCAGTTGTAAATGTGATATTAAACAATAAAGTTAGTATAAACCTTTGACAAGGAAAGTGAAATCAATTTCATTGCTATTAATACTAGACCTAGTATTAGATAAATATTTTCACGGTCCTATCTTGCCATTTAAACTGGGCTTTGAGGTGATATGATAAAATTTGTAGAAATAATCAATGATTTTAATGTTTTCATTTCATCTATTCTAGGCCTACACTCTACAGCCGATTAGTATTACTGTCATGAAGTCTTCAAACTCAACAATGGAAATAAACTTCTTTGAAAGGACTAGAAAGCTAGCATTCACAATGAGGAGCCTGTTAACCGTGATACTCTTATTTCTTGCCTCACCAACTTGCCTTGTGAATGGTCAGGGATCATGCAACAGAGCATGCTATCCTCAATTTGTAAATCTGATTGTAGACAATCCCAGCAGATCAGTCGCAACAGACTCGACATGCGGAAGCCCCCCAGCCCAATATGAACTCCATGTTGCCAGCAGTACAGGCGACACTTTCACGATAGAGACCTGTGATGCATCTAACCCGGATACATCTTATCCTATCGAGGCTGCGTATGATTTCAATTCATTTACAATACTCGGTATGGTGTTCACCTCGCCTCAGTTTGACACGTGGTGGCAGTCGGAGAACGCAGCCTCTGACGTTCACCTGACCTTGAACCTCGGGGACGAGTTTCTGTTCCAACAGACGGTGATCTCGTTTCGGAGTTACAGGCCGGCAAGTTTGATCATCGAGAAGTCGGTCGTTGGGGGTTCGAATTGGAGTCCATTGAGATACTATGCCATCAACTGTGCCTCAACGTTCCCAAATGTCCCTGTTTCCAGTGCGTTCAACTCTGAGGCGGACTGCACAGAGGAGTATGTTTTTGGACACAGCATGACAGAAGTAGATGGAGAGGATATTCAAAGGGTTTGTATCAAGACAATTTTAATTATTAACCCATGTACAACTTAATTATTATATTCCCCATTACAGGAACCACCAGGGGCCAGTTCCTCTAAGTTTGTTGACATAAAAAAGAAATGCCTGTTAATTCTATAACACAAGCTTAAAGGGGATGTCCAAGAAGTTTTAGAATTGTTACGGTTTCGAGAAATGCCCCCTGGTTCCAGTTGGGCATAGTGTGAGTATTTTTGGGCAGCAACTGATAGTATTCGCCAGATGAAAAGAATAGTTACAGACATTTCTTGAAAAGCTAAGTAGCTGTCTCGAGATATGAAATAAATATCAGCTGGAGATATCTACTACTACTACTAGAGGCGCGATGGCTCAGTGATAGAGCAGTGGTCTTGTATTCAGGAGGCCTTGGGATCAAATTACTTCAAAACTAAGTTGATGAGCTTGTGCCCTTTGGTAAGGCATTAATCCTCAATACCAAGTCCCTCGGAGAGGACTTAAAGCCATCGGTTGCCTACATATAATAAGTACAGTTTTCTTAGCAGACAAACAAACAAGCAAACAATGTATGATACTGTACATGTACATGATGTAGGCAGGTTGTCTTTATACATCTTAAGTAAGTTCCATTTACATGTATGTTTTAATGAGAAGCATCATTCAAGGCAGGTGGTCGCTAAAGCCTGTTTTACCGTAGGCCTAATGGGCTCTCTGATAGGGCGAAGGGAGAGAGGGCAGGAGACATTTCCTAGGAGTTAAGAAGGTTTGGAGCATTCATAGAAAGTGGGGAGGAATGCAATACCTTTAGTAAAAGATTTGTCATCATATGAAAAACGGTGTTAACAACTATTTACTGTACAATTGTTCAAACTCCAAACTTAAATGATGAAGAAATAAGGGCAAGATTTTGAATAGGAATACATTAATTTATTAGTCCTGTGTTAAACCTTAAACAAATCGCTCTAGTTTCACATCGAAGAATGGAACTCTCTGCAACATTTTTGTTTTTCTATTAATCTGGAGAGAATTGATCTCTACCCATCTGCTGTTTGTTCAGTCAGTCAAGATTTTGTGTAAACAATGAATGAAGTGGGTGATTTCTTTGTACACACAGTGAATCTTATTGTTGACTTTCCTTTGGCAACAGCTGTGGGTTCATTTTCACCTTGTTTTGGGAAATTGATTTTTCTGCCCCTTCCATATTCCACCAAAAGTAGCCCTTAGCAATAGACACAAAGGGAAGTATTTAATGAATTATTATGAGTCATTTCTCTAATCACAGATGAGGTTTTTAATTTTACTAGTTTTCCATTTCACTTATACTGCACTTGCATACTACAGTATATGTGAAGAACTATCCTTATGTTTTTGTGTATAAAGTGACTTTTTAAATTGAAAAAATTTGAGATTTTCATGTTTTATGATAGGCACAAATTATTATGTAATGTTCAATAATGGTATATGGTAACCGTAACTTAAAAACCATAATGAAGGTTTTTGTAAAGGATAACAGATCTATTGGAAGGCCTGTAACATATCATCGGATCGGGGGCTGATCTTGAGCCGATCAGGGTCGCCGATCAATAAAAATCAGCTGATTTTTTTATAATTTAAAAAATATTTATTTTAATTTTTTTAAATGCCGAGTATTTTCAAGTTTTTGGCTATCAAATGCTTTAAAAAAATTCATAGCTTGGATTATTTTGACCATCAAACAATTGTTGCCAGAGCATACATGTATGAGTACAGTATAACCAAAATAATAGTTAAATTTCTCAATAACTTGTGTAATGTGTATTGTTTGCTTTCTTTACAGTTGATTTACAATCCAGTCCAAGAGCTAGAACAGGCATACTTTGAATACGACAACCAGCGTTACTTTGCTCTCACTGGGCTGCGAATCACGCTAGTTCAGCCTGGCAGGCAGGATCCTCTCCGTAGCTTCTTTGCAGTAGCAGACTGGAATGTACAGGGACAGTGCCTTTGCTACGGCCATGCTGCCACGTGCGTAGGCTCGGTAAGGCCTGATCAGTACATGTACATGTAGTTCACTATAATCCTTTAGTAAGACATTAATCTACATGTACATTGTACATCTGCCACTCTCCAACCAGGTGTTAAATGGGTACCCGGAGTAACCTGGTAGGATGTGCAGGTTAATTGTATTGGATTGGCATGTGTGTGCTTGTAAAATGGCGTTTGACGGAATACTGTCCAGGGAGCGAAGCTTGTATACTATCATTTGTGGATTAGCACTTGAATCCAATGACCAGGGTAATAATATTTACAATGTAAAATGCTTTAGTAGAAACTATGCAAATGTGACTACAGGTATTATTGTTTTATAATGATTTGTCCTGCCGGTGGTGGATCTGGAGTGGGGATCGGGTGGGGTTCCATTTCCAATCAATTTTCAAGACACATAGTAAATAATTGCCAACTGTTTTGTGCTGTTGCTGTTTAGTATATCAATAAAATGGGGAATTGAACAATTTCACTATAAAGCATCTACAATTGTATTAATTTCTTAACAAACACATTGCCCAAAACAAAATTATTTAAGCTAATTAAAACATTAAAATATGTCGTTGCTTTTTATCAAAGCATAATGTGATTTTTTTGTCCTGTGGTGATGCAATGTCAATTCAAAATAGCAGTTATAGAAAAAAAAAAAAACTTATGGAAATGGTTAATGCTGTAATGTAATTCAAATATACTGTATGATTTCAACCTAAATTCCTTTTTACTTTCTATTTTGTAATATTGACTCAATCACACTGAAGAATGAAGCAGAATGCGAGTGCCAACACAACACAGCAGGAACCCACTGTGATTCATGCCTTCCTCTTTACAACAACAAACTATGGCAGGCAGCTGTAGGCTCCGAGACTAATGCATGTGAAGGTAAGGTCTTATTGAGGTGTAGTGGTTTGGTTGATGTAACATTGGAAGGTCTAGGGTTCAAGTCCCAACTGTAGTATTGTAATGTAAACGGCAACAAATAACATGGCAGGCAGCTGTGGGCTCCGAGACTAATGCATGTGAAGGTAAAGTCTTCAGAGGTGTAGTGGTTTGGTTACTGTAACATTGGAATGTCTAGGGTTCAAGTCCCAACTGCAGCATTGTAATGTAAACGGCAAAAACAAACTTTGGCAAGAACCTGTAGGCTCAGAGACTAATGCATGTGAAGGTAAGGTCTTCAGAGCCATAGTGGTTTGGTTACTGTAACATTGGAAGGTCTAGGGTTCAAGTCCCAACTGCAGCATTGTAATGTAAACGGCAAAAACAAACTGTGGCAGGCAGCTTTAGGCTCTGAGACTAATGCATGTGAAGGTAAGGTATTCAGAGCTGTAGGGGTTTGGTTACTGTAACATTGGAAGGTCTAGGGTTCACGTCCTAACTGCAGCATTGTAATGTTAACGGCAACAAAAGACCATGGCAGGCAGCTTTAGGCTCCGAGACTAGTGCATGCGAAGGTAATGTCTAATTGAGGTGTAGTGGTTTGGTTACTGTAACATTGGAAGGTCTAGGGTTCAAGTCTCAACTGCAGCATTGTAATGTAAATGGCAAAAACAAACCATGGCAGGTCGTTGTAGGCTCAGAGACCAATGCATGTGAAAGTAAGGTCTTCAAAGCCGTAGTGGTTTGGTTACTGTAACATTGGAAGGTCTAGGGTTCAAGTCCCAACTGCAGCATTGTAATGTAAACGGCAAAAACAAGCTATGGAAGGTAAGGTCATCAATAAGAGTTGTAGTGGTTTGGTTAATGGGACAGTGGTGTACCTAGGGTTCAAGTCCCAGCTTGGTGTGATGTAGTCAGTCTGTATCAACAAGACATTGCAGACTGCCCTTGAGAGGCTCTCAGACCAATGCATCGTAGCATGTTTAGGATAACATTTTGTTGCTGTTTCCTTCTCTTTATTTCACAGATTGTGGTTGCAGTGGAAGAGCGGACGACTGCGTATACGATGAAGTCAAAGGTTACGGTGTCTGCCAGGACTGTCGGGAGAACACGTCTGGGGACAAGTGTGAGGTCTGCTTAGCAGACTACTATCGCAATCCTTACACCAACCTTGCCTTCAATGAAACTTGTATTGGTATGATGCTACTTAAAATGTTTGACTAACGTGCAGCGTTCATGTTGTCTGGTTATAATTTTAACCATGTGTGTGCTACATGCCTAATCATCATGTGTTGGAAGATTAATCATTAACGAACTGGGTTTTATTTGTGTTTTCTGTATTTCATCTGGCACAAAAGAGAATGATCCTAAAACAATTTTTAACATTTTCTTTTGTCATATTCTTAGTTTGCTCTTGCTCTCATTAATTTTGAGCCAGCAACATGTACAGCACATGTACAGATATAATGTGCATATTTCACTTTCAGTATTAACAAATAAGTCTACTATGGGAAATCGTATTAAATGAGGAAATTATTTTTCTGTAACAAAACGTAGGATGTTTTGAGAAAGTTTACAATACAAAAGGATTACTCATGCCTTCTTACAGAATTTGTATTTTCTTCTCAGTTACTTCGAGATTGGTCTTTATTTTAAAGCCAATATCAAATAATAACCAGTGCATTTTATTGTAAATAATGATATAAAAATATGACATTTGAAATGTTAGTATCATAAGATGGATGACTTTTTTGAAGTTTTGCAAATTATGCTTACCTACTAACCCTTCTTTATTAATTAATTTGCCTAAATTAGCATCAGCAACTGAGTGAACTCATTTTATAAACCATTTTCATAATGTAATCAAATTTAATGCACAGATCTTTGTTAAGTGCCTTGCTACAAATTATTTCTTTCATCTGTTACAAATTTCGATAGACAGAATGCAAATTGCATAAATTGTGTGTTGTTAGGTAGGGCAAGCCATAATATTTGTCCTACCTAGCAACAACTAATGTACGCTATTTGAATTCTGACTATTGAGATTCATTTATTCGTAACGGGTGTAAGAAATGATTTGTGACAAGGCATTTAAAAAAAATGTATTCATTGAATCTGATTACATTATGAAAATCATGGCCTATTCCACTAAATTGGGTTGCTTTGATGTTGGAGTCGTAAGGGCCGAGTCATTAATTCTAGAAACTAACATTTGAAGGTGAAGGGTAACAAAATTAAACTCAAAAGGTGGTGGGAAGCAAGCTTACATGTATATGAATGGCAATGGTGGATTTTAATTTCTTTCCATTTGCCGTTTTTTCCTTTTGATGATGATTTAAATATTGTTATTAAAAATCAATGCTAATTTTCCTTTTCTAAACATTCAGTTTGAACTCTTAGGGATGTTTTTCTTACTTCCTCCCCCAAATTTATCCCCCCCCCCCCCCCACCAAAAAAAAACACACAAAAAACAAATTAAATTTCATACCAATTTTTAAATGTTGAACAAAAGTTACGTAGACTATAGTACAGTAAAAACAATTAAAAACTGTATTATAAATGCTAGTATCGGTAGCCTTCAATTGAATTTAATCAAATTTAGCCTCTTGTTATGAAGCCACTTAGAGTTTAAAATCTGAAGTAATGTCTTATTTTGTGTATAGTACGTTCTTTCTTTAACCCTTTGTATACTAAATCCTCTTTTTGCCATGGGGTTAAAACAGGGCAAGCCGGTTCCCATAGGCAATGAATTAACTTTAAATTGATTTCAATTTCTATTACTATGATCTCAAACCTGCACATTTCATCTTGTTGTCAATGACTCTACCCCAATGATTCATTTTGCCATGATCATATTTCACATATATTATGTAACAATTTACATGTATCTCACTACTAACTGAAAGCTTCATATATATATATATATACTCTGTATATTTGCTTATTACCATAACAGATTTGGAAGCCCCTTACCCTTGTATACAATATTGCTGGCGTAAGTACAGCTAATATGACATCATTCATTCTTTTTGTGGAACGTTGTTGGTTTTTGATATGGTATGCACATTAATTGTACTTAGTAAATAATATTGTTAAAATATGAAGCAGTGTTATTTTCGTCTAAAATATCCTTATAGTTGGGAGCCTCAAAAATTTGATGGCAACATTTCACTTAAATTGTATCGTGATGTGAACGAGGATATCATTTAAGACACATTTCTGCAAGGATTTTCATTTTCATTTTTTTTTTTTTTTTTTGGGGGGGGGGGAATCTTTGCAGGAGTGTGTCTTAGATAACATTCTCTTTCACATTATGATACAATTTAAGTAAAATTATGCCATCAAATTTGGGGCGAATCTGGAGCTCCCAAGACTTTATTAGAGGGGATTTAAGCTAATTTATCTAACATCAATTTGTTATTATCTAATATGGAGACAGTAATATTAGGAAGCAGAGCACTATAACACTGAGTTCCCATAGAACATATATTTATTCAGATGGTCATATCTCGGCCAATACATAACATATTTAATTGGTTTTCGACATTTGGACATTATTTTTGATGCTCTTTCGGAAAATGAAGAAAAAATTGAGAAATTCTAAAATTAGATTTTTATGATGTCACAGCTTCGGTACTCTATGCTCTTGCTTTAAAAGTTAAACATCAATCACCAATGTGCATGTACAACCTCTCATATATTTGAAAATTTGAGGATTATTCATAGACTCTGATCCTTAGATTTTATCTTGATATACAATTTTTTTGCCAAAATTTCATGATTTGTTTAGCATGGCATTTAAAGGTATTACAAAGTTTTGGTATGGGGTCATGAATTTGGTTCAACTTAACATATTGGAAGCATATGCGTTCGTACAATATTCATTGATCGTTGTCGCGGTTGAAATCGAGTCTAAAGTTATGAAATTATAAATAATAAACTCTTTATGTTGTATAGCTCCCTCTCAAGGTCAAGTTATTAATTTAGCTATGAAACAATGTTTCTTGACTAAAATCTACCGATTAGCTCTTCCCGTTTGGAAAAAATATATGACAACTATATATTCTGAGATTTTCATGGTCGCAGCTACCATTGTACAGCCATAGGCGCTATTTGAAATTTATCAAAATTTATCGGGAGCACCGGTAAATTTTTATATTCAATTTTTCTCGAAAACAGAAGTGTTTTAGGGGCTAAATTTTTTAGTGCTTATAATAAATCCACAGGGGCATCCAAATATATAAAAATTGTAAAGAATCACTATCCACCCAATTTTCAGAAATTCCCAAAACTTTGTATTACCTTTAATTGTATGAATGATAATCCTTTTTTTTTCTTTCCATGTTAGGTCTATATAACGAGAGATTTATTTTACAAATTCAGTGTTATCAAATTGTTACAATTTAATCGCTTTCAAAAATGTTCTCATTTGATTTTCAGCTTGCAATTGCACTCTAGAGGGAGCTGTTCCAAACAGTGTCTGCAATGAGACCAACGGTCAGTGTGCATGCAAGACCAACGTCCAGGGACGGGCTTGTGATGAATGCATTGATACGTTCTACAATCTGCAGGTCTCCAATGACCAGGGCTGCCAGGGTGAGTGACCATTAGCACAGATCAAACATACAGGAAGACTTGGTGTTCTGCAAGTTAGGAAGGGAATTCAATTCAATTCAAATTAGGCCTGAGTCATGTCGGGATTTTCATAAACCGGGTCCCGACGGCCTTGCACCGATCGGGACCCGGTGTCCCGAAATCAGCTCGCAGGATTTGTCACTTGCCTCTATATAAAGCGCATATCATCAGTATGTCCCTTAAAAGTGACCTTTTTTATCAGTCAAATAAATCAACACATGCATACCTCGGCACAGACTGGTATATTCTTCCATTTGACATTATTTTTCATCAATGATTGGCGATGTTTAGTGGCATTATCGTGCCTCTAAAAATAAAAAAAACTCGAGCAAAAATATAAAGACAACATTCGAGCCGCCATTTTGATTCATGCAGGTTGAATAAATCGGGTCAAAGAATATGAATGTTAGAATAATAAAACGGCTTTCTAAAAAATTCTTCTTTACAACATACCGATCAAATAATTTGTTAAAGACAAAGAAATATTTATCTTTTATTTTAAACATTGCATGCTTTTTTTTAAAAGCTGAAAATTACTTGGTAATCACAACAAGAAGTTTCGATACGGACAGCTGTTGCAAGGCAAGTTCAGACTAGTCACGGAAAAATGCGCAGTGCACCTCTTAGCTATAATGCGTGCCAGACCGAACCAAAACAAATATACTTGATCGTAACAAAAAATCATTAAAAACTACGAGAGCACAATTGGAAAGAGAACTACTGCTCAAAATTACCATAATCAGATACATTACTTGGACAAAGAATTCAATAATCGCCCAAGAAATGCCACAGAAAATGTGATAATCGAGGAGTAACTGGGTACATTTTTATCGCAAGGGGCCTTCTGCAAATACTCGAATACTTTGTTATACTGCTTTTACCGTAGAGGGCGGTATTTGTTTTCGATCTAGCCTCGTGTTCAATTTAAACACGTGTAATTCAGAGCAGAAGGCCCATTCCGATAATGATTGTACCTTTAGTAACTCCTTAAATATCACTGTTTCTGTGGCTTTTCTTGGACAACTATTGTATTCTTCCTCCAAGATATGTATCTGCTTACGATAATTTTGAGTAGTTGTCTTTCCAATTGTGCTCTCGTAGTTTTTAATGATTTTTTCTCGTTACGATCATGTCTTTTTTGGGGGTTCGTTCTGGCACGCATTACAGCTAACGACGAGGAACACTGCGCATTTTTCCGAGACTAGTCTGAACTTGCCTTGCAACAGCTATCCGTATCGAAACTTCTTGTGATTACTAAGTAATTTTCAGCTTTTAAAAGAAGCATGCGGTGTTCAAAATCAAAGAAAAAATATATATTTTGTCTTTTAAAAATTATTCGATCGGTATGTTGCAAAGAAATACTTTTTAGAAGGCTGTTTTATTATTCAAACATTAATGTTTCTTTCAACCTGATTTAATTATCCTGCCGAGAGATCCGGCCAGTACAGTAGCTAGCTAGCAGCTGGCAACAACCCCATGGGGCGAACTGCTTTGCAACCCATATCTATATCAGCAGTACGGATTGATTCAGGATGAGCTAGAATATGATTGGTAACAATTAAATACTTAAGTTTTAAGGTGGAATGATTTTAGTGGTGTGCAAAACCGCAATTTCTTACATGTTTCATTATTTTTTTCGGAGCGTCGGTTCTCAAAAACGAAACCGGGACCCGACGGCAACGGTCGGGTCCCGGTGTGATCGACCGTACCGACTCAAGCCTAATTCAAATGAACATTTATTTTCAGAGGGAGGGAGGAGAAAGGAAAGAAGGAAGGAAGGAAGGTGGGTAGAGAGAAAGGGAAAGAGGGAGAGAAAAGTGGTGCTATATACTTAGCTCCTCTCAATGAACTTTACTTTAAGAAACACTAAACAGCTACATGTATGTTATTGAGAGTTAGCTAACAGGAATTTTCATTTAAGTAACCCACCATAGATAGTGGAAAAGTCCTTACATGGTTAAACATGCAGTTCTTGCAGTTTATAAGTCTTGTTTCTTTTACCACAGAGTGCGACTGTGACTTTACCGGTACTGTTGGAAACATTAATCTCTGTAACAAGACGACAGGGGACTGCATCTGTAAAGACAATGCCATGGGAACACGCTGTGACCAGTGTAAGGTAAGCAGAGCCCCAAACATCAACAACAAGAGTAACAAAAACATTCAAACTTGGCGCCATTTTACTCACACTCACAATTGGGATTGCATTGATAAGAAAACTTCATTCATATGGTACATTAATATTTTTTTGCAATACATAGGCTTAATGATTATTAAAATTAGGAGAACAAATATATTCCAAAGATACATGGAAACAATATAATTCCGTAAGCATGTATTTATATATTGTTTCAAATGAGATTAAATGTTTAGAAAATGAAAAATGGTAATGCATATAACATCTTTTGTGTTGATAATTTACCTGCTTGAGTATTGTATTTATAATGGCAAATGATATATGACTAAATCTGATAGAAATGATTATAAACGGAAATTACAATGTAACTTTTTTTGGGATACAGTTTGAATGGTCAGAAACTCATTCTCTGATTGATGCTGTAATTTTGTTTATGTTTAGGAGAACTAGCCCGAAGAATAACTCTCGTTGTTCTGAGAGATTGATTGCGTTCTTGCCCATCAATCTACAAAATTCCCCACCAAAGTGTATTAGAAAGGCATAAAGCAAGAATAAAGTACAGTTTCTCAGCAAGACATGGGCATCGCCATTGCTTGATTGCATGACATACTCTGCGGAGTCGTTTATCAACTAAATGTATTCAAATTTTATGCATGCATCTTTCCCAGGTGTTTGTGGTGTTGAAGCATTTAACTCACCTGCTATTATTCTTTGTACCCTAATTGCCAGAACGCAAATTGCATTTAAGTTGGTGCTGTTCTGGGTGAAGGTTTTGCATAAATGAAATTGATTTTTCAACCGCTATATTTCAGTATTTTTTAATAAATGAGTTACAATTGTCACCCTCTTATTTTCCACCAAATTTAATTTTCACCTTCTCGGCTATGATTTTCCCTCATTGAAAAGTAAAGGTTCTGTTATTGAATTGAAAAGTATCACCAACTAAAGCTTAGTGCATGATACATACACAACTCCGTCTGGTAGATCACATTTTCAAGAAAATGGTTGCGCCCATGTCATGCTAAAAGGCATTACTTCATGCCAAGAAATCTTCATTTATATAAATCTCTTGTACACGTCTGTAAGATTAATGAACATTAAAAGGCAGGAATTCATCTTGTTTTTCAGAAGACCTACACATATTCTTTGGGGTTACATGTACTTCTGCTTTAATATCACAGGGTTGATTATGAAATTACTTCACATCTCCTTTCAACAGTTAAACCACTTGACTACAACCAATGCTTCTTTTTGAACTCTGCACCCTCAGTTGTGATGTTTTATGACAGTTTGCGATGCCACGGAAGTCTGGACGTACATACCAATTGTTCCTGTCCAGTACCAACCTTAGATGTACATGTAGATGTACACCTCTATACATTTACATTTAGATCAACTCTAAAATGTGGTTTACAACACATTTCTCAGGAACCACGATCAATACATCCACAGTGTACTCCACCACATACTCATTCATAAAATGAACAATAGGGGATCATGAATGTAATTGCTATATTATGGGGTGGTAGTCTTTTATTACCCTTTTCTAAAGGGGTATTGATCCTACAGGGTATGTGCAGTTTCAATGGAGAGCTATTCTTTGTATAGGCTGGGGTGTGAAACTTACAATCAAAAGAAAGTGTCCCTGGAGATATAGATGCCCTTTGGCATTGGAAAAGGGCGGGAGATTATAAGAAGAATATAGGGGTGTTAACCCTTTCGCGACTATCATACCACATTTTGTGGTTTTGCTCTATACCTTTTGATCCAGAGCCCTACAAGATATACCTGACACATACTGCATCTATTTTTGTTACATGACTATAAATATGCATTTGATGCTAGCTACATGTATTTTGAATGGAGAATAGTTTGAAAAATCCTTAAATTGGCAACAGGTTGAGAGATTTAAATCATTGTATTTCGTTCAAAACAGGCCATTGATTAAAACATTTTGACAACATTCCCGAATATGTATATTGTTTTCAGAGACATTGCATTTTATTCTTTAATTGTAGAGATAAAAGATAAATATTGTTAATTGAAGAACAATATGTCATCAATTTAGCCATAAAATAAATCCTGTCCTGAAGAGGTTAATAGCCATGTTCACACAATAGCAAATTATGTTTCTTTTGAATCTTGTAGGCTGGCACATTCAATCTCGACCCAGCCAATCCCGAGGGCTGCACATCATGTGACTGTGACCCAGGAGCCGCAATTAGTGGGTCATGTGACCCAGAAACGGGGGCGTGTACCTGCAGGACAAACATCATAGGTCGCGTGTGTAATGAGACTATGACAGGGTTCTATGTCCCTCGCTTGGACGGGATTAGTATAGAGGGTGAAACGGCCACTACTGATCAGGTAAAAAGGTTGTTTGTGTTGTTGTTTGCATTCTTATATTTGTTTTACCTTAGCACCCGTCCCAAGGATTCTCTGATCATTGGTCTTATATTCTTTCAAAATAATAATAATTATATAGAGTATTTGTAATGCGCCAACTCCACATGACTAATGTGTTTGAGGTGCATGGAGAAGAAAAACTATAAGTACACAAAAGAACACACCAAAATACACACAAAAATGAACAACGACAATGTGAAAGTGAATCTAAAACTACTGGAAAGCCGCTTTGAACAAATGAGTTTTTAGGGCATGTTTAAAGCAATCTACACTTGAAATATAACAAATATGTTGTGGCAATTGATTCCATATTAGGTGAGGTCCAGCGTGTGCAAATGACTGATCCCCCCATGACTTCTTAGTTTTCGGAAAAAAAGCCTGAATACCTTGCATGTATATCTGCTGTTAATACACTGTACATATAGATCTGCACCTAAGGTGCACAAGGAGTTATAGAAAAGATGCACTTCAATGGCTCTACTTGGTTTTAATATGTTGAAGTCCAGAACCTGATGTTGAAATGACATGATTTCCACAGAAAAGGTCTAAACCATACAAACAAAAATCCATCTTTTACAATGTACCAAATATTTAAAAATACACAGATAACGGTATTCAAGACTTTTTCAGTGTTTTTTTCATTTTGATATCCTGGTGGTTTTGTTTCATCATGTATTCTTTCTTCCTCCAGCCTTCCAGAATCGAGGAGCGATCTCTTGGCGAGGACGCCCGTCACACTGGGCCAGGATATTTGGTGGTGCCTGCATCGACAGTGATCACACTGAGTGGCCTGACTGTCCCTCGAACAGAGTATTATTTCCTTGCTGTGAGATACGAGGTAAAGGGGGATCTAACATTTGCTCTGGCAACGATTGCTCCAGGCCTTATTTCATTAAAAGTACATTTATAGAGTTAGTCTTGCACTGTTAATTCTTTTGATTGTTTTTCTTCTCTTTTATTCAATTATTTCAAAATCCAATTTTAAACTTCTTGAAACATTCCCTTAATCACATGGAAATGTGCCCAACATCAAGATGTGTGTTAGGTAGCTGCATGATGCATATTTCTTGATAGGCCAGACATGGCGCAATGTGCCACAAGTTTGCTGAGCCACGCAAAATAATAGGAATTTTGAAATTCATATGTTGGGAGGTCTAATTTAGTAATGCATTAATCCTCATTACCAAGTCCATATGGTAATGGTGGTGAAGATGATGATGAAGATGATGATGATGATGAAGATGACGATGATGAAGATGATGATGATGATGATGATGACGATGATGAAGATGATGATGATGATGATGATGATGATGACGATGATGTTGATGATAAAGTGCAGTGACTTCTACCATGTCTTTATTACGAGCATTGTTGCTTTAGGCAGTGAAATAACAGTTTTAAAATTTCCAATAAGTTGACTTTTGAGTGTGTTTGTGAATGTATTCATGTGCCATGTGATCGAGTATAGAGGTGTTGTGGTCGAGTGGCTCCGTTGCCGGACTGTCAATCCGCAGTTTGAGTCCCGTCGCGGCACTAATGTCCTTTGGCAAAACAATGATCTGCACTTGCCACACTCCACCCAGGTGAAGTAAATGGGGACCTGGTAGGAATTTATTCCTTGAAACGCAGCCCGCGTGACAGCTGCACTGCTAAAGCCAGGGTAGTTATGCTGCATTATTGTAGAACGCTTAGAGACTTATGATAAAGTAAGTGTTAGGCGCTTAATAAGCAATTATATTTATTATTGTATGTGTTTATTTAATCCTAGACCACAGCTAACTGGAGTGATGTCACAATAGAAGTCAACCAGCAGAACCTGAACCCAGCTACATTTGTATGTCAAGGGTCATCCAACCCTATTTCTGGGACCTCGTCTTACTCGGGCAGCCTTCCTGCAGCAGATAATGAAGGTAATGTACCTATTTTTAAGACAAGGGTCAGTATTCAATTTACTTCTTATGTTAGAAATTTGAGTATTTTACTTAGTTTTGGGCTTAGATAAAATACTTAGCCAACTTTGGTATTCATGCAATTCAAGCTTTTGGCTTAGTATCTGACAAGATGTTTTTTTTTTTAAAGATCAGAAATTTCAAGAACTTTGCAAGAGGTAAGAGAATCGTGAATTTGAACACCACAGAAGAATTGAATCAATCACAGCATGGAATTTATGCAATTTGCAAGGGCTGCTCACTGATAAATGGTCTTCATTAATACTTCATGAAAGATTCATTTTGCAAATTCTTTAGAAAAACTATTTACAATGTTTTCTTTTCTTTGCATTGTTATGAGCAGGCGTTTATAACATCTCTGGGCTGTGCCTAGCTGGCAGCGTTCCCTATGATATCATCATCACCCTAGGGGCACCTGACATTGACCCCCAGGCAGAGTTTCTCCTAGACTTGGTAAGATATGAAAATACACATAGTGATTATTGTATTTATATACCTCTTTACCTTGTACAATCAAATGACCAAAGGGCTCACAATGTATTATTATACCAGGTAATATCGTCAGAGATAATATGTATGAGAGAGCCTGTTACGTTAAAACATGCAAATGGGGCTTCACTGAGTTCTGTTTCGGAACATAATTTTCCGCAAACGTCTTGGGAATCCTCTTGTAAGTATAGATTAATTTTCGACTCTTTTGAAACCAAATAATGATTATTGTATTTAGTTACAATTTTTGCCCTGTTTAATGAAATATACAGTGCATATTACAGTGCACATTCTCCACTATTTTGGGCGAAATCCTTCTAGTTCCTATTTAATACATTCACACATGCTAATCCAAGCACAGGTATTCTAAACACAATCTTTTATGGTGAGGAGTCTTTTCCGCAAGCAGGAAGGCCCCCAAATATTATGTTTTCTTCCTTAGATTCAAGTTCAAGTTTAAGTTATTTTATTTTCCACAACAATGAAAACATATAGATTTACAGTCATTTAAATAAATGCCTATCAGCTAGGTGAACAACTGCAGGAATACATATAAAAAGAAGAAAAATGAAATAGGAAACCTCCATGTACAAGAATGATCATTACACTATCAACATGACGGACAAAGAAAGAGGACAAAACATACAGTTCCTCATTCTACCCTCAACAATTTGCTGTGGTAGACAAAGGAACATCCCTTCACTGCTATTATGTGAAAATGTGTAGAACAGGTGAATATGCATGTGACACCTGTTCTACACATTTTTACATAATAGCAGTGAAGGGATGTTCCTTTGTCTACCACAGCAATTGTTGAGGGTAGAATGAGGAACTGTGTATTTTGTCCTCTTTCTTTGTCCGTCATGTTCATAGTGTTATCACCTATCGCAGTATATATTGACCACCCTTTCATAATTTCACTTTAGGTTGCTCTCCTGCCTGAGTTAACTGGCTTGGAGGTCTACGTGTCCAACCTAACCAGCAGAACTCTTCAAGAAAGCATGGATGCCTGCTTGGAAGCATCTCTATTGGCCCAGGACCCAGCCAGAATGAACTGCTCGGAGATCGAATTCGGCATCATGGCGGAGGTGTTTGATGGAGCAATAGGTAAGGGAGTCTGTTATCAGTAAGACTAGGACTGGGGTAGAGGTGTTCTTGGTCTAGTGGATAAGTTACTGGACTGTAGACCAGAAGACAGGTGTTCAAATCCCAGCCCGGCACCAACGTCCCTTGGCGAGACGTTGATCTACATTTACCACACTACAACCAGGTGTTAGATGGGTACCCGGTAGGATGCAAACATTAATGAAGTTTGCTCAGCATTGTGAGATATGAGCATCTGGAAAAATGATACCTGGCTGGAATGCTCCCCAGGGAGTGGAGAGTGTGCTTACATTGTGTACAGGCAAACCTGAATCAGATGACTGGGTGAAAAATATCTGTAATAGAGGCATGGTCAATGTATTGGGTGTTATATTAACACGGAATATAATAATTATTATGTTACTTTGCATTAGGTGAGGGCTAAACTTGTTAGCCCTTCTTACGGTTTAGGGTTAGTAATGCTCTAGAATTGAAGTTAAGAGTTCATCCAGTGTGGACAAATTTGACATCAGAGTAAATGCCGCCTGGGTTTGTGTTGTAGAACCTTGCATAATTGTGTAATTTCTCTTGTTGGCAAAGCCTGAAGTCATTCCTCAATCCCATTCTATTTTGTGGAAATCAACTCATTCGTGCTATGAATAATCAAGGTTGTTCATATATTTATCTCCATATTAACTCTGTAGTTTTTTTTCTATGCGAAAGAAATGAATTTCACTGACATGTTGACTTGTAGCAACATTCAGTTTTGTATTAGAATCTGTTTCCATATTCCTAAATGTTAAATCTCTTCTTTCATACACTTACCCGCTAATGTATATGTATGTCTGAAAATTCCTTTGTCATGAAAATAATGTTCAATTTGATATATTTTTATGCCTCAGCTACAAAGTAGCCGGAGACATTATGTTTTCTGGTTGTCCGTCCGTCCATCCGTCCGTTTGCCGTCCGTCCGTACGTCCCGTTCTTGTGATCGCGTTATCTCAAGAACCAATGGATGTATTCCCTCTAAACTTGGATCAAGTATGTATCTCACAGAGCCAATGAACTGAGTAGATTTTGGGGTCACAAGGTTGAAGGTCAAAGGTCACAGGGCTCATTATGTATGCAAAAATAGCTCGTGATCGCGTTGTCTCAAGTACCGGTCAATAGATTCCTGCCAAACTTCGGTCATGTATGTATCTAACAGAGCCGATGAGCTGATTGGATTTTGGGGTCACGAGGTTCAAGGTCAAAGGTCACAGGGCTCATTATGTTTTCAAAATAGCTTGAGATCGCGTTATCTCAAGAACAGATCGATAGATTCCTGCCAAACTTGGGTCATATATGCATCTTGCAGAGCCAATGAACTGATTAGATTTTAGGGTCATCAGGTCAAATGCCATGGGGCTCATTATGTATGCCTATAAATAGCTTGTGAGTGCATTATCATTAAAACCGACAGATGGATTACAATCAAACTTGAATTTTTTTAATTACTCTATGGCGGAGGCATCATTTTCGACTGCGCACAGTCTAAATTCCATCTAGTTATATACTGTTCCACCTGAATTACTAAATGTGACTGGAAATTGTTGATTTCTTTCAAACCATGTATTTGCTGGAAATTCACGACTCATAATAGTAATTATGGCATTGTTATTTTTTTGGTATATTTTTACAGCTTGTGATTGCAGCCCTCTGGGGTCAGACACTGATCCTATCTGTGAATCTTATGGAGGTCAATGCCCTTGCCTGTCTGGGGTCACGGCCAGGTCATGTGACACCTGCGCACCATTCTTCTATGGTATCGAATCAGGGACAGGATGCACAGGTAAAGAAACAGGGCCTATGATACATACACCCTCCATTTTGTTTCTTAGAAGATTCAACAAGAAATTGTCCTTAAATCTAAGATGCATGGCCCTACCTGTTATCAGTGTCTGTGATATGGTGTAATATTTATTTATTTATTTATTTTGTTTTATTTACCCAGGGTAACCCCATCAGTGAGTAAAACACTGTTGTACTCGGGGGCCCTGCAATAGTTCAACACAAATTACAAACATGTAAATGAATACATTGAAGCCTTTAAAAAGCCTTTAAAAAAAAAATCATGCTTCAAAAAGATCATGAAGTGCCTCAAAATAGTATAAATTTTGAGTGAAAGGTTTTACCATACTCATTTCCTGTATAGACTGTAGTGTTTTAAAAACGGTTAGGAAAAACGATTTTTGAAATTTCGATTTCCAATCATAAATATCTTGATAATCAGACAGGCAATCGGCTTGTAAGAGTCATGGGTTCCTATTATTCTCATTGCAGCATGAGCTAAATTTTGTTTCAGAATATACAGACAAGATACTCAACCCCTTTAAAGAAGGTAAAATTTGAGGATTATCTGGAAGCTTATTTTATTGCTAGTTGAGAGAGGGGGTTACCTTAATGAAAACTGTTTCTGATTGGGTAGTTATTTCTTGTAGCCTCAATTTTGAAATTGTACTGAAATTGTACTAATATCTAAGGTGCTAGAGGAGGAGGAACAGAGGAGAAGTTGGAAAGAGGAGGAGGAGGAGAAAAAGAAAGAAGAGGAGGAAAAGGAAAATAAAAATATGATTTCATACATTGTAATAAAGAGGATGACATGATCATGTTATGTGAAGAAAAACAAATTGTTTTCATGTATATACTGAACTGCATGATAATGAATTTTTTTCAGATTGTGGCTGAAATATTGAGGGGTCAATAACCCTGTCCTGTAAACAGTGGGTAACAAAAACATGAAAATGAAAAAAGATTACTTTATATTTGTTATCCCTTTTTTTTTCAGACTGTGGCTGTAGTGTTGAGGGGTCAATAACTCAGTCCTGCAACCAGACGTCTGGGATCTGTGAATGTAAACTCAACGTAGAGGGAAACAAATGTGATACTTGTGCCACAGATCACTATGGACTTGCTACAGGTAAACTGCTCTTCTATTTTAAAACTCACCCATAACTAGAGTCAACAGTATATCTTGACTGAATTACTTCTTTTAAATTCCACTTTTCAGACTGGACCAAACCCTATACCCCACTGTAACCCCAACCACAAACCTTAGCTTAACCCTATTTTTTTTGGACAAAATAAAGCCCATTGCAATTAAAAGTAATGCAAAGTTTTGGGAAATTTGAAATTTGGGTGGATAGTGATTCTTTACAATGTTGATATATTTGGATGCCTCTGTGGATGTATTATAAGCACCAGAAAATTTAGCCCCTAAAACACTTCTGCTTTCGAGAAAAATTAAATATAAACATTTACTGGTGCTCCCGGTAAATGTTGATAAACTTCAAATAGCGCCTACGTTCGTACAATGGTAGCTGCGACCATGAAAATCTCAGAATAATAATAATAATAATAGTGGGTTCTTGTATAGCGCTCATGTCAGTCAGATATGACCCTCCTGGCGCTCCCGATTATTACCCTGGCTTTAGCACGGCTGCCATGCGGTGCTCTAGCATTTCAAGGAATAAATTCCTACCAGGTACCCATTTATATGTGCTTGAAATATATAATTTCCAAACGAATAGCTAATCGGTCGATTTTAGTCCAGAAACATTGTATTACCTTTAATGTCAGAGTAAATGTCAAATCATCGATGGCAGATAATGTGGGATGAGAGGAATAGATTGATGAAAGCTTATACGTTTACTTTGAATTAGAAGGGGAAAAAGCAACTAGAAAACAGTGCATGAATATAATTGTACAGGATATTCCTGCAAGGTAAGAGCAATTCCCAATATGTCTACTGCACCAAATATGTGGAATGCCTTTTCATTTTATAACAGTCAAAGTTGCTTTAGCAAACACCTGGATAAAAAGACCGTACACCTACAATAATAAAATTTGGAGAGGACTAAAAGATTATTTTTATTATTATTATTATGACCAAATTTGTTTGTTTCTTTTAAAGCAGTGCTTCCCATTGAAATGTGTCACAGGGTACCTGTAGATAAAGACCATGTGATGTCTTTCCTGGATGGTCTTTTGCTGTACATTTACAGTTAACTATTATAATTAGTCAAACGCCTTGTAAACAAAAATTGTGTGTATTTTTCCTAACTCAAGAGTGAAAGGTACACTGGTTGAATACTTTTAAGATGTAAGTTTAAATATGTCATATTTTTTGAGAAACATGAATAAAGAAAATCAATTATTCACATACTTGAAACATTACAGAACTTGGTGAGGGTGTAAATAATTAAGTTACTAACTGTACATTTCTATCGAAAATAATATCGCTAGTGACATTCGTTTGTCTCGCAATGTATAGTCAACAAGGTATCTAAAAGATACGGACGTTATACTACAGGTGTATATCCGCAATGAGTAATATATTTAGCATTAGTGTACATTTCTAATTTTCAATGGATCTTTTGACAGGTAATGGTTGTGTCCCGTGTGACTGCACACCCGAGTATTCCTTAGGGACATCATGCACCGACGATGGCCAGTGCACCTGCAAGACGGGAGTCGGAGGCCTCAGCTGTGACCAGTGTGCCCCAGGGTAAGAACACCACCTCAGTTTAGAGCCAGAAGGGTATAAACCCTTACTGTACTGGGGGGGGGGGGGGGGGGCCTAGGAGGCCTCCCTCGACATTTTCGGAGATTGTGCCGCAACCGCATGGAATTTTGAATTGTCGTTTCATGACTTTTTTCCCTCAAGTCTTACGCACATTTTGATACCATTTTCGTCGAAATTGGATATACCTGTAAGGTGTTACATAACAATTAGTATGCGCATGTCATAAAAAAAGTGCTATAATTGCATATATTCATGTACAAGCAGAAATGTGAAGATATGAATTGATATCAAATTGCTTTTATATGTTTCTCAAAGTAACTTGATGTATTTCAGAACAAAAGAATACATTATAAATAAAACAATAGATATGATAAGAAATAAAAAACAATAAAATACCTAAGAAAATAAATAGTTGAAAATCGCATAAAATTTGCATAAATTATAATTATTTTGTGTTAGAAAAGAAGTTTCATGTGAATAATGTCTGACAATTTTGGAAATGATTCTAGTTTCCTATATATATTTCCAGATTGATATTCATGAATGCATATTCATAATTTATGCAAATTTACCTATGCATTTTTAAATATCATAAAAATAACGAAACCTCAGGAATTTGAGATGAAGGAAACATTTATTCAATACATTTTCTAGATTCTTCACAAGTCTAGGGACAAATATGTAGAGTTTTCTGTTAAATGCATAAAATTAGCATTTTGCATAATTAATTAGGCTTTAACGACAAAAATTTGCATATTTGGAAAAAACTAATTATACCATCTTGTTCCTTACGTAAATATCTACAAACATGCGAATTTTCGCGTTCATCGGACATTCGACGGCCGAGATCATGGGGGGGGGGGGGGCCTCCCAGGCCCCCCCTTCCCCCAGTCAGAGAGTGTTCGAAATAGCCCAGTACAGTAAGGGTTATTTCATATACTTTAAAGTTGCTCAAGCTTGGGTATATAGAGGGCAACACACTGAGCCAACGGGTATTACGATCCTGTGCGAACAAGTGTCCTGAATATGCATATGTCCGTACAGGAGCGTAAAACCTGTTGGCTCAGTGTTTGCTGAGTTGCCTACTTCACGAACGACTATATAACGACGCATGAACATCTTTAACACAGAGTTAAAATCCCTTCTGGCTCCGAACAGACAGCTTTATGATTGAACTCGTTGCAGAACACTCTCTTCAAGATAAAAGGACAACCAGATATATTATACTTATCCCAAATAGTTGCCCCTGGATGATTACAACTGGGACACGTTTCACAAAGCCTTTTTTCATGACAAATGACAAATATCAGTGACAAATCTGCTGATAACTAATCAGAAGCAAGGATTTCAGTAGCTTATAACAACAACTGTCATTTGTCACTGATGACAAGTTTTGTGAAACATCCCCCTGGATAGTTAACAACACCAGACAGCCTTTTCTGGAATAATAACCTATCCTACACAAATAACTCTTGGTAATTACATACCCTGCAACTGCCTCTAAGATAAGTACTCTTCCAGACTCTCATGAAGACGATTGTTTGTGAAGACAGTCCCCGTTGGACAGGACCTTGGAGGTGATTAATCATTCCAAAACAAGTATCCTCACTACCCTTAGAACAATTATCCACCTAGTGGGTGCAGGGGGGTGTTTCACAAAGATCATAAGTCGAACTTAACTCTAAGTTGGACTTAAACATCATGGAGAGCCATTTGTAGCCTTAAAATAAAATATATTCAAATGCAAAAATTCACGTATTTTTCATAATTTCCACATCAAGAACATGAAATCCCCTTGATAATAGAAAATATGAATGATTTGAATCAACATTTATGCCTTTTTAAAATAACTTTTACAAAATACTTTCAAAGATGCTAATGGCTTTCCAACTTAGAGAAACGTTCAACTTAGGATCACCCCATCACAGTCATATAAAAAGTAGAATGAGGTGGACAAATTGTAGAAGCATCAGCAAATTGTATGTATATTCCTGGATACTCTACCAAATGAAGCAGTGCTTTAGGCTTCCTTTGAATCAAATGTGAGTGTTTCTTTTTGGCTGCCTGAAGTATAAGTATGTCGGATTTGACACTCCTTGCGCTCCACAATTATTACCCCGGCTTTAGCATATATAAGCCTAGAACTGCCACTGACAGGAAATGGTTTTATCTTGGGCAATTGTTACCAGTATACCAATCTCAAAAGCATGTTATGTACTTCATGTGAAAGGTTCCATGTGGCTATACTGTATTCACAATATGATCTTCAAATATTGCTTCTACAAAGAAATATTGCGATTTTAAATACATTCTCAGTAAACAGTAAATGTCTTGTTGAGTAGACTAATTAATGCACTAGCATAGAACAGGAATAATAATAATAATAATCTTTTATAGTCCACTCCAAATTTTATTAAGTTCAACCGAAAATGGAAATTCTTTTTACCCAATTGATCGTGAGCCCGGCAGCCACTGAGCAGCGCCAGATCGAAGTTGCTCTATCCCTTAATGTTGAACGTCAAACAAGGTAGCAGCAACTCCCGTCTTGGCAAGCGTCTTTTGGTATGACGCGGCCGGGGTTAGAACCCGCGACCTCCCGGTTGTGAGGCGGACGCTCTACTGACTGAGCCAACACACCGGTGCAGGAATTTGAGCAGGACTTGCATTCTGTGTGAGCCCTAAATGCAGTGTTTAATGCTATCCTTGTTTACTTGTAGAATGCCAGGATTTTTTTAAATTCAGACATTGAAGCTGTACGCAAATTTTTCTTCAGGTGATTGGTACACTTTAAAGGCATCTTTTAACAATGTTAAATCTGAGATGCATGGCCCTACGTATTATCAGTGTCTGTGATATGGTGTAATATTAAAGCCCTAAAAAAAATTGTGGTTCAAAATTATCCAAAAGTGCCTCAAAAAAGTAAAAATCTTTGAGTGACCGGTTTTACCATACTCATTTTCCCCAATAGACTGTAGTGTTATGAAAACCGTTTGGCAAACGCAAAATTTGGTTTTAATCTCCAATCATAAATGTCTTGATAATCAGACAGGCGAACGGCTTGTAAAAGTTATGGGGTTCCGTTCCTGACTGACCTAAAGGTTTATAATTTTCATTGCAGCGTAAGCTAAATCCATGATTTTGTTTCAAAATCTCAGACAAAGTTACTGGATCCCGTTAAACTACATTCATCTATACAAAACTCCATGGTTTGTATCACATAGAAAGTATTAACACTTCCTTGCACTGGTTCCTACCCAGATACTTCAACTTGACTACCAATGGCTGTTCAGAGTGTGATTGTAACACCATAGGGAGTTTGGATGGTAGCTGTGACAGCCAAGGCCAGTGCAACTGCCTCTCATCAGCTACAGGGCTGCAATGTGATGAATGCCCTCAAGGTTAGTTTACATCACCCCCTTCTGTTGGAGTGAAATTCACTTCTCTCTAGGTGCTGATATCATGTTGATGTACACAAAACTCAGTACATACATGTATGTTGTGGTAAAGAGTTTCCGATAGTTTTACCCTGCAATAGTATTTCTAGCTGATAATTTTAGCATGCCTTGTAACATCCAAATAGTTTTTTTCCTATGCCCTTGATGCTTGGTTTTCATTGAGCAGTGTATTAATTAGTGTTCATTATGTTAAGAAGGTCAAATCAATGTTTAAGTACATGTATGTACTCATATATGACATTAATAACCATCCACGGTATCTACAGCTTCAAATGCTGTATCTGACGGACTTGATAATACTTATTTCTTTATTAAAGTTTTTATTCATCTAAAGTTTGGAACCAAGAACCAGCCAGGTACCAAGTAGCCTGCTCCCATCACCTCAGTGAACCATCGGTGTAAACATGCATTCAGTAGTGTTACTGAAGGAGAAATGTACTCTTCCTCATCACAGTCCCAGTTTCATTTTCAGTTTCAGTTTTATTTTTCATTTCTAACAGAACAGTAATTTTGACAAGAAATCAGATATATAATTCAACATTCAATAATATAATGCATTTTACATGGTTTAAAGTTATGAAATAGAAAGTACACGTAACTATCCATTATATCAATTTTAAAAAGTTTTTTTAAGATAAACCTGTGGAAATGGAGGGATCCATTGAAAAGCAGAGCTTGTAAAATGTGGATCCCTCAAAATAATGACAAACATAAATTTTGTAACATGTAAATATATTAACTTGAAAAAATATATGTACATAGATAAAAAGTGGCAGTAATAAGATCTAGATATCAACACCTTGCACTGAGCTACACATAAAAGCAAGTCAAATAATTTTTGCGAAACTGTGTAGAGGACTACAAATCTTGATATTTTCTTTCACAGGAACGTACGGTTTTGGCACCTACAGCGAGCAAGGTTGCATCGCATGTCTCTGCTCCTCTCATACAACAAACTGCACATCTGCAACAGGCTGGTTCGTCAATCAGCTGGAGAGCCAGTATTCGCTTCTCAACTTAGAGGGCGCTGTATCAGAGAGGTGGACAGGAATTCTGGGAGATGGAGAAGAAGTGGAGATTGTCAGCGAGCCTATTCTGGAGATCAGCGATCCAAGGTAGGAATACATTTTACCACATGCCCTCCAGAAAGGCGTTAGAAAAAGGATTCTTATAATATGAGTTATTATAAGACGGGCTCTAGAATCCAAGCAATTCGATTGGTCAATTGATATCACATGGGCGTGTATTATTTGTTCCCACCGTGCAAAAAAGCTCCCATCAAAAATTGATAACGCACGCTCGATACCTGCCGATATTGCTTTCGCGTAATTCAATCTTTTACTTTTGCAGAGTAGTCTAATGTACATGTATCTAGATCTATAGTTAGAATATGCTAGGCCTAGATCTAGATCTAATATCTATCTATACCCTAGATCTAGACTATATTGTAAGAAAGTATTGCGGACCCATTTTATAAACAAATAATGCACTATTTCGTTCGTGTGTTATGGCAGTTCCAGTGCACTCAGTTTAGTCAGAGTGATATCAAAAAATGCACTTCCCCTGCGGGCACGTGCATTATCACCTATGTGCACTGACTAAACTTTGTGCACTGGCCCAGCCCTAACACACTCACCACAGTGCATTATTTGTATACTATTAATTTACCAGTTAATACCTTTTTGCAGGGCACCAATGAATTTCTCACCATGTTGTATGCCTGTCTTGTTTGCACATCAAGACATACTAATTTCCTGTTAATTTGTTAGCTTGTTGAAACAAAATATGCTGCACACTGGTCATATATCAGGTATACAGTTCACTGTGTGATCCTGAGAAGAACTGCTGGGTTATAAAGAGGAGCGATAAGTAAAGAGAGATGGAGGTATTCTGTCTTGCTCCAGGCTGATACTTGTGTACATGTATGATAAGAGAGCAACACGTTAGGGTGGACAAGGTCTATGGATGAGCTGTCAGTGATTCAAATAGGATGACTGGGGCCCATTTCACAAAGCATTTATTCAATGACAAATCTGCTGATAACCAATCAAAAGCAAGGATTTCAGTAGCTTATAACACAAACTGTCATTTGTCACTGATGACAAGTTTTGTGAAACGCTCCCCTTGTTGTTAACGAGAGTCTATGCCTGGAATGCAGTAGGCACTTTTCTGAAAATGCAAATTTATTTTGCATAAGCAGGAGCCAGCCATAGTATTCAAATTTAATCCACTACAAAGGAGGCTCAGTGGTAGAGTGGTGGTCTCGTAACTAGGAGGTCTCGGGTTCAAAACCAAGTCGATGTGTCATTGCCCTTTGGTAAAGCATTGATCCTCATTACCAAGTCCCTTAGAGGGGACTTAAAGCTGTCATTCCCCGGGTCGCTTACATACAAGCATACACATGCTTTTTTTAGCAGTCAGATAAAAACAAACAAACACTAGGTTTCATGCAGCTACCTTACAATACTTCACTTCCATGTATCAATTTGTTCTCCTCTCTGCAGATTCGTCCTAGAACTGGTGGACCCTGGTAACACAACCGACCTCTTCTTCGTTGCTCCTGCTTCATACCTCGGTGACCACCGCACTGCGTACGGACAGGTGCTGGAGTTTACGCTCAGCCAAATGACATCCGAAAACCAGACTGTGTCTACAGAGGGCGACGTTTATATATTTGGAACGTGTGGTTTGTGCGAGCCTCTAGTTGCCAGCCTACCCTATGTTCCTGGCTCCCCTGTTACTAATGCAACTCTTTATCAGGTTTGTACTCAGTTGAAACTTTTCCTGTAATTCAAAATTCTGTCTAAAAGAAAATATAATTTCTCAATATATGAACTTTGTAGATTATTATCTTCATCTAACAGAATGTTTTAAATTGTACATTAAAAACAAAGGAAATAATTTGTTGTTCCCTCTTTTGTCAGTAGTCGGTTTCCTTAAAATTCTCCACCCTTTTAAAGAACATTTCAAGATAAATGCGTGCACATTTCAAACATTGTCATGCTCGTTTTAAAGTACCTTTGAAATGCACATATTCCCACTCATCCTACAGAAATGATAGTGTTGGCTCTGCATCAATGTAATGTACAGTGTACATGTATAATACAAATGATAAATGTAACTCATTGTTATAATGCCTGTACCATTAAAAATATAACAGTTGTTTACAATAAATCTATCTATGATAAACTAAACTCTTACTCTATAAATTCTTTTCATAGCATCTTTCTTTGAGTAAACATTTCTATACAAAAATGTAGTGATTGTCTTTCCTGCATAGTTCAAGCTGCATGAGAACTACTGGAATCTGGGCAGCGTAGGCGGGGCTAGACCCACAATGCAACAGGTGGTGAGGATTCTTGCGGACATTGCTGGGATCAGGATTAGGGCCAAGTACACTACAGTAGGTTTCTACTCTTATTCAAACTTTTTTGTTGAAATTTCCTTTCATCATCAGTACATGTATCTCCATTACAATATTGCATAAAGATATGTTTTATGGCAATCGATACCAGTTACAACACAGTAACATCCTCCTCACTATGACTGTCATTGAGATACCCATATAACAGCATCAGGCTAATAATAATCCCAACTTTTTATATTCACAAGGAGTAATTACCATCATTATTATCACAGCCCCATTAAATAATTTTTACATCACCATCATCATCATCATCATCATCATCATCATCAATATCAATACTTCACCGTCGTCATCAGCAGCATAGCATTAGCTGTGTATCATTACTAGCATCATCATTATTGTCATCCTCATCTTCTTTATCATTACCGTTATATGATTTTTATCATCACCACAATATAATTATGGATAATATCATCATCATCATCATCATCATCATCGTAATCACTCTAATAAACATAATTATCCTTGTTAACTCAACAATGCTGCTGGAATCTAGACGCACCAGTTTACATGTAATTACCCTAATCACATCTACCCTCCCCCCTCTTTATCACAGATTACAGGACAGTCAGTCTATTTTCATGATGCATCTTTGACTGAAGCAAGCAACAATCTCACATTGTCTTCAAGTGATCTCCCTGTTGACTATGTAGAGGACTGCTTCTGTCCACCGGAATACACAGTAAGTTTAATACAAAATGTATTCATTTGTAACCATGTTGCAGAAGTTAATGTTGCTATTAAAAACAAAGGAATATTTTTTAAAGTTTTGCTTGCTTAAGGAGCAGATTGATAACAATAATACTGCGTTTTTATATAGCGCAAATTACAATTAATGCTCTAAGCGCTTATGGAAATAGAAGAAAATCAAGAATTGAGTAAAGAAGAAATTGCTTGAGCTTCTTTGCATTTTGACCTGTTCGTCAGAGATTAAAGAGAACCAAGAAGTCAGTTTTGCTAAGTTTCAATTCATCAATTGTAAGAGATCTACTTTGTATCTCTAATATTAATTCAGTTTTTCTATATTTCAAATACAAATTTATATGTACCTGCAAATGTCCCATTTTCCAACAATACTTAATTATAAATTTTGCTTCATAGTATTACAGAATATGAACCAATTTTATGCAGGAGATAAGGATGTACATGTACATGGTATTTTCCTCATGTGTCATCACATCGTTATATCATGATTTTTCACATTAAATATGGATAAGATATGGGAAGTGGTTTTACTTTTGACTACTTTTTGTGTTCTGAATTTAAAAAAACTTAAGTTTTGACATTACTACTTTAGCCATTTTTTGTATTTTTAGTAATTATTGTTTTCTTGGATACCTTCTGTGCTAGTCATATTGCTCTTTTCATCCAATTACAACTTGCTGCATTTTGCAAATGCTGAAAAACCCAGTTTTAAGCACTCTGTGATTGCATGGAATCCTTTTCTAAAGTGATTGATGTTTTTGTTGTATTGTGTAAGACCAGGAGGGCATTTCACAAAGCCTTTTTTTCAATGACAAATAACATAATTCAGTGACAAACCTGCTGATAACCAATCAAAAGCAAGGATTTCAGTAGCTTAACAAAAACTGTCTTTTTAAACACCCCCAGCAGTTTTGCAGCAGGTTCCGCAAGGCTGCACAATGTGGAAAGCAACATGTACACATTTCAGTTCAAGCCATATTGAGTAAATTTAACGATGGTCACTGTCACTGCATGTATCTGCATAATGTGGTTTTTACATTTGTGTTTCTTAGGGTCAGTTTTGCGAGCAGTGTGCAGCAGGGTACCGCAGGGCCGCCCCTGGCAACGGCTCCTTCTCCACCTGTGTTCCCTGTGATTGCAACAGTCACAGCGACCTGCCCTGCGACCCCGAGACCGGCATGTGCAGCGGTTGCCAGGACAACACAGGAGGGGCTTTCTGCCAGCGCTGTTTAGACGGTTATTATGGCGACGCCCTTGGAGGCACACCAGGTATGTTGTAGACTTTATTGTTGGAATTGTTCCAAGATAATGGCTATCGAGCCTTATTAATGCATGAACTTGGATAATTTTTATTTTTTTCTCTAGAATTAATGCCCTTTGTGCTGTTAGCTAATGATAAATCTGTTTTGGTAGAAGTGGGCATAGTTGCTTGTGCTGAGAGCCAGAAGGGCATTGATCTATACATGTAGATATGCATATACTTGTACAGAGAGTTAGCATCCTTCTGGCTGTCAGCAGGCAAGATCCTCTGTTAAGATCCAAAAGGCATTAACTCTGTTAAGGTATATTGGCTCCAGATGGATTATATATAAATTGTGTTATACCCTTTTCTAACTGCACCGATTTTCATCGGATGCATCCGGACGCATCCGATGAAAGTGCCAGTTAGAAAGCAACAGAGGAGAAAAAGGCGATTAAATAGCCGATGAAAAGAAGAGAAATAGGCGATTAAATTCTCCTGCTCTAGAGCAGGAGAAATTATCATTCTATCGGTGTGACACCGATGAAACGTGCAGTTAGAAAACGTTCGGGAGAAAAGGGCGATTAAAACAGCGATTAAAATGGTCAAAGGTCGCAGTATACGCGCGCTTTACCGTAACCAGCTGTGTTTGTTGACTTATGGTTGAACAAGCTGCATGCTAGCTAGATGGAGCGCGGGCTTAATAATTACGTAATAATTCTTCACTTCCGGCAAGGGCTCGCCAAACCGAGTGAATTTTACTGGCAGTTAGAAACCGACAGGGGGAAAACTGCGGTTTCACCTTTGTTTACATAAAGTAAATTCAATCGGTATTTTCACCGGAGTGACTCCGATTGAGTGCAGTTAGAAAAGGGTATTAGACTGAACTCTGAAATTTTTTACTAGACCTTGAGTTTGCATAACCCATCTCTTTTTAAACAGTGCTACTTAATTAGGACAATTATAATTTTGGCGCACCGTAATACTTTGTGTTGTTTTAGTTTACCTGTATTTTAGTTAAGAAAGTGATATGTTCGAGAATTGTAAAATGTACAGCATCAGAGCCTGGCGGATACCGGCGCTATATAAATAGCCATATTATTGGATGTAATGATTGTTTTTGTAAATTTCATGTTATTTGTCTACTCTGTTTATCAGTCAAAGAAAGTAATCAATGCTGCCAATTTAAAGAAGATAAAGACGATTAATGAGGTCCTGAGAAATGTTCAGTCCTTAAAGGGTGATAATAACAAGTAATAGATATGGAAATGAGTTGGAAAATACATGGAGATGATGAGAAAGAGAGAAAGAAAGAAAGAAAACATGTGTGATGACATGATGTTGATAGATCTAGAGAGATTAAAGGAAGCATGTGGCAGAGAGATTAAAAACCATAATTAAAGTTGTCTTGAATCTTAAAAGAGGCCAACGCATTCAAAGCGATAACTTAAGAAAGAAAAAAAGTTTTCAAGAGCAGAGGCAGCTGTGGGATTGTTCTAAAAAAAGGGGGGTTACAATTTTGAAACGAGGCTATCACATTCTAAGGATTGTTGCAGGGTTCGTACGGGTCCTGGAAAACCTGGAAAGTCATGGAATATGGCTTACTCTTTTTCCAGGCCTTGAAAGTCATGGAAAAATGATGTTTTGATAAAAGGGTCATGGAAAGTCATGGAATTGCAAAATTCATTGAAATTTATTTGCTTTTATTGTCAGATGTGTAAATAATAAAAGTTATTTCTGATTCCTTTCTCTTCGTTTTTGTATTCTCATATTGAAACACATTTATTATGACTCGTGATTGTTGTTCGCCAGCTCAGCTCTGTGAACGAACGCATCGTAAACTGCATTGTATTTGTGCGAGTGATCGTGATCTCTGTGTGTACATGCCTGTGCGTGGGGCTTGGCAGCGCGGCATGGCTTGCATTTTCCGAGCACATGTATTTTGGGGATCATCTCAATTACTCTCAAAGTTGTGGTACCAACAGGGACAGTTTGTGTAATCATTTGTAGACAAAACAAAACATTATTTATTTTTCTATTTCTTTATTTTTTAAAGAAGTGAGTTTTAATCATGGAAACAAAGATTTAATCACTAGAGTAAGGTAGAGTTGACATTTTCCCCAAAAGTTGATGTACTTATTTTGAGATCATCCCTTATGAGCACGTGTCTACGTGGTTTGTTTTCATGCTATGTATATTGCGGCACGTACGTGACATCGACGATACTGACGTTAGTTTCAACTGTTTTCGACTTAAATTTCATGTTTTGAGTTATTGTCAGTTTAATCCAAAATGCCAGGGAACTGCCATTTTTATGATGCCTGGTTGGATAATCCGACATACAGGGAATGGATTTGGAAATTAAGCTCCGATCCGAAGAACAGCTAGGTGCAGGGTCTGCCAGCGTAACTTGTAAGTTCAATGGGCGCAACATGGGCGAAGCGGCGCGCGCGCTAAGCTGTCCCTTTTGTACACCGTTAATCATGGCGGTTACAGTGTTTATCTTCCGCTTATATACGTCCAAAAATTTAACTATATGTGCCACATTTGCCCCTGGAAAAGTTGTGAAAAGTCATGAAAAGTCATGGAATTCTTACTTCAAAAGTCATGGAAAGTCATGGAATTTTCTTTGGCAAAAAGTGTACGAACCCTGTGTTGGGGGGGTCTGTAATTTATAAAGGGTGGCCAGTTTGTGTGTATGTGTGTAGTTAGATGTAGGTGTGTAAGATTTGGATTGCTGCTTCTTCTTTTTTTTGGGGGGGGGGGGGGAATGCCCTTATGCCCCCTGGACACGCACTTGTTTATGAGGATGGAATTTTAAGAAATATTGATGAGATCGCTATAAATATGGGAAGTATTAATGAGTATTTGAGAATTACTCATTATTTTTCATGCAGGTTTTCAACAGTTCTAAGAACTACTATTAAAAAACAGCTTATGATTAATCAGGGACAACATGTTGTACAGTATTTATAGAAATGAGCATCATCCTTGCCAGTATGAACATACATGAATGATATATTTAGACTTTTTGTGGTGTCTGTAGGAAATCATGCAAAACAACTCATATTTATAGTTTGTAATGACAATGAGCTGAGAGTTTATGCATTTCATAGTTTGTACCTATGGAGAATATATCATTTCCAGTTTTGAAATACAGCAAAGAACAAAACAAAACCAACAGTTCAATTTTAATGCGAATTATGAATGATTAGAATAATTACGAATAAATTAATGTGTGGAGAGAGAGAGAGATAGAAACACGAGTGGGCAGAGGTACATTGTAGCAAGGAAGAGAGAGAGAGGGCACAAAACAATATAATGGAAAGCAAATTCGCAGGAAAAAAACAAATAAAAAAAACAAAAGAACCCACAAGACAATGACCAAAAAGATAGATGCTCTACAGACCCTAGCCATCCCACCTCCACAAGTTCATATTTGAAACTAATCCTGAGTTCTGGTAATCAAACTGCATTTTTTAGAGAAATTGCAGTCAAACAGTAATTCTGAATTATTTATCATGGTGAAGATCATTGGTTTGGATTGGCAAAATATAAATTATCTACCAGAAACACAGTGAAAATCTCCTTGAGGGAATTTCTGAAACCATGTGTACTTTTTTCTGATACGTGATCAGGAAAACTTATCTCATTCTAACATTCTTACCTTTTCTGTTCTTGCTTTTTTTATGTGCTGTAACCAGTCTTTTTTCCTGTATTTTTAACCTCAAGCATTTTGCAGGTATCATTGATTTGTAATACTGAACAGTCTGTGTATGTTTGGTTGAATCTGTGAGATTTTAATTCAGTTATTACCCAATATCAAGACTATCATTGACATCACTTTTTTCTTGTCATGGTTTTTAAGATGACTGCATTCCGTGCAGATGCCCTGGAGTGCCTGGTTCCAACTCGTTCGCTGCTACCTGTGACAGTACCGGCCTGTGCATAGACTGTGCGGAGGGACACAGTGGGGACTCCTGCGAATACTGTCTTGAAGGGTACTATGGGGTGCCTTCAGATCCTGAGGTGAGATTTTTTTCTTCCTGCATTTTTCTGCACTTTTCCAAAGAAAATATCTAATTAAGAAAGAACATGTAAACATTAGGTATAATAAAAATATGCAAACAATAATAAATTCATGTCAAAATGTGATTTACATACATACATATAGTAACAAACTTAATATTTATTCAATATACTATTATGAAAATAAAGTATTATATTTTTGATCAACAAAATCCTGTTCAGTGATTGGTCAACATTGCATCATGTGACCAAACATAACATTGCTATGATGTTACCGATAAGAAAAATGTGCTATACTGTGACATCATCCATGGTATAGTGCCAATACCATAGCACTATAACATGGATGACGTCGTGGATATGCGATTGATCAAGATCAATGTGATATCCATTACGAAAAGCTCTCGTTAAAACTATACCCCACCACTATAACAAAGGAACCAATGTAAATCAGGTGGGGTATCCCTACCCCAATTTCACTTCTCTCTTTAAAACTTGGACAGAGCCTTGCAGCTCTGCGTGAGAGATGGCAGCTGTACTCTTCATCATCTTACAGAATAGTGTAAACAAACTCTCACTGGGGCTCTGCCTGAAATAATAATAATAATAATAATAATAATAATAAATAATAACTTTTATTTACCCAGGGTAGCCACTTCAGTTATGAAACTGTTCTGAAAGGAAATGAGAAGTAGGAAATAAATATTTTACTTGTTTTAAGATATTTTCATGTCCAAAAGTCACTTATAATTTAGATGAAGACCATAATGAAAGTTCAAACGAAGCAAAATGACCCAGAATTGGCGATATAACAACAATTTTAATTGTGAAAATTAGCACTCTTTCTCCCTTCCTCTCTCCCTCTTTCGTGCTTATCTCTCTATCATCTCGCCAAGGCCTCGGCAGGGGGATTACATTGTCTAGCGCTAGTGTTTACTTTAGGCTTAGCTCTAGGAGTAGTGAAAGTCAATTGGGGGTTTCAATTTTAAACGACGAGTTTTCGTCATGGGTGTCGGCCCGGTCAGACATAGAAATACTATTTTTTTGTGTGATTTTTTTTTTTGAGAATTGGTTGATGGATTATACACTTACATGTTTTAATAATCTACAGCATTATTGTAAAAAAGCATTTTTATTTGAAATTTTGTATTCATTTTAAGATAACATAAGGTTTTTGTTTTCATCATGAATATTTTTGGTAAAAAGTACTTTATTATTACAACCACTCGGACTGGGACAGAAGGCTTTATGCCACAGTTATTAGGTTAGCTTTTTTGTCTCTGGTGATCCAGTGGTTGTATCATCTTTTATCTATATATGTTCAATTGTCTGTTTTCTGATTTCTTATGGATTTCTTTACTGCCAAATAATAATAATAATAACATCTCGCACATGAGGGTTGACTATTAAAATGACGATTTCTACTGCAGAATAACGGAGGTCGTTGTCAGCCTTGCTTCTGCAATCTGAGCCCAGCAGTATGCGACAGCACGACCGGACAGTGTGAAAACTGCACAGGGAATACAGATGGACTGGAGTGCGAGGTTTGCCAATTCGGCTACTGGGGAGACATCAATAGTTGCCAAGGTGAGAGAATCGATTCACATACATGTATCTTGGAACTTGCTTTATAATCCAAAGAAGCCTAACCCTTTCACTGCTGTAGGTTGTTTGAACTTCATAGAGTATGATGTTGTAGCTAAATTCTTTTTTAACAAAAAGAGCTTTGTTTTATTTGTTCCTAGAAGCCATTGCACACTTTGTGATCTGACTGCAGTCCAAGTTCAAAGAAATTACTGTTGCTCTAGCTATGAAAATTGAAACTAATGTAATCGTTCTGTTTGAGGTTTGGAATAATGAAATGTACACAAAAACAAAGAAAACAAAACAATGCTGGTTTATTTCAAGACTTCAAATTTAAGTGAAGGTTAAATCTGCTTCTAAAACATCGGCATTTGCAAATGTTGGTCTGACGTCACGAAGATGCGAAGCTGATTTGACTTTTCCTCCCACATTGAATTTTGCACTACTCTAAACTGTAAATTTTACCTATTGATATTATTATTATTGTTTGGATCCTTGTGTAGTATTAAGTGAAATCTATTCTTACTTTGACTGTCCATGAAAACTTCCTGGAACTGAGCATGTAACTGTTCTCAAATAGTCTGTTATGTACATGTACAATGGGTTTATAGCTGTTTGGTCTTCAACCAGTTCGTCTACTATCCATGGTCTAAAAATCGTTTTGTCTACTTATCATTTGGTCTATTGACCATTTGGATTAATTGCCAGTCGCTCTAATTGGAGATTAGACCATATGGAAATTAGACCACATTTATGTTGGTAAACAGTCTGTTGGAAAAGTATCCAACCCCCCCCCCCCAAACAATCTGACTGCTACTTGATTTTGGAAGCAGTCATTATATATCAAAATCATGTAAATATTCCAGAATTCTGTAAGGTTACTTTTTGCCATTTTTTATTGCCAAGTATTAATCTAAAGAGATATTGAAGTGTTCTGACTCCTATATTATTGTGGTCAAACAAAAACCAAATTTGCCTCAACTTGGGGACAGTCTTGCAACCTACATGTATGTGTATTCTCATCTGTGCATTTTTATACCCAGCAATGTTACGTGCTCTGTGCTTTAAAATTCATTAGATTTTGTCACAGATTTATTTATTCTTTATTTTCATTCTTTGCGGTTTGCCATGTCATGTCTGAAAAAGTCTCAAAGAATTACTTATTTAATCATCATTTTTTAACATGTTTTGTAGAATGCACCTGTAACCAGACAGGAGGGTACGGAAACTGCACCCAAGACACCGGTGTCTGCTACTGCTACCCCAACGTAGTGGGGAACGAGTGCACGGAGTGTGCCCCTGACACCTGGGGCTTCGACAGTGGGCTGGGCTGTACGGAGTGTGACTGTCATCCTGTTGGATCTGTTGATCAGCAGACCCAGTGTGATTTGGTGAGTAGTTGTTACTATCCCACTTTCTTTTCTTTTCTTTTTTTTTTTGGGGGGGGGGGGGATGGGAGGGGGTTCACGTTCATTGGGCCATGTAATAGACCGGTTTACTAACATATTCAATTTTATGGATGTTTCTTTCCTAGTGACTTGTTATTCCATCTACTTGTTATTAATGAAAGATCTACACTACTTGGAATACAGTCCGCATATATTACTTGTTGCTATGTCGGACAAGCATCAGGCAAACTTTCAGGTTTTCACGAACTAATTAACTTAATTTAAAAAGTATGAATAAAATTTGATTATGTTAGTAAACTTGTCTATTGTCATAAGTATGTCCTGGTGCTACATGTATATGTACACTACATGTATTTATGTATATATAAAACTGATCATAAATTATCTCATGTATGTATTTATTGTAGTCTGTACATGACATTATGTCCATCCCTAAGCTAATTATTCATGATACTATTGGATTAACAATGACATGTAAAAGTAAAGAAATCAAATAACTTTTTTTTTTTTTTTTTTTTTTTTTTTTGGGGGGGGGGGGGGGGGGGGGGGGGGGTCAAATCAGATTATATGCGTGAGTAATAGTTTGAGTGTGAGTGCAGTACAGGTATACCTGCAAATACAGTAGTCTCTTTGACTGATACATCCACTAAAAAATAACACTTTGTACTATCATCAGCTTCAAAAAGTTGTGATGGGTCTTAATTAATCCTCTTTCCTACATTCTCTTTCTAAAAATATGTAGGTCACTGGCCAGTGTAACTGCAAAGCGTTGGTTACGGGCCAGAAATGTGATGGTTGCATGATGGGATACTATGACGTGGATCAGGAATGTATCGGTAAGATTTTTGTAATGCTGCCGTTGCACTGTTGGGTAAAGCTCAGCCAAAAGGGCCATGTAGTGTCTTTATCGAGCCACATCATAAGAGTGACTGTTACATGTAGCTTGATGTTGCAGTGTGATACACCAACTTGGATGGTAGAACTTGCAATTGGCCATTTCCATAATGTATCAAAATTTAATGCAGGCGTCTTTGTTAAGTTCCTCAATACAAATTATTTCATTCACCTGTTAAAAATAATTGTAATTCAATAGTAGATATGCAAGTAGATATAGCATATATATACTACATGTTGTTTAATAGGGCAAGCCATTTTGTTTGTCCTACCTAGCAACAACTAATGTATGTAATTTGATTCTGACTATTGAAATGCAATTATTGCCACGGGTGAATGAAATAATTTTCATCAATGCACTTTACAAAGACATATGCATTAAGTTTGGTTACATTACGAAAATGGGCTGTTGAAGTTCTTCAATGAAGACACATTATTAAAAAGCAGAAAAAAACATTACTCATCATAGATAGAGGTATTAAAAAGCTAAAGGGGGATTATTTCTTCAAAAAAGCAAAACAAAACTGAATCAGATATATTTTATAGTTTGTATAATTGAATAAAGTTGAATTGTTGTTGAAAAATTCTCAAATATGTATTGGAAACAATATTTTTAATTTTGGCTACCGCAACTACAGTATCTGGCCATTGAGGGCAGCATCGGCCATGGGTATATTCAGTTTGAGGATCTTACTGCCGCTATCCTAGCATCTCTGGTAATAGAAAGAAATGTTTTATGTTTCTATATCTGACAGCATGCAACTGCGATCTCAATGGCACACACCCAACGACATGCTCCAGTGATCTCTGTAGCTGTGATCTTGTTACCGGACAGTGTGACTGCAAATTGGCAACAATCGGTGGCCAGACATGTGACCGTTGTGGTCGACTGGATCGAGGTAAGGACATGACGACAGAAAGAAGCTGCTTGTATTATTCTGTGTCATGCGACATAGAATCCATAAAAGAATGGATTAAAATGTATGTGTACTTTCAAGGTAATGTCATTGATTTGAAGACAAATGACACGTTCAAAATCACGTGAAGCATGATTAGATGTAATCCTGAGATTTATTAATGATTTTTAAAAAGTTTGAAATAGAGGCAATACAACTATTGCATATCTTTTTTCATGTGGGGTTATTATTTTGTTGTACGAGACATATTAATGATAATACAAAATGATTCCAATCTGTGCCCAAAGCCTTAAGAAATTGTAATGTTTTAAAGATATTAATCTTTGTATGTTCAAACCAACACCACTTCTGAAATAGCTAAACAAAACCAAAACAAAAGAAAAAGAACAAAAAATAAAAATAAAAAGAGGATAACATGAAGCATGGCATTTGTAGATAATGTTTTCGTAGAGGAGTCATTTTGGAAGTTATGGTCTCTAAAATTACTATTCAAATTGTATTTAATGGTGTCATAATGTAAAATGGATGATGAAAGAGTGCATGCAATACCAGTGCAGTACAGTGAACAGATACATTTATTTTTACTATCTTTCTCAGGCACAGTTCAAGTTGTACAGGAAATTTTTGTTGGTAAGTAAAAATTGCAATTAAGCAAATGTCAGAGTATGGCTTCATGATGCTTTGCCATTTCCAACACTATGATGTAACGATGAGAAATGCAATTTCAATTATCGTCAATATCATTAAACAAAATTTGGAGTGGGATTTAATGATGATTTGCCATCACAATTACAAGATGATCTTTGACATTTCAGCAAATATCAAAATACGGCTTACATGTAAATAAAGATGCTGTGATATTTATCACATATTGGATAATAAGGTTAGTCTGAATATTACTTGAATTGCAATATGATATTTCCACAATAAGATTCCAGACTATATAAAACACCCAGGTTCATATTAACAAGAACTGCATAGTGCTTGAATATGGAAGGATCTTCACAGAAAATTTAGGTCTCAAAACTGACAGCAAGAATCAAAATCCTCAATAAATTTGAAAAAATGTACCTTGAATGTTCAAGACAAATAGAAGATAAAATCTGAAAAATTAGCAAAGAAATTTGAAATCATCAGAATAGTAGCCCCAACCAATTAAAGATAAACTCCAGTTCTGGTAAAAAAAAGAAAATTAATTCTCACAGAATCAAACAAAACTTACACTGAATGTTCAAGATTACAAATAAATGACATGTGCCAAACAATTTTGGATGAAAATGTATACTGGCTGAGTAATGAGCATAAAAAGACAAGGAAATGAAGGGAGTACTAGCCCCGACACCATGTGTGTTGTCCCATATATAGCTTTCTGTGTACAGTGCTTGTTACTTTACCAAGACTCGGCCAAATTTATTATGATTTTGATGACTCCAGAACCTTGCAGTGCACACCAATACTTACATGCTACATGATCAACTGTTTCTGATCCATTCCACACCTTTTCTTTCACAATGCAATCGCATAACCAGAACTCACCTTTATCTTTAAACTCATTGTTCCATATCTGAGTATGTAACTTTGTGCCTTTTACTAATTTTGATCGTGTATACATTTATTGATGGATGATATTACTTTGTGTTGGGGTATTTGTTGCAGGTAATTTTCCAAACTGCGAGCCATGCCCAGAGTGCTTCCAAAATTGGAGGGAGGAACTTGAGATTTTGGGAGAGATGTTGGGAGAAGAAAGGCGACGTTTACTCGGTAAGTCAAGATATCTTGTACCCCATAGGTCACTGGACTATAGTGGTTTGCGGTTCGAGTCCCGCCGCGGCGCTATAAATGTCCTTTGACCAGACATTCATCTACATTTGCCAATATTCCTTAAATGCTTTAGTGCGTATGGCAACTAGGTTACAGCCTGGGTGGTAATATGATCCCTTGTATGAAGCGGAGTAGAGTGCATTCATATACATGTAGTAGTTGCGCTATATAAATGGGCCTATTATTATTATTATAACTGCTGAAGAGGGTCAAGTCCTGTCTTAGTCCAGACCTTAGAAATAAAAAATAATGTATGCAAAACTGCTACTGAAACCCATGAAAAGAATTACATGCACCAATACAAGATAGTGATACTTGTACGTAGATGTACATGTATAGTGTATGTGCATTGTACCTCTAATCAGCCAATTGGTCAATACATAGCTAGATGTACCTATAATACGTAATAATAATAAATATAATAATGAAAATATATATAATTTATAAAGCGCCTTTTCATGAGATAAAAAAAAGCATTCATCAGAAATACCTTCAAAGAAAGAAAGAAATCAGTATGATATGAATAAAATTACTCTAATTTAAAACAACAAGCAATATTAAAGGCTTGTTCAGCATTTGGTACATGATGACGTAAAGTATAATGTGCTTCATATTTCTGTATCTTTCTGTGCCACTACTCCGAAGATCAAGATACACTGATCTTGATCTAAGGAGACACGAACGAACGAATCTTATAGTACAGAGCTCAGTAAATACGTGTAAGTCCTTTGTTGGGCGCAGTTGCGATTCATTTACACCTTTTTGCAGCGATTCACCGCACCATATCTGAACAAGTCTTAAGACAGATTAGAAAACATGTGTTTGAATTCAGACAGGTCTTGAACACCTCACAATTTTCAGGGGATGGCAATGCACCTTACATGCATGCACATGAATTTGGAAATGTAATGTGATCGAGGGAGCTTGGGCATGAGGCAAACGGTTTAATTCAAAACAATATTTATTTTTATGCCTCCGTTACGAAGTAGCCGGAGGCATTATGTTTTCAGGTTGTCCGTCCGTACGTACGTGCGTCCCGTCCGTGCGTCCCGTTCTCGTGATCGCGTTATCTCAAGAACCGACTGATGGATTCGTACCAAACTTTGGTCATTTATGTAACTTGCAGAGCCAATGAACTGATTAGATTTGGGGGTCACTGGGTCAAAGGTCAAAGGTCACAGGGCTCATTATGTATGCATATTCAAAATAGCTTGTGATCGCGTTATCTCAAGAACCGATTGATGGATTCCTGCTCTACTTAGTTCATGTATGTATCTTGCAGAGCCAATGGGTTGATCAGATTTTGGGGTTACGACGCCAAAGGTCAAAGGTCGCAGGGCTCATTATGTATGCAAAAATAGCTTGTGATCGCGTTATCACAAGAACTGATTAATGGATTCCGGCCAAACTTATGTTATGTATGTATCTTGCAGAGCCAATTAATTGATTAGATTTTGGGGTCACAAGGTCAAAAGTCACAGGGATCATTATGTATGCAAAAATAGCTTGTGATCACATAATCATTAGAATAGATGGACAGATTCCCTTGAAACTCAGGACATGTATATATCTTGCTGAGGCAATGAACTGATTAGATTTTGGTGCCATGAGGTCAAAGGTCATGGGGCTCATTATGTATGCAAAAATAGCTTGTGATCGCATTATCATTAGAACCGATGGATGGATTACCATCAAACTCAAGACGTGTATGTATTTTGCAGAGCCAATGAACTGAGTAGATTTTGAGGTCATGAGGTCAAAGATCAAAGGGTCATACATGTACATGTATATGAGAAATAGCTTGTTATCACGATATTCTGAGAACCTGTTAATGGATTACATTCTAACTTGAATTTGAAAAATTTCTTCTGTTTTGGTTTGTAAAATTGCTCTATGACGGAGGCATCATTTTCGACTGCGTGCAGTCGAAGTTCCATCTAGTTAAAAAAGCAATCGTGTGTCACGACATAATGTTGAATTGTGCATAGTTTTTAAAGTAAGAAAAACATTATGTAAAAATAACAAGAAACATACCGGTACTTATAAGCTCAAAAGAATGGTTGAAATGACATTGAATAGAATACCATAATATGTAGACATGAAAGAAAAATACATTACCCAGGTACAAAGAAAAATATACATAGTCCTTAAAGGTACTATGTCCCATTTGCAGGCCCAAAAAATAAAAAAGTTAAATTCCAACTGCATTTGAAAGATAATACTAATTTAGAACTTGTCTAAAAAGTGGGAAAATAACGACTTTTAGTTGTCAAATCGACTTTAGGGCTATAGAGCCCAAAAGAAATAGTCTTGATTTTCAGACAATTGTACCAAATTGTCATACGTTTTATGCTGCGCAAAGATTCAATCAGTTTAATCTTGGCCATCACAAGAAGTGGGTTATTGATGTAGACAAATGCTCATGTACCATTTACAACTCTTTTCATGTATGTTATTACCAAAGATGAAAAAAGCCAGTCAGTCACTCAATAGTGTCTGACAGTGAAGTCTAGCAAGTAAACGGGTTTCCTTGCATAATTTGAATATGAGGACACTGCTAACGTTTAAATTTCACAGATAGGACATTATATGACATATTTATAATTCCTAAACAGTTCTACAGAATTTGAGGTTGGCTGCAAAAGGGACATAGTACCTTTAACATAGTAACATAACTTTCTAACAAACATACTACAACAGTAACAGGCAGAATGCAAACATGTGATTGGGGTAATTAAAAAATTAATTACAATTGTATATTCGCCCTATGTTGTACAGCTTCACTCCTCATTAATCCACTCCTACAATGATACCATCTTTGATCTAGGGCTTCTTGGTAACTATGGTAACATGACGGAGGATGACGTTGGGATGCTGATCAGTGCCATACAGAGTAATCTCACTTTGGCTGAACAGGTTATTGAGCAGGGCACTCAGCAAACACAGGATCTTGTGAACATCCAAAACTCCTTTTTGGCGGTGAGTTGAGTCAAGCCCCTGTCCCACTATGTCTGAGCAAGCCATGATCGTTTTGCTTTGTGTGTTGTCCATTGTCATGTTGTGGCAGAGTTAAAGAGAAGGTTGAGTTCTGGGAAGAGGTGTAAACTAACTTGTGAGCGCTATCATTGTTATTATGCAAGTGTGGAAGAACATCCGATAAAACATGTTCCCTGAAAAGCATGGCTCTTCAAATGCCTTCATATTCTAAATACGGCATGTAACATCGTAAAAATTGGGACAAATTTTTATGCCACGTGTTTGTGTAGTCCCATGTACATATTTTTGTGTACAGTGCTTGTAATTTTACCAAGGCTTGGCCAAATTTCTCATCATTTTGATGATTCCAGAACCTTGCAATACACACAAATACTTATATGCTGGATGATCAACCTTTTCTGATCGATTCCACACCGTTTCTTTCACAATGCAATCACATGACCAGAACTCAACTTCATCTTTAAACCAGAAAAAAACATATTGTTGGTTTATTTTATGCTCCAGCAACCATAACTCTATGGTTAATTTATAACATTAATACAATCCTAACTTCAATTCTGGACCTGAGATCATATCTGACCCTTATTGGATCGCAAAGACTTATAAAACAATAAATCTTTTGCAAATTAATGGCAATTAAGGCAAAGGCCTTGTACACTGTACGTTGCCTATCACATAATCTTAACATGATTTTGTATAATACAATAGGGTAGGCACTGAATTGCCCTTGACTTACAAATTGCCTGAAAGTTTTTGCAAGCATGGTCTCAGATGCTGAACATAACCCTACACCAAATTAAAATCCAGTTGTCATCCAAGCCCTAGCACTGTATCTTTGATGAATTAAATCGTGGAGAAATTGTCTCATAGGACATTGTTGGGACATCCCATGTATTATGTTAATTTGCAAAGATGAACGGCTATATGAAAATTTTAGGGGTGGAGAGCTTTTAGAGGAATGTTGTGCTTTATTAGTGTATTTTTCTGTATCCTGTTAATTTGCAAAGATGAACGGCTATATGAAGATTTTTGGGGTGGAGAGCTTTTGGAGGAAAATTGTGCTTTATTAGTGTATTTTTCTGTATCCTCAATGCCCATTAACTGTTACACTCAGTTGCTTATCTTCATCATGCCTTTCTACATTTTTTTCACTCTTTTTGACATTCTATCCATATTCAATCCTTGGTTTGTATTTTATCTTTTAACTATTCAAATATAGATATCAGAGTCTATTGAAAACAAGACGGTCCTCTTAGATTCTGTATCAGCTCTAGAGGGTAACATCACGTCGCTCCTGTCTGAGTCTTCTGGCTTTGACGGTACGGTTGAGGTGGAGACCGATGTGAGAAGAGATTCAGAGAGACTTAACCAAGAGTTGTCGGCTGTAACTAACACGATAGATAACATTGTTACTGAAGCGGAAGGGAACTGGGAGTCAGTGCAGACCCTCTACCAAACAGTCCTGGACTTCCAGGCCCAGGCTCAGCAGCTGATAGTGGAAGTCGGCTCCCTAGCAGTTGATGTGGAGGGCGCATCGCAGCAACGGATCACGGTTGAAGACATTTTGGCCGAGCCTACCCGGGCAGCTGAGATGGAGGTGAATGCCCAGCGACTGGGTCTGATAGACTCCACGCAGGCTGGTTATCCACTGGAGGTGGCTGCCCAGAATGCTTCAGCTGCACAGAGACTGGTGCAGCAGGCTAACCAGACAGCGAGAAGTGCCTATCAGCAAGCGGTGAGCGAGAGGACGTTGTCTGAAGAGAGGGCATACAGGAGTGAGGTGGCACGCTTCAATGCTACAGGTGCAACAGCGGCAGCGGCTAATGCAATCTCAGCAGCAGCAAATTACAAGGTATGACTGACTGTACTGTAACATAAATGTGGTTAGTTTGTGAAATGTCTCAGTAAAATCTTTAGAGCTTGTTAAAAGGTTAAGTAAGGATTAAACTGAAAAGAGACTGGGCTTTTTCAGAGGTTTAAGGGGCTGAAGGGAACTATAGCAAAATGATTAGTTTGATAAACATTTGGCCTGAAACAAACATATTTCTTTTCAATTATGTTTTTTATTGTTATGTGGATCTCTCTGACATTCCAAATCTTGAACTTGTGACTCTAGGATATAGCGCTGGAGACCAAAGCAAACATCACCCAAGCCTACTTGGACACCCTCGACCAGCTCTCTCAACTGAATGCTGCCCAAGTCAACAGCCAAGAGGCAAACACAGCGTCCCAGGCAACACTCAACATGGCCGTCAGGGCATCAAGCGACATGCAGGATCTGGTGAGGCAGATCAACGCGACAGGCCTGTCCGATGATGCCGTGCTGCCGCTGCTACAGAACTCCACTGCAACCTTGGAGGAAGCAACAGGCAGCTTGGAGAAGGCTAGACTATCCTTGTAAGTGTCAATGAACTCTTATTGCCATGACAATGACTCCATTTTGAAAGGCCTATTGAATGTGCTTTTGTAATTAACAGGCCTGATAATTACCCGATTTAAATTGATTTCCCAATTTTTTTTGTTTTCTTTTCGATTTTACCCCTATTTTCCTAATTTTCCCTATTTTTCCCTATTTTTTCCCCAATTTTCTTACTAAAAAGTGGGGGCATTTTGTTAGATGCCATTATTTTTTCCCTGAATCTTTTTTTTTTTTTTACTCAAGGGTGGGTGGTTGAGGAAATTTTTTTGTTGTTAAAGATAAATGTGTGTGTCCTAGGTATTCTCTTTTCCCTCATTTTCCAGGAATATCCTTGTTCTAGTGTCACAGTGCGGTATTGGGGAGTCATGACCTCCTCATTTTTGTTCAAAGTATGCTTCTCTGATTTTTCTGCTTTATGTTTAGAGTCATTTGTCTATCAAGGTTAGATTTCCTTCGAGTGCTTCCAAAGAGCTTTTTATAAATAATTACCCTGGATTTGGCTGTGGCAGCCATTAGTTTATAGGTCGAGCCTAAATTGTGTTTGTTTGATTTTCTTATACTGCTGTCATTTGCAGGTAGACTATTTGAGTGGGAAAAAGACTTCTCATTCTCTCTCTCTTCTCTCTCTCTCACTCTCAATCTTTGACTTGTGTTGGCATTCTTGATTAATGGTAATAAAAGAAATCATTTCTACATGTAGGTCAATTTTAGATGATACATCATAATTGATCATTATCAACAAAATTTTCTTGTCCATATGTCATACTGGACTTTGACCCCCATTTGACCCTACGTTAACTGGGGGGGGGGGGGGGTCAATTTGACCCCTCCCTGTAGAAATTTCGCGACTACTCCGAAACCTCCGAAACTCCGTGACCTTTTGTCTTCGCATGTCAGCCCGAAAATCGCTCATTTTTGTGATTTGTGTACAAAACATATGGAAATGTAATTTTTCCTAAAAAGAGATAAAACATTGGTTATTTAGTCTTGTTTAAAGTTTAGGTGTTTGTTTTTGGTTCAAAATAGTTGAATTGTAGTTATAAATGAAATGAAACAACAAAAACAATAAAATACATACATGTAAGTTAAAAAAACAATGAATTACATAAGAAATTATCAAAACAATAGATAACATAAGGAATAACCCGGCTCTTCCAATTTTTTGTGTTGTATTATTATTCCAAATGGTCTAACAAATATATGTAGTGAAAAAGAATGCTTAAATATGAATAATGTCTGATTTATGGGCAAAAATGTGAATTTTATGACCTTATTTGCATAAATTACCATAAATATGCAAATGAGTGAATTTTTCAAAAAATTGAAATTACCATAATATTCTATACACTTCACTTGACATGTATGCAAATTTTCTTGGCGATCGGCAGTGAAACGGCTGAGATCTTAGGGGGGGGGGGGTCCCCCCCCAGTAAAAACCTGGTCTGAAATAGCCCAGTTAAAATAGGGTTAACTTGCATTTTAACTGTCTTTAAAAAAAATGTTCTTAAACAGACATGATGCAAATTTATTGTCCGTATGTAATACTGGCATTTGACTTCCATTGGCGCTACTTGCATTATAACTGTCATTTTTTGTAATGTTCTGAAAACAGACAAGATGCACTTTCTGTGAGATCCCAGATTGACAACGCAGAGTTTGACTTATTAGAAGCAGAAAGGGTTCGAGAGGTTACAGGTCAAAGGGTCGCTGACACACAGAGTAAGGTCTCCAACATCAGTCAGATAGCCTCAGAGGTAAGGCAGCAAAGATTTAATTTATTTTAATTCCCATTTTGAGAAAAACAGGCTCAAAAGTAAGTCTGAATGCCTAATGGGTTGTCTTGACCATAATAAATATTAATTCCCCCCCCCCCCGCCAAAAAAAAAGAAGGTAATCACATTCACTGATAAGCACAGCCAATATTTGCACGCAGGCCTTTTATTAACCTCACGCTGGGCGATTTTTACCCAACTGTCCCTGACTTTTGGCACCCGGTAAGACAGGGAAAATGAGTACCGAGCCCCGGTCTTTTTTTATTTTTGGCGCCCGGTCTGGGAGAATTAACATTTCCTGTTTCAGAAACTTTCACGTGGCCAGCACTACAGTACTGTACTGTACTGGGCTGGGCTATTTTGAGCACTCTCTGACTTGGGGGGGGGGGGGGGGGGGGGCCTGGGAGGCCCCCCCCCCCCCCATGATCTCGGCCATGGAATGCCTGATGAACGCAAAAATTTGCGTGTTTGTAGGTATTTACGTAAGGAACAAGATGGTTTAATTAGTTTTTTTCCTAATATGCAAATTTTTGTCGTTATAGCATAATTAATTATGCAAAATGCTAATTTTATGCATTTTACAGAAAACTCTACATATTTGTCCGTAGAATCTCGAAAATGTATGGAATAAATGTTTCCTTCATCTCAAATTCATGAGGTTTCATTATTTTTATGATATTTGAAAATGCATAGGTTAATTTGCATAAATTATGAATATGCATTCATGAATATCAAAATCTGGAAATATATATAGGGAACTAGACTCATTACAAAAATTGTCAGACTCCACTTTTTGAATGTTGAAACTCTTTATTCATATAAAAAACTTCTTTTCTAACACAAAATAGTTATTTAATATAATTAATAATGATAGTTTATGCAAATTTGATGCGACAATTCAAAATTTTGAGCGGTTGCGGCGCAATCTCCGAAAATGTCGAGCCCCCCCCCCGCCCAGTACAGTAAGGGTTAACAAATCTGACAAAAAAACATACTTAATACAAGTTAAATATGGACAGAATTAGCCCTAACAAATAATGTTACAATGAGAATCCTAAAATCGCCCCGAAACTATTGCAGCACGACTACGAGCAGCCGCTATCTCCTACTCCTAGCGCCAGGGTTGGGCGGTAAATACCGGTGGTAAATACCGGTAAATACCGTCCGGTAAATAAGATGCGCGTCCGGTAAATATGTAAAAAACGGGAAATATGATTTTAATTCTCTATTTATTAATAATTTTACTTGTTTTTAGCCTCATAACTGAAAATATTGTTCTGAAATAATTAGCAGCACAATACTCACAGTAGGAACACACAAACAGATTTATAAAATCCTCACTGCATACAAAATTGTACACACCCAAACAAATGGCATTTTGTGCATATGCTAATTAATAGGTATTCATGAATATGGTAATTAGCAACTGGGAACCAAAACCTTCATACAAGTTACTTTTATTGTAAAGTTTAAGTATATTTGAATAAAATCAGTGAAAATTTGAACAAAATCGGGCAAGGAATAAGGAAGTTAAAGCTTTTTGAAATGACTAGTCACTAGAGGGCGATATTAAATTTGATAAAATCATTTGTGGACAACTCTCCATGCCTTTTGTACATCAAATTTCATGTTTTTCCTTCTTTCTTGTGATTGAGATAATAGAATGGAAAATGATATTCTACTTCACATATTATGAAATCTGATCAAGAACACAAATAAATAAGAAAAAAACGAAAGACTTGCGAAATTTGATGTACAAAAGGCATGGAGAGTTGTCCACAAATGATGTCATCAAATTGAATATAAGAGTTGGGAAACATATTGTGCTATTGGATTTAATTGTACCATTGATGTGGGCTTACGATTGTTTCAGTTTAAAGTCTTGCAACGCATATTATATACGAACGATCTACTGTTTAAAATGAATTTAGTCCCAAGAAAAGAATGTACATTTTGTAATGAACAGATTGAAACAGTTATACACCTGCTATGTGATTGTACGCATGTTAAAAATATCTGGGGTAGGTTAGAACACTGGATTAATACTGGAACCGGAAATAAATTAACATTTTCATTACAAGATAAATTATTTGGTTTAAAAGGTTCAAATAATTAAGCATTGAATTGTATACTGATTGTGGTGCGACAGATGGTGTATACTTGCAAAATAAAGAAACAATTGCCCGACTTTGATAGTATTAGAGTTTCGATTATAAATTACTTCAAAAACGAAAAGTATATTGCAAATTCGAATTGTAAAAATAATAAATTCACAAGAAAATGGTTTCAATTCAGGAATTTGTTTACTTAAAATGATATTTTTTCTGTATTTGTTTTTCTTTCCATGAGTGTTAGAAATGAATTATTGATTTGTTAGTTTTCTGTTAACTCAACAGTTCAACAATACTTGTATCTTGAAAAGCCAATTTTATCTTATTTATGTTATTATGTAAATTACCTTGAATATATATTTTTGTATGTGTTTCAAATGAAAATCAATAAAATCCCTGTGGAGGGAAAAATATGGAAAAAAAAATAAAATTGAATATCGCCCTCTAGTGACTAGTCATTTTAAAAAGCTTTAACTTCCTTATTCCTTGCCCGATTTTGTTCAATTTTTCACTGATTTTATTCAAATATCTTAAACTTTACAATAAAAGTAACTTAGTATGAAGGTTTTGGTTCCCTTTAATGAAGAACATCATATCTAGATTAAGTGTATATTTGGTATTTTTTTCCTGTATTTTTTTCCAGCATTACATAATTACAGACATAGACAAACACATGAACAAACACACACACACACACACACACACACAAATAGTACACACAAGAGCAACCATACTCACCACCATTGTTATTATGTTCAAAATTGGACAATCCCTATGAACAAGTGAGTGGAAAAATATATTTCCCGGTATTTCCCGGTAAAAAGTGGTAAATACCGCTTATTTCCCGGCGTCCGGGAAATAAGCCTCCGAAGCGGGAAATATGCCAACCCTGCCTAGCGCCACCGCTATGGCAGCTAGCAAGCGTGGAGAGCGGAGATCGAGAGTGCGCGAGCAACACTATCACTCCGTCTAAAAGTTTGACTTTTTGTGAAAACTTTACTTTGAAAAACGATTCTCAAAATTCAGTGTACATGGCCAGAAAAATGACAATCCAAGCTTTGATTTCACAACTCTGTTCCTGAAAACTATATAAAAATTGTGGCAATCATGATGGAAATAGATCACAATTTCAGAGTTTTGCGCATGAAGTCGCGTCGAGCCTAACCGTAAATGGTATGAACCCCAACCGATGATCGGATCAGGGCTGATCGTCGGCCGATCAGGTGAAATCGGATAATAAATTCTGATCGCCGATCAATGAAAATGATCGGAAAATAGTCGGTAGAAAAAATTATTAAAAAAATAAAATTAAAAAAAAAGGCACAAATTTTCAAGTTTTGGGCTATCAAATACTTTTAAAAATGCCTAGCTGGGATCATTTTGTCATTCGGAGTTGTAGTAGTCCGTGTTTGTTGATATTAAGTATTTTTTCATGACTTTGAAATTAATGATATTAGTCTAAGAGAAGAGGTAAAACATGCGAGCCGCCATTTGGATTATAATGTAAGGCACGCATATTTTTTCATTGTCATGAAGTAAATGAAAATTTAAAATCAATACAGAATTGGTGCACTGCAAATAAGCTTACTATCAATGCGTCAAAAACCAATTTCATGTTCTTCAGTAGTCGTAGAAAGGCTGTGCTTAAAGGGAGATTAAAAATATCTGGGGCAGAATTAAGAGAAGTGGAGGAAGCGACATTTGTTGGCATTACCATTGACAGACATTTAACATGGAATTCACATATAAAATCTGTTAATGACTGTATACGGAGAAAGGTCGGTATCCTCTTTAAATTACGGCACTTTGTCCCTAAACATATATTGATACTGTTGTATAAAGCTCTTATACAGCCACATATTACATATGTCATCGAGGTTTGGGGTAGTACACCTTGTACTTATAAATCACACTTGAATTGTATATTTTATACTCAAAAGATGGCTGTACGTGCTATAACTTTCAAGCCACATTGTTCTCATACTAATGCACTGTTTCATGACCTCAAATTGTTGAATGTTTTTAAATTGCATGAATTATCTATTTGTACTTTTGTGTTTGATTTGATAAATGAACAATAACCTCATTCCTTAAACATTATTGCAGTATGAAACAACACGAATATTCCACAAGACAAAAAACTGGTCGACAATTACGTCTTCCTTTATTCAAAACAGACCAAGGAAAGTTTTCTGTTTCGTTTGTTGGAAGTAATTTTTGGAATATGCTTCCTACTGATCTAAGAATTGAGAGGTCAAGAACATCTTTTCGTAAAAAACTTACAAAATTACTCTTAAGTGAAAACCATGAATCATGACTTTGTATCTATATAGTTGTATATAGTAACCAATCTCATTTTAATATTATACACAAATCTTATTTATAAGATTTGGAAACCCATCATGTATTTTTCAATTAACTTTATTTTAGGCTTTAGATAACGAGAGTCAGACTCGACTAGCATATGTGCTATTTTTTACTCTATTTTACCATCGATCACAAACTCATTGTGAATAGTCATTTATTGTCTTACTCTTAAAGCAAAGTTTATTTTATATTTGTCATAATGTACATGTATATCGCTGTAGAACATGTATTTTTTATAATTCATGTCATGCATTTATGTTATATTGACATTGTCATTGTGCCTTTATATTTTGTTTCAATGTTTTCAATGGTGATGAATAAATAAATTCAATTCAATTCAATTCAATATTAGTCTAAGAGAAGAGGTAAAACATGAGAGCCGCCATTTGGATTATAATGTAAGGCACACATTTGTTTTCATTGTCATTATAATCCAAGATGGAGGCTGGCATGTTTTGCATCTTCTCATAGACTAATATCTTTAATTTCAAAGTTATGAAAAGGCACTTAATATCAACAAACATGGTCTACAACAACTCCAAAATGACAAAATAATCCAAGCTTTGCAATTATATTATTTGATAGCCCAAAACTTGAACATTTTTCTAATTAAAAAAAATAATAAAAAATTACAATTTTTTTTTCTACAGATTATTCCGATCATTTTACCATTTTTTGACATAATGGCATGAAAATAGTTTTAATCATGAACTACAACAACTATAAATGAAAGATTTATTCAAGGTATGAGTGATTTTAGGTATTAGAGTGCTCAAAATTTGAAGTAGGTCTAGAAACTATATTTTAAAAAGAATAATTTGAACTAGGCCTAATACTTTTTGCCGATACCGATCAAAGGTTCGAGCTAGGGTGTCGCTCCGATCAGTCTTCCGATCCGATCAAAGCCCCAACTTACAGGGTTACTTTATAGTGTACTGATAGACTAATGACAATGAATAATGAATAAATAAAAGGTAACGGTTACCAAATAATTTAAAACAATACATATTTTCATTAATTTTGGAATTGGCTCCTGGACCTGGAAAAACGGCTCCTGGTTCTCTCAAATATTTAAGGACCGGGAGCCCCTTTTTCAGATATTTCGCTCCCGGTCTGCTTTGACTTAACAAAAGGCTTGTTTGCATGTACACGAGACGACATATATACAGGTACCAATTGCAGTTACATGAACTGCACTTCCATCCTTAAATTAAAACGTCTCAATCTCAGATAGCTACTAAAAATATTACATACAGTATTTATGAACTAGTTCTAGTCAAGGTATGTGTAGATCCAAGATCAAACCTATACTGAGTCTTACTGACGTTATGAAGTTAGATCAGTGTAACAGTGAAGTCCAAGTCAAATTTAGATTTGAGTCTGTCCTAGCTGATGAAAATGGGAACTTCCTAGTACTAGAAAAGTATCAAAGAGAAACAAATAAATTGAAGTGTATAGAGCCAGGGTAGAAATATAAAAAAATAACACTGGGTAGAGTCAAGGGGGGAAAAGGCAGAAGAGGAGAAAGGAAATGGAAAGAGAGATGAAATCAAAGAAGGAAAAGAAGAGGGAGGAAGAGAAAGAAAGAAAGAGAGGGGGAGAGAATTAATATAAAGATAGATAAACAAGAGAAGAGAAAAGAGAGGATATGTAGCCGTGACAGGTAAACAGGATACAGAATAGAGATATTCACATTTTAAAAATACAACAGTATATGTAAATAATATATTAGGTGACACTTCCTCTTAGGAATAATAAATACCTGGTCACGTGTATGTTCCCAGCCAATCATTTAATTATAGGTTCTACATGTAAATCTCCATTTTATAATTCTTACTACCTTCTTGATAGATATACATCCATCTCTTATTGTTTCTCTGTTCCAGGTCCAGACTCAGTCCGAGACAAAGTCCAGTGATGCTCAGGCTACCTCTGCCCTCGTACGAGACTTATCAATAGAGGCTGTAGATGGTCAGGAGTGCTTCAGCGCTAAAAGGGCCCAAGTGCAGGATGCAGGTCGTAGAATCGACAGTGCAAAACAAGATGTAGAAGCTACACAACAGGTTGGACTTTGACATACAAATTTTGTTTTTATTTTAGTTAACTTATTATTCTTTTTCCTCCTATTATATTTTTGCACCATCACAGTACATGTAGTCTCCAGAAAACTTTGATTGGTTAGGTTTGGGTAATCATATCATGTAGTGAAGCTTCTGCCAACCCTTAACTGTAGGGGGCAGAATTATTGTTATTATTATCTTTTGTTTTTAACTGAATGACCGTTTACAGTATGTTTCTTTTAGAAATGTTTGTTTCGCTTCTTCGTACAATGTTTGTTTATTTCCTTTGACCTTTCTTGTTTAATCCATATCAGTCTGAAAAAAAGTTGTGTTTTTATATTTGAAACTAAATGTCAGGTGTGTTTTCTATAATATAATCTTGTAAGTTTTCTCTTTTACTTTAAAGGTTCTTTTTTTTTCTTTAATAAAATCATCTTTATTCAATACTTTAAAGGTTACTATATTGTCTTGTTAAGTCATCATGAGCATAAGGGACTGTTAAACCAGTAACTAACACAACATGAAACTTTTGGGAATCGTTAAGGACGGCCTTTTTCATAGCAAGAAAATATCGCGAAATGCAAAGAATTTAGAATTGATATTTCAAACGCTGAAATAATTATTTTGTGGCATGAAACTTTTGCAAATCTAAACCAATCACAAAATCCAGGGACATTTGATGCTCCCGGAAGTTGATGGTTTTGCAGCAATACACTGTATTTTCGTAGCAAAATTATAAACAGGAAGGATAAATGTCATGGAAACATCTATTTAAAGAAAAACTATGTTCTTTCTTGCGGTTCAGAAGGTTCATTGTTATTGCCCATTTAACAATGAAAATTTGTGGTACTTACATGACACATGTTTTGGATACACATATAAACATATTTGTATTTTTTTTTTCCTTATCCCTTTCAGGAGCTGAATCTTGTTCTTTCTAGTGTGGAAGAATCGGCAACGGGGATAACTGATTCTGAGGATGAAGCCATCGTTAATCAAAACCTTGTAAAAGAAGTTGATATGATTACGGAAACCTTAGAAAGAGCCCTAATCAGCATTGAAGACATGGCCAATTTAGACGGTATGTATGCACACACAAAAAAGGGTTGTATATGAAAGAGAGACACATGTTTACACTTCTACTGAATATTGCCAGTTTTATATCCCATAAAAGTTGTTTGTGATTACAGAATCCTTAAAATGAAATTGTTTTGGCATTGAGGACATAGTCGACCTACATGATATGTATTTTTTTTAAATAATCTTATATTACTGAATGATATGATTGACTAAATGTTGCCAATTTTGATGACTTATGAGTAAGGTTGACATGATTACTGAATCCCTAAGAAGATGATCTTCTCATTTAAAAACTTGATCAGCTTAGAAGGTACCAGTATGTATTTCAAGCATATAATATTGAAAGGTAGCACTTGATATATGTAGAGTCTAGCTTAATGTTGCCAATTTTGTACCTCTTGAAAGATGTTGAAAGGATTACAGTTTCATTTGAAATAGATCTCCTCAGCATCAAGGACATGGTCAAATTAGTGGAGGTGTATTTCAGGAAAGAATTATATTCCAATGAACAAAATAATCGACTGAATGATGCCAATTTGATCTTTTAATGAAGGAGGTTGACACGATTACTAAATCCCTAGGAGATGATCTTGTCATTGAAGACGTGATTAGATTAGAATACATAAAACTTCTAATAATCATGAAATGAAGCTCTTAAAGATGAAGTTGAGTTCTGGTCATGCGATTGCATTGTGAAAGAAACGGTGTGGAACCGACCAGAAAAGGTTGATCATCTAGCATATAAGAATTTGTGTGTATTGCAAGGTTCTGGAATCATCAAAATGATAAGAAATTTGGCCAAGTCTTGGTAAAGTTACAAACACTGTACACAGAAAGATGTATATGGGACTACACAAACACATGGGGTTAAAAAGCCGGCCCCCCAATTTTTAAGATGTTACATGCATATTTAGAATATGAAGGCATTTGAAGAGCCATGCTTTTCAGGGAACATGTCTTTACTGATGTTCTTCCACACTTGCATAATAAGAATGAGTAACGTTCACAAATTATTTTTCACCTCTTCCCAGAACTCAACCTTCTCTTTAACAATGTACGGTCTAGATCAATGTTCCCAATTTGGTCCCTCTTTAAACTTTAAGATATTGATAGGATTACAGCTTTCTTTAAAATAGATCTCTTCACCATCGAGGACATGGTCATATTAGAGGTTATGTATTTTAAGAAAGAATAATAATAATAGTCCACTGCAAGTTTTATTAAACCAAAACGGAAATTCTTTTTGCCCAATTAATCTACCTGAACGAAGGATATAATTAACTAGATGTGGCTAATTTGATTCCTTTTGAGGGGGGTTGACATGATTACTGAATCCCTAGTAGATGATCTTGTCTTTGAAGACATGAGTAGGTATATGTTTCAAGAATAAAATTTATAATATTGAAATGTAGCACTTAACAATGTACAATCTAGATAAATGTTGCCAATTTGGTCCCTCTTAAAACTTTATGATATTGACAGGATTACAGATTCCTTTAAAATAGATCTCCTCACCATCGAGGACATGGACAAAATTAGAGGGTGTGTATTTCAGGAAAGAATTATATATTAATGAACAATATTGTTGACTGAATGCTGCCAATTCGATCCCCCATGAACGATACTGACCGGATTAGAGAATCCTTAGAAGAACATGAATTTGTTTGGTTCTTTTTTTAAGACATGGTCAGCTTTGACAATATGTATTTCAAAAATAAATGTTATAACATTGAAATTTAGTAGTAAATAATGCACATCCTACCTGAATTTTGCCAATTTTGTTCCCTCACGAAAGATGTTTACATAATTACAGAAGGATATATTCCTAGCATTGAGGACATGGTATAAATGTAGATGGTATGTATTTTTAGAAAGAATTAAGAATTGATAGAAAGGTAAGGGACAACAATGTACAACATGAATGGATGTTGTGAATGTAATTCCTTACACATGCATCCAAGTTATAATTTTAGAATTGTTGTAAGCAGTAACATTGTTTCAAATACTTAAAAAGTATTGCTTATCATGCATGATTAAAGTATTTTATTGATAATTATCCATTCTTGCTGTCCAAAGACTGAATTGCAATGGTTACAACAGTTTACAATGTATATGATAAAAGCAACTATACAACAATATGTTAAAACAGTCTAGGCAATCAACATTGAAATTCAAATAAAAGTGATCAAATAACAATTATAATAGCAACTATCATTAATTTCAATTAATAAGCAATGAAAATCTTAACTGAAACATTCTAAAAATATACTATGGAATTAATCATTAAAACCATTACTATAGGATTTCCCAGCCAAATTCGCGAGTTTGTCATTCAAATTAATTTGTCTTGCATTCAAATTCGACGGTTTTAGTGCAGTCAGGTATATCTCGGGTTTATATTCCCTTTTCTTGTTTTCAAATCTATGGAATTTTCATTAGAATCTACGTATGTTTTGTTCAAATTAATGAACAATGTGCTTCTTTCGCTATTTGGTCATTCGATTTGGCGCAACACGATTTTCTGACAACGCGACGGTGTACTATTAGCATTCAATTTCATTTGTAGCATTCAAATTAGCACTTTGTGCACTTAAATTGATGGTCAATATACATTTCTCATTAATTACACACTTTTAATAGCTCATTCTTTTTCTTTCAAGATTGTTTTTTCATGTGTATTTCATCATATTTCATTTTTTTGCATTTATACACTTATACTTATTAGATTTATCTGATATTCATCAGCATTTAAGTTTGATTGTTAAGAAGAAAAAAAAAACGACTTCCATCTACGGACCTCGTGGTCTCAATATTTTCGTAAATGTTCATGTAAGGAAGTTGTTTGTCTTATGTTTCATCATAAATTTATCATAATTTCATCATAATTTCATTAAGGAAGAAGGGTACAATATTGTGACTGGGGTAGGGAGTAGAGTCAACAATTTGAACATGATTCATTATTTAGCCATGTCTTTAGCCATCGATCTGCTGGCGGGCAAGTAAACTATGAAACTCTTTAAGAAAAACAGAGGGGTGTGCTGGGTATAAGAGACGATGTGAATTACTTTAGTAAAATTCTGAGTCTGTAGTAGAAAGGGGGATTGAGGGTACCCCCACCTTTCCCGGGTATATGAACATGTCCGTGCAAAAATGCCATATCCCTTGGTTTTGCCCCTTCTTTACTTTATGTCTGACTACACCCATCTGCATTGTCCTGAAAATAAATAAATGGAATAACAGCTTAGACCCCAATGGCAAATCATGCAGTTTAACTGCATTATTTAAAAACTGTAAAAGTTTGTTGCAATTCTTCCCCCTAACATTCCTAACTTGAATACAAATATTACGATTACGAATGACAGGTGTTAATTTTAATGATAAAAATTACGCTTCGACAAGTGAATATTAATTTGAATGCTAGTTGAGCAGTTTCTAAATTGAATGACAGATCTATGAAACCCTCCGACCAAAATCCTAAATTAAATACAAAAACTGGAAAATTGAATGATAATTGGCATAGCAAAGCCGATCTGCGCTAACTTAAATGCAAAGTAAATGAATTTGAATGACCAACACGCGAATTTGGCAGGGAAATCCTATATTAAGAATATGGCATGCCGAAGGGTTGATTTTGTGTCATTGGTAGAACATATTGGAAATATTGGAATTGAATTTCATAATGGACTAAGAAATAAAATGAATTACATTGCAAATTCGCGAAGAATATTGAAATTTGTTGATAATAATTAATTTTTTTTAAAAACATATTGCACTGGCTAAATACTAGGTGATCAGTGTGAATTCATTCATATTCAAGTATTACTCATTCTTTAAAATTCAATGCTATTAATATACATTTTAAATCACAATTAAATATGAAATAATTGAAAATTGATGAAAAAATTCAAAAATTCAAGTCTCTCTCTCTCTCTCATTGCACTGGCTAAATACTAGGTGATCTGTGTGAATTCATTCATATTCAAGTATTACTCATTCTTTAAAATTCAATGCTATTAATATACATTTTAAATCACAATTAAATATGAAATAATTGAAAATTGATGAAAAAATTCAATGATTAAATACCTATTGCACAATTAATGGCAAATACTCCCCACAAAGAGTTTGATGCATTTCACTCTATATTACAGCAGAGTGAATCTCAAACATACAAGATTATTGACATCAGAAAAAATGTTCGTTCAGAGTCCTTACCATGTAAGGAAGAGTGCTATTTCTCAGTCTTTCTGTTCGGCATTTAAGGTCTCTCAATCTTTCACCCCCGACCCCCCCACTCAGTGTTATTTAGGGTACGCATATGCGTGTTCCAACCAACCCCCCCCCCCCTTTTCAGCAAAAGTCCGGTGTGTAAAGTCAATACGGCTCGACCTTTTTCTTTTGTATACGAGCCTTTTTCAGCACCCCCCCCCCCTTTTCAGCAAAAGTCCAGTGTGTAAAGTCAATACGGGTCAACCTTTTTCTTTTGTTACGAAAAGGACATTTTGGCAACACGCATGGGGTCCGTCCGTTCTCGGAGTGGGGGGCCGGGCCTTCACCATAGTATGCTTTTGTGATATAAAGTTGTTGACCCTGAGAGGAATTAAAGTGTTCGGTCCCCTGATTGTTTACATACACATGCTTTCTTAGCAGTCAGGTAAAAAAAACAAAAAAACAAACAAACAACTAAAATACTGTTACCCTTGACATAATGATGTTTTCTTTTTTACAGATTTAATTGTAGAGTACACCGGCCAGAGACAGGAGATGGAACGACTGTCTGCAGACATGGATAGAATGGAGGCAAGTCTGGATGCGATCCTAGGAAACCTCCAGGGAGTCAGTACTGCTGACATTCAATGCAATGATTAATATGGAGACCACAAGCCACACACATACCCTGCTGAGGAGGGGGTGTGGGTGGGGAAAGAGGGTGTGGGTGAAATTCAAAGCAATGATTGATATGGAGACCACAAGCCACACACATACACTTCCGAGGAGGGAGGGGGAGGGGGGGGGGGTAGGAATGGTAGTACTTTCATCCATGTATCCTGTTTATATAACCTTGCTACAGTGATTTTATTACCAAACACCCAACTGATAGAAGATTAATGAGGATAGTGGGAAGGGGAATAGCAAGGGAAGAGGAGAGAGGGAAGGAGGAAGGGAGGAGTGATTTTCTAAAAAGCAATACAATTTGCCTGAACTTCATTGCATGCAGGACTGGCTAGATGCATGTGCATGTACCAATCTGTGTGTGAAGCCCGCTCAAGGGAGACAAGAAAAGTGGTCTTCATGTCTAGGTTCCTTAAGTGTAGGTTTCATTAGGAAAGCATTTTAAAGTGAAACAACAGATGTCTTTATAGACGGGTGGGTCTGTTTCTAAAGCAAGTTACACTGTATATATATTCTTCCCCTGTTCATCCTTGATCACCTCTGATACATGACTGTGAATGTGTGAGAAGTATCTCCATCAAAGGTGTCTTTGGGGTTGTGTGAAATGCACCCTGAGGCCCAAGCAAAGTGTGCTGTTTAATCAAGAGTGGTACACTTTCTTCGCCTGCAAACCGTTTCTCTCCATTTAAGATTGAATAACCTACGGACAGGAATCCCAGATTATTTTTAAGCATGGTTTACCAAAATAATGTTGAATCTTTCCATGTGCAATTTTGTATCATTTCCTTTTTCCCAGCGGATAGGACTGTTCTGAAATCAAATGTTGCAAATGAAATGCTAGGCTCAAACATTTTTTGCAAATATATGGTGGATACATGGAGTAGTCTCTAATCTGTGTCTTACTACTGTTTTATGTAGTGTGTTTTAAGTAGCATATGTGACAATTGTTACGAGTACTATGATCCTTATAAGTAGCTTGTTCCTTTTAAATTGTACCAATAACCAATAAATATTTTGTTATGTATGTTAGATGTTCAATGTGGCTATACTTTAATCAACATAGGGCTTCAAATATTACTTTTATAAAGAGAGACAGCTAGTTTAATTGCATATACACTCTCAACTAACAGCAAACAAGTGACATGGGAATATACTACTTGACACAGCCGTACAAAATCACACAAAATAGTGCTTTTATGGGAATCCAAAGTCAGACTTTGTTTCTATGTGGGTTTTATATTATTCCTTATTTTCTTCAAATTCCGTCATCACCCGAAATAGGGTCAGCATGGTACCCAAAGTCTGACTTTGGTTCTTTGGGCCAGGTTTTTATTTTATTCCTTATCTTTTTTCATACTCCTGTTTTTGTTGGCCAACAAACTGCTGGGTAGAGTTATTTTTTCAGGTTATTTGTAAACATTCTAGCTGTACACAAATGATTTTTGAAGTAATTGACATTTCAGGTAGCCTCCCTTGTTTTGCTCTCTACTTTCCACAAATCGATTGTTTTGTGTCTGATGAGCACATTCCTTCCAAGAAGGAATGACATGTAAACACTTCAAGTATCAAATTTGATAAGGTGTTTCTGTAATAATGTTCAAGTGTGATAATAATTAATCTCCAACCTTGATCAAGTTTGGTTAAAGTGTTATGACTGATGAGGGATTGTTTGCACATCTTCTGCTTTTTCATACTGTTTTTGTGTCTATTGTATCTTGAGAAAATGTAGTTGTTAATACACCCATCTTTATTCTCTTGCTTTTCCATCTTTCAAGAAATATTTTGATGAATATATTGTTTGTTTAATTATGTGTGTGTGGTAGAGTGCCCTTTTCCTCCTTCCCTTCACTCTCTCTCTCCCTCTACAACTACCCCCTTCTCTCTTTTTCTCTTTCTCTTTCTCTCTCTCTCTCTCTCTCTCTCTCCCTCTCTCCCTCTCTCTCCCACTACCCCTTCTCTCTCTCTTTCTCTCTTCCCCTTTGTTGTCCCTCCCCTCTCTTTTTCTTTCAGTTTTACCTTCTATCTATCTATCTCTTTTTCTTTTCTCTTTCTCTCCATATCGTCAGCTGCCCGCTAGTAGGTCATGACTGCCATTGACAATACATAGCATGTATGGCCTTCCTGCAGGCAGCCAGCAGTATTGTCATATTTATTGTATCTTTCTTTCTATGTTATCTTCCCACTTTACTCCTTATACTTTCAACACCTGTCGGTCTTATTATAATCTTACAAAATAGGTGAAATTCAGTCCTTCATTGTTGAAGTGTTTTGTTCTCATGCTTATGTCATAAGTGCTAATGTTGTGATGTTTTTATTGCTGTGTGTGTTTACCCATCTAGTTTGTATATCTTTGATGCTTTCAATAAAACTTTATCACCTTGACTTTTTATATATCATCTTGACCATTTATGTATAACTAAAAAGAGTTTATCACCTTGAATTGTTATGAACTTGATCATGTATGTATAACTAAACAGTCTCAAGGAATATATGGTGAAGTATATTTATTTTAGTCAAGGGTCTTTTCATAAATTGTATGTATTGGAATGTAAAGGTAATAAGTATTTATGATGCAACTGTGTAGCATTCTTTCCTGCCCTTTTACATTAATTTTGAATTAAGTTTTTTAAATAATGTCAGCAAATTTGTATGAATTTTCCTTCATTTCATGAAATAAATTTGAATAATGTGTGTAGTTCATGATAGGAAATCTATCTCTAATAATGACTAAGAATTTTGAATGTCTTTTTTAAAATTCATATTCAGCTCAGAAGTCTATGAAATTTTGAGAATTATGATTTTATGTCATTTTTACATCAGTTAGATAGTTTGAGCTTCATAAAAGAGTCTGTATAATATGTAAGTTTGTGATATGATTGGCATGCTGAAATATCTAAAATATTGTGGTATTGCATATCACCATGGATATTAAGATCAGTTGTAATTTTTTCCATTCGGCAAAATGTATTCCACAGGCGGTTGACTCTATCTTGGTCTTTCTCTCTTCATGAGAACGCAATTAGGTAATTGTTTTTTTTTTTAACTTGGGTCATAGGCAAAAATATGTGCTGGGAGTTTACTTGTATTTTTTTTTTCATTGAATGTTCATGGAATGAAGATAAGATATTTAAAGAGAAGATATAGCTGTATAAAATATCATGGTATTGCTTGCAATCGAGATAATCAAATCATTTAGAATTTGAACTTCATGATAGGGAGCAATATCAATTGTGTTTTTACTTGAGTACTTCATACTAAATACATGAATTAGTAGTAAGATGTAGATAAGTGTGCTGCATTCAATTTGTCTTATTGTGAGTAAATAAACTGAGATTATTGCTGAAATACCATTTTGATAGAAGAATAAAAGTAAAACATTTATTTAAAAAACGATTCTGTATCTTTTCATTTTGCAATCCATTTATTTCAACATTTGATGTAGTGCATGGTGGTGGTTCATGCACCATGTTTGTATAAGACAGATAAATAATAAATGTATCTGCTTTTAATCATTTTCAGATTTATGTAGGGAATTACATACATCCATTAACTGTTATCACATAAAACATTTGGGTTTTTTTCTAAAGAAAAGGGGAGGAAAGTTGAGAGAGAAGACCGCCGTAAAACAAAACAAATACAAAAACCATTCAAGGTAGAAGGGTCGGGAAACTAGAGGCAACAGAAAGGAATTAACAAAAAAAAAACGGTTAACTGATGCAGAAGGATTGAAATCATTGAAAAAATTATTATTCGGCAATATTTTAGCACAGACTTCGGAAATTTGGATCAAAGGCATGTACCTATAAATATTGATAAGAGGACACTTTTTTTTTTTTTTTGGTCTCGAAATTTGGAAATTTGACATTTTGCTCCGTTGGGGGGGGTAAGGTCACCTTTTTTAGGTCGGCCATGGGAATAATTTTTTTTTTTTTTTTTTTTTTTTTAATAATTAAAAAAAAAAAAAAAAAAAAAAAATCCAAAAGGGGGGGGGGGGGGGGGGGGGGGGGGGGGGGGGGGGGGGGGTTTAGGTTTTTTTAGGGGGGTTTACACACAAAAAATTTCCAAAGGGGGGGGGGGGGAAAGGGGGGGGGGGGTTTAACCCCCCAAACCCCCCCCCCCCCCCCCCTGCGTACGCGCCTGAACATAACACACAAACAGGATACCAAATGATTTGGGATAAAACGCTCTTTCATAATATGTATAATAAATTACTGTTCATTGATGATTTTTAAAATTAATTAGCAATATTCTACGTGTAAACTTTTTTATGACTCACACTGTACAGTATCGTACCAGCAATATATACATGCTGATACGAAACACAGCATACTAAAATCAAGGCAATGTATGTTTGTCATCGGTCTACATACTATTTACCAGCTTTCTCCCGGTACGTGCGTCTCTTGCAACAATTATTAAATTGTATCTATAATTGTTTTAAGTTTGCGTCACCTGTGCCTAGGAGCGAGGTTAAAAGCGAAGTTAATCGCTGTAACCCTCGTTCTTCTCCTACCGGTATAATAATTGGGGCGTGCAGCTTTTATTTTCAAAGTATTAATACAAACTGAAAACGTGACCAATATTATGTTCCAAATGCTATTACATGATACTCTACTCTGTTTAGAGCTATGTCACTCGGTGTCGCACCAGACGACTGTCTGAGGTAAACACGGGGTGACATTTCTTTTCAAACACTAGGTAACGAGCGCGGGGATCGTTTAAAGTTACAATGAACGTCTGCGTAATCACGAGGTACGTTGTCATGGTAACTCGTCCACAGAGAAAAATCGCTACAGCTGTGCACGAATAAAAACGATGTTTACATGGAATATATTTCTTATTAAAAAAAACCCCAAGACATTCATCAGACAAATTGAGAACCAATTAAGGTTTGATGTGATACATTTTTATTTCAATGTTGCGAAATCTACCTCGTGTTTGTGCTTTCTCCTTTCTGCCGTACAGCGTTTTTCATAGATCTATACGGGGTATCGGGAACCATACGTCACGTTGCATGGAATGCTTAACGAATTAGCAAATTGCGTCATGACTTAAATATAAAGCAGTGGCGGATCCAGGGGGGCCGAAACGGCTGCGGCCCCCCTATTGGCGGCGCAAAAAAAAGGAAAAAAAGAGGAAGAAAAGAAGAGAAAAAAGAAAGGAGAAGAGAAGAAAAAAAGGAGAAGAGAAAAGAAAGGAGAAGAGAAAAGAGAAGAGAAAAGAAAGAAGAGAAAAAGAGAGAGAGAGAGAAAAGGAGAAAAGAAAACGAAAAAAGCCCCCCCCCCCCCCACCCCAATTTGTGTTCCCAAAATCTCCGAAAAAGGGTTACTTTTTCACGCAACAAAATCCGGCCCTTACTGACGTTACACACCGGAGAAAGAGGGGGTGCTTTCAAATAGAGGGAACATACATGCGCGTACCCTAGACCTGAGTGGGTGGGGGGGGGGGGGGGGGGAGTCGGGTGAGAAAGGGGGAAGACAAGGAAATGGCGCCAAGTGACAGTAACGACGAATAAGGGAAAAACTGTAATCGGGAGATTTGGGGTCATTTCAGTAGGCTTGGCAAACGTCATTGAATAGAGGGGGCCGGGCCGGCCGCATAAAATATCGAGCCGCGGATTCAAAGTTAAACGTTTAAAACAGCCCCTGTGCTACAAAGGTCACCACTCTTTAGTGAGAAATTTGAAAAGGGCATAATATTTTGGATGTCTTTTAAATAGAAGCTATATACTCAACAGTCAAATTTTAAATTAACGGTAGGGCTGCTTCACAACTCTTATTTTGCCCTTCATTTGGATTCAGCTCAACTCGCTTGTGCTTGTGTTTGAACTCATGTTGGTAAAACTTGAAGAAGATTTATCCATGGTTGGTGTAATACATCTTTGATTTCTACTAACCTAATTGTGTGCTATCACAATCATGATTGTTTCATTTTCCCTTTAGAGCAGGCGCGTAGCCAGGGGCGGTAGGGGCAGTAAAAGGACATTGGACGAAAAAGGAGCAAAGAAATATTTTTGAAATTCTGACAAGTCGAGAACGGTACAACGAATCGTCTTCTTTCTCTAATAATTGAATGAAATGTCATAGCTTCCGCGCTTCGCTTGGGAGGGGGGAACTGAATTCAGACAAGGATTAAGAGTCGAGAATGGTACAACTAATCTTCTTTCTCTAACAATTAATGAAAGGTCAAAGCTTCCGCGCTTCGCGCGAGAGGGGGGGGGGGGGAACTAAATTCGAACAAGGATTTAGAGTCGAGAATGGAACAAGGAATTATCTTCTTTCTCTAATAATTTAGTGAAACGTCAAAGCATCCGCGCTTCGCGCGGGAGGGGGGGGGGGGGAGGGAACTCAATTCAGACAAGTATTTAGAGTAGAGAATGGAACAACGAATCATCTTCTTTCTCTAATAATGTAATGAAAGGTCAAAGCTTCCGCGCTTCGCGCGGGAGGGTGAAAACTGATTTTAAACAAGGATTTAGAGTCGAGAATGGAACAAGAAATTCTCTTCTTTCTCTAATAATTTAATGAAACGTCAAAGCTTCCGCGCTTCGCGCGGGAGGGGGGGGGGGGGGGGAAACTGAATTCAAAGAAGATTAGAAGACGAGAATGGTACAACGAATCGTCTTCTTTCTCTAATAATTGAATGAGGCGTCACAGCTTACGCGCTTCGCGCGGGAGGGGGGGGGGGAACTCAATTCGAACAAGGATTTAGAGTCGAGAATGGAACAAGGAATTATCTTCTTTCTCTAATAATTAGTGAAACGTCAAAGCATCCGCGCTTCGCGCGGGAGGGGGGGGGGGGGGGAGGGACTCAATTCAGACAAGTATTTAGAGTAGAGAATGGAACAACGAATCATCT